TGGACAGTGAAATAGCTCTTGCAGTTGGTGGCGGGCAAGTGGCTTTGGGCCCCTGAACCGGACAAGCCGGACAGCGCTGCCCAGTTTTAAGAAATTGTCCGGTTGCGTCAAGCTCACTCCAAGCGCCCGCGCTGCTTAACCAGCTCGCTGTGTAGGGGTGCCCTGTGGACGCTGTTTTTAGTCGTTTTTAGTGGAAATGCGAGTTTTAGAGGATGATTCCGTTTAATTCTGTGTTGCTTCCTCACCCCTTCGGGCGCTCACCCCCTAAGCTTTTCGCTAGCATTTTTCCGCTCTCGGATCACCGCTCCTAAATCTCATCTCCTCCCACCATTGTAAACGGCGGCGGTGCTTACCATGTGTTGGGTGGGATCACTTGGGCGGACTTGTCATGTGTTGGGTGGGATCACTTGGCGGGAGTGCTTTCCATGTGTTGGTGACTTGGGCAGAGCGCACGTGGGCAGGGGTGCTACCATGTGTTGGCTGGAATCACAGGCGGATCACTCGCAGTGGTGCAAACCGTGTGAAGCGTGAGTTGGGTGTACCATGTGTTGGGTGAGGCCACTTGGACCCGTGGGAGGGGTGCTTGCCAGGTGTTGGATGGGAGTGCTGACCATGTGTTGGGTGGGATCATTACTACCACTATACGACTACTGCGACTACTACCACCACTACTACTACCACTACCACCGCAACTACTACTACTACTACTACTACTACTACTACTACTACTACTACTACTACTACTACTACTACTACTACTACTACTACTACTACTACTACTACTACTACTACTACTACTACATACTACATACTACATACTACATACTACTACTACTACTACTACTACTACTACTACTACTACTACTACTACTACTACTACTACTACTACTACTACTACTACTACTACTACTACTACTACTACTACTACTACTACTACTACTACTACTACTACTACTACTACTACTACTACTACTACTACTACTACTACTACTACTACTACTACTACTACTACTACTACTACTACTACTACTACTACTACTACTACTACTACTACTACTACTACTACTACTACTACTACTACTACTACTACTACTACTACCACGCGTGGCACGGGCCTGCGAAGTGCGAAGCCACCCAGAGTTGCCTTCCGCGTCTCAGTTCCTGGATGAGCGCTGTGAGGAGGTGGACAGGCTCTTCAGCTGGCGCGGTCAGCAAAGCTGAAGAGGATTGTGAATGTGCGGCTGAGCATTAAAATCCAATGTCGACACTGTTGGCCATCACAGATGCCAGCAGCAAGATTGCCTGGGCGACATCCTCGCGGACAAACATGGCCAACTTGTGAGACACTCAGATCAGTATAATGCATGCGTATCACGTGCATTCACGCATGCATAATGTGACACATGCTGCAACTATGCGGGCTTGGTTGGCAAGGACATCAGCCCAGAAGCAGTTGGATCTGGAGGCGGGGCTTCGATCCTACTCTTCAAAAGTTCGTTTCCCCAGACTGCTCTAGCATGTGTACAACTTTGCCACGAAACTATACTGCCTCATCGGCTCACTAGTGTGGGCGCTGCAGTGCTCGATAGCTGTGCTGCGTGCAAAGCATCGGCAAGAAGAAAGGGCTTCGGCGGCGTTACGAACTTTAAACTTACTCGGCATGCAGTTTACGTTTGAAATGTTTGAAGATTCTCGCAACTGCTGTTTGTCAAGCAATGGAATGGTTTAGTGGTGGTTCACTATTTGTTTAATATAAGCTCTGATTAGTTTATAATATGATGATTCATCCCTGGACTCTTCATCGCTGGGCCCGGGGTCAGACTTGAGCTTCCCGTCCCATTTCTCACTTGCATTGGCTTCCAGGACAGGGGAGTGTTTGAACATTAACATGATACCGTTCATGATGCACATGCTATACACGACCAAATTTTCCAAACAGGCTGCATGTAACATGCATGCATGCATTCACATGCGTGTCAGGAAAGTCAAGATGTGACGTTCACCCGGCAGGTGCCATTGATGAACTGGCGGTGGTGCCGCATGCTACCACTACTACTACTACTACTGCTACTACTGCTAGCTGTTTATTGTTGAAATCCTGGCCTTGTACTACTACTACTACTACTACTACTACTGGTACTACTACTACTACGACTACTACTACTACTACTACTACTACTACTACTACTACTACTACTACTACTACTACTACTACTACTACTACTACTACTACTACTACTACTACTACTACTACTACTACTACTACTACTACTACTACTACTACTACTACTACTACTACTACTACTACTACTACTACTACTACTACTACTACTACTACTACTACTACTACTACTACTACTACTACTACTACTACTACTACTACTACTACTACTACTACTACTACTACTACTACTACTACTACTACTACTACTACTACTACTACTACTACTACTACTACTACTACTACTACTACTACTACTACTACTACTACTACTACTACTACTACTACTACTACTACTACTACTACTACTACTACTACTACTACTACTATACTACTACTACTACTACTACTACTACTACTACTACTACTACTACTACTACTACTACTACTACTACTACTACTACTACTACTCCACCACGCGTGGCACGGGCCTGCGAAGTGCGAAGCCACCCAGAGTTGCCTTCCGCGTCTCAGTTCCTGGATGAGCGCTGTGAGGAGGTGGACAGGCTCTTCAGCTGGCGCGGTCAGCAAAGCTGAAGAGGATTGTGAATGTGCGGCTGAGCATTAAAATCCAATGTCGACACTGTTGGCCATCACAGATGCCAGCAGCAAGATTGCCTGGGCGACATCCTCGCGGACAAACATGGCCAACTTGTGAGACACTCAGATCAGTATAATGCATGCGTATCACGTGCATTCACGCATGCATAATGTGACACATGCTGCAACTATGCGGGCTTGGTTGGCAAGGACATCAGCCCAGAAGCAGTTGGATCTGGAGGCGGGGCTTCGATCCTACTCTTCAAAAGTTCGTTTCCCCAGACTGCTCTAGCATGTGTACAACTTTGCCACGAAACTATACTGCCTCATCGGCTCACTAGTGTGGGCGCTGCAGTGCTCGATAGCTGTGCTGCGTGCAAAGCATCGGCAAGAAGAAAGGGCTTCGGCGGCGTTACGAACTTTAAACTTACTCGGCATGCAGTTTACGTTTGAAATGTTTGAAGATTCTCGCAACTGCTGTTTGTCAAGCAATGGAATGGTTTAGTGGTGGTTCACTATTTGTTTAATATAAGCTCTGATTAGTTTATAATATGATGATTCATCCCTGGACTCTTCATCGCTGGGCCCGGGGTCAGACTTGAGCTTCCCGTCCCATTTCTCACTTGCATTGGCTTCCAGGACAGGGGAGTGTTTGAACATTAACATGATACCGTTCATGATGCACATGCTATACACGACCAAATTTTCCAAACAGGCTGCATGTAACATGCATGCATGCATTCACATGCGTGTCAGGAAAGTCAAGATGTGACGTTCACCCGGCAGGTGCCATTGATGAACTGGCGGTGGTGCCGCATGCTACCACTACTACTACTACTACTGCTACTACTGCTAGCTGTTTATTATTGAAATCCTGGCCTTGTACTACTACTACTACTACTACTACTACTACTAATGGTACTACTACTACTACGACTACTACTGCTACTACTACTACTACTACTACTACTACTACTACTACTACTACTACTACTACTACTACTGCTACTGCTACTACTACTACTACTACTACTACTACTACTACTACTACTACTACTAACTAGTACTACGACTACTAATTCTACTGCTACGGCTACTACTACTACTACTACTACTACTACTACTACTACTACTACTACTACTACTAACTAGTACTACGACTGCTAATTCTACTGCTACTGCTACTGCTACTACTACTACTACTACTACTACTACTACTAACTAGTACTACAACTACTAATTCTACTGCTACTGCTACTGCTACTGCTACTACTACTACTACTACTACTTCTTCTTCTTCTTCTTCTTCTCCTTCTTCTACTGCTGCTACTACAACTACTACCACTGCCAGCTGTTTCCTTTGCTTTGATCCTGAATCACATTTTTTAATTGATCCCTCAGCCTTGTGGGTGGCGCCGAATTGAAGCTCACCGATTTGTGGATTTCAGGTGTTGGACTTGTTTTCAAATTGCCAGATCCTTCAGTTTGGGGGGAAACACACCCATATTCATCTGCCAGGCTGCAGAGTCGATCCTAGGCGTTTTGACTGTAGCTTGGTCCTCCGTCAGTGTCTCGGCGTTCCCTAAACCACCCGCTTCGGAAGTTCTGGCACGCACCTGGTTTCATTGGGGTGTAAGAATCCAAAACCGCTTTTGGCCTTTTGGTTTTCCAATTATCGTGTTCCCATTGTGGCCCCCTCCTTTTATAGGGTGATCACCTTGTATTTCTGGGTCCCGTCTGGGGCAACTGAGTGGCAAAACCATCAAGGGGCAGTGAGCACGGATTTGGGCGGTAAAATGTTATTTTCTGTGTATCCTTTTCTTGTGGGCCAAGTTCAAGCCAGGCCCCACCAGGATATGAAACCCTCATACTGGAATGAAAAGCTTTCCAACTGGCGCAAAGTGAATGTCCACCCACAACAGGGTGATCAACCAGAAAGTGGACGATCCGAAAGCTTTTAGTTTGCCTGTCAGTGTCACGGAAGGTGGCTACGTATGAAAAATTGGTCACGCACAGTGACCTTTCGCTTTGATGTCTGGTGACTGATAGCGTCATAGACGACACAAGTTGACATACTGTGCATGGACAAAAGACCCTCCAAGAAAAACATGGAAGTGCACGGGCTTACTTTCCAAAAGCTAGAAGTATTCTACGAACTGCGGTTTGCGCACTTCTATGTGAGTGGGTGCCTTTTGCCTAGCATGTCCGTTTGTTGTTGTGTGCCACGCGCTAGCCTCAGGCTTGTCGTCGCGTGGAGATCGTTGTGCTTCCTCAGCCCAGATGCGACAGGCGGGAGACAAAGATGCTGCCAATGGGAAGCCCTGCAGGAAGAACCGACGTTTGATTGATCAATGACACCACTCACTGCCACTGGGGATTTCCACTTTTGAGGGAGCCTTCATGTGTTCAGGAAACCGTTGAAAATGGGTTGGCTGCCCACATAGAATGACATCATCATCAATAGTATGTTTGTTACAATAATCATGTGTTCTCATCTTGATAATTGCTCCACATTGATCCAACAGCTATTCTGCTTGCACAGGGGTCACCAGAGAACCTTTCGCCGGAAATGACGATTACAGCTTTGCTTGAAGGACTCTCAAATCCTCTTGCACACCTGTCCTGCAACTCAACCAAACACACATGTGGTGAAGATCGCACATGCCTTGCCGGCTAATCTCTGGTTTCAGTTCGGCGCAGTGCGCTTGTCGCGGTATGCCGTTTAGTTTCGGAGAACTCGTGAGGGCAGGAAGCCAATTCAGGGTACTTTGCTCGTGACCCGGAGGTATATTTCCAGGGCATGCTTCTGTCTGCCAACTGCGCCTTGAGATTGACTTTGTGGGGTCCCAACCGCAGGGGCGAATCTAGCTCGGCGAAATAAAACACACAAAGGCAGGACCCCTTCCCAAGTGACAGCTTCATCTGTCAAATCACCTGGAAAATCCTGGTCTGCACGCGTTGCCAGTTAGTTGGTCCGTCATGCTACAACCTCTTCAGAGTTTCCGTCAATTCCAAGAAGAACCAGATTAATTAAAAAATAGACACTTGTTGACCGTTTTTAAGTGGAAAACATGCAGACAACCACCTTTTCTTTTTGTTGGGGGGGTCCACTGAAAAAGACACACCCATCAAGCAACTCTTCATTCTGCTTCGGAGTGCCCTGGATTTACGACCGTGCCCTGGATTTACGACCGCGCCAGGTCACGCGATGGAACATCCCACGCTGCAGCGCAGGGATGGGAGCCCCAGGAAAAGAAAAGAAATTCCGTTGCTCAGTGGTGCCCTTTTGTCCTTTTCTTGGCTAAGGGTTTCCCTTTAAACTCAACCAACGACAAAAGGGTGCCCTTTTTTCCCATGACCATTGGGCATCTGAGGAAAAGGCTGCTCTAAGGTAAGTCTTGACTCACTTGTCCAAAGCGAATGGACCTGATCTGACCTATTGGTCGCCCCCCATTTTGGCCCATTTTGAGTGGCCTCAAAAGCTTAATCTTCAGTCTCCAGGTCCTTCGGGGAACTGAGTTAGTCCTTACCTTGGGTTCCGCCAGGATGTGGTCCCCGTTGAATTTCGGCTTCCCCATAGGGCTTCTGGAACCCATTTTGAACAGCCCAAAACAGAGGGGGACCCTGTTTTCCCTGCCGCACACCTGTTTTGCGAGGCCCGAGAAGCAGGTGAGTGGTTGGAAATTCCAGGCCCCCCTTTGGTCCGAAACTTGACTCGCATTGAGTTGAAGGCTAAGGTCTCACAGCAGGTGGGTTCGATTCGCCTTCGCCAAAGCGAATCGACCTGAAATGACCTGGCTGTGGGTCAAAACCAATGGGATCCCATTTTGGGGTAGGTGAATTCACCACCCAAATTAGAACCTATTTTAGTGGGGATTGGGATGTTCAACCCATGGCCATTTCTTGGCTTTCCCTGGTGTCCAGCTCCTTGAGGCAAGTGAATGTCGGTATCACTTGAAACTTTCTGTAGCAACTTTTGTAGTTGACAGAAAGCTCAGACTCCACTCAGAATTCTTGACTCCAGGTCCTTGTGCCGCCCTGAGGGAAGTTTGGTATACCTTCAAGAGGACACTTTTTGGGATGCCCCTCTCTACTTTTTTTTGGCTACCGGCCGGATGCCTTGCATTTGTTATCAGGCCATAGGCCTTTTGGTGGGGAAACCCAAGTGACGATGAAGGACTGAGCTGTTTGTTGGGTGCTTCTCCTTATGCCAGGCGGTGGCTTCCCTTATTGCAGTGTCCCACCACGGGGTGCAGATTGGGACGAGCAGACCCCATTGAACACCCCAGTTTCTTCAAGCATGTGCTGCGCATTTTGTCGACAAGCGATCGATGTTTTTCCTCGGATGTTCAACCAACATCAGGTGAGTAGAATATAACCCTGGTTCCGAGGGGATCACCCCAGTTGCCCAAGTTATGGCGGTTATAACTTACTTGCCTGACACTGCTTGGAGTGTTTCGTAGCCAAACATGATGTGTTTTTGAGGGTATCTCCTTTCTTTGTGGGTTTTTCTTTTAAAGGAAACCCACGAGGAACACCGCCCTTGGGTGGTCCGTCCACGTGGGTGTGCCCTTTTTTTGAGGGTACAGCTCACCAGGTGGGTTTCTTGTTGGTTCCCCCTCATAAGTTAAACCAAGAAAAGGGTCCAACCTGCAACATAGACAGACCCACGTGTCAGGTATCCCCCAATTAGTGGCTTGGATTGGTTTGGACTTGGATTTGAACCCTGAACCACTTAACCTCCGGGCTCCAAATCACCAACTAAAAAAATGAAGGAGAAGTCTGACAAATTTTAGGCGGCCCCCCCCCTTTTTGCGTGGCCTTAAGGCAAAACCACGCTTGTTGCGTGGCCTTAAGGGGAAAAAAACCACGAGGACCACCCGCCGCATGTTGCGGGTGGCCCGTTCGCGACATCGGCCGAACGGAGAGAACTGAGGCGGTGCTGGCCGCCGGCTTGCTGCCCACGGCCCAGGCGGCCCAGGCGGAGGCGAAAAGCGGCGGTGTGGAAATGTCGGGGCGTAGGCGCCGATGAAATGAATTTAGGCGTAGGCGTAGGCGTCGTGGGCGTAGGCGTCGTTTGTTGTCACGTTCTCCCCTTCTTTTGGTGTGAAAGGGAACCATCGTTTCTTGGATTTGCAGAAGAAGTGTGTTTTTCTCTTGCCGGTTTTCGGTTGGAACCGATTGAAAGGCATATGTGTTTTAATAGTTTCCCTTGTTGGGGATACATGGGGATACCACATGGGTTTATTTCCCTTGTCGGGTTTAAAGTTGGAACCATTTGCAAAAGATGTTGTTTTCCACTGAGCGAACCACTGGGGTCAAGGGTACCCACTTCCGAACCACCGAGCTCCCTTGTTGGTTTGCTTTCCCTTGTTGGTTTTAAAGTTGGATCCATTTTAAAAGAATATGTTTTTTCCCCTTCTGTTGGTTTTAATGCGAATGGATTTCGCTGCTGGTGTTATTTCCTCACTATTTCCACGGAAGCGAAAAAAACAATTGTTTCCCTTTGGTTTTCCGTTGGAACCATTTGCAACAGCTTTTGTTGTAGATGTTGTTCCCCTGTTGGCTTCAAAGTTGGAACCGACTTCACTACTGGACATATGTTGGTCTTAGAGGGAACCATCGTTTTTTGTCCCTTTTTTTTCTCCCGGATTGCAGAAACGTATGTTTTACTCTTGTAGAGGGTAGAAATGAATATGTTTGGGGGTGGTTTGGGGCAGCTTGCAGGGTTTTTTCCGGGGAGTTCCAGGGCTGTTGGGGATACATGGAGATACCAGATGGGTAAACAAAAATCCCTTGGGTTTCAAGTTGGAACCCTAAACCCTAAACCCTAAACCCTAACCATTTGCAACAGATGTTGTTGTTTTTCACTGACCGAACTGGGGTCAAGGCTACCCACAAATCTTTGCTCTGGCTCACTGGGTCGGGGGGTGAAATTTCCCCTTGACGGGTAAGTGGGAAAGCAGCCCTGGCCGAAGCATCGGGCTCCAACACGCTCTTTTCTTAGCTTCCATTTGCAGAAGTTTGTTTTTTTGTTTATTTTCACTGGCTGGTTTAAAGTTGGAGCCGATCACTGCACATATGTTCTCATTTGTTCGGTGAAGAAGCAAATGGAAGATGAGGTAGTTGCCTGCCTGTCCACGTTGCCATGGAGCCCAGGAGTGTCCCGTTTAAAGGACAAGTCGTCCAAGACAGAACCCCTGAACTGTCAGGTTCCATGGCAACGTGGACAGGAGGGTACTGACCTGTAGAACATGGAGCCGGGAAAGGTCTCTCGGGCCGCCGCAAAAGGAGAACACGGATGGCCTTTGGATCAAAATCCACCCAAAACGAGATTCCATTACGATCAAAATCCCTATCAATTGATGTGTAGGAGACCCGGTCCGCATGCAGTAAGATATACGGCCCCTTTGTTCTTCGTTTCCCAGCTTGAAGAGAATGCTTGATTTGAAGGAGCGGTTGTCACGGTGCTTAGGACATCCTACTCGGCCTAGCCGTGAAAGCACGGTTGAGCCGCTGTGACTACTTCACAGGGCTCTTTCTGGAGGGCCTTTGCTTCTTGGGAGGGTCGGAGGGCTTGCGGTTGGATCTCCCGGGGCTTGTGAGATCGGTCTCTAAGAAAGACTCAGTTGTTCAAAGCGAATCGACCTTTTGACCTTTTGGTTCTCCCTGTTTTGTTGGGCAAGTGAGAAGAAATCAGATCGAATCGGTGGCCTTTTTCAAGAGGCCGTGTGCAAGTGTGGGACACAAATCTCACAAGCGGTGGTCGACTTCCCAGCGATCTCGCGTAACCGCCGGCCGGCGGTTCGCAGGTCGTGTCCACCGGCGAGAAAGTTGTGACGCTGAAGAACGGCCTCAAGTTTCCCAAGGTGCCCCGTGGCACCTCTTTGGTGCGCAACAGAGCTCGGTCCCCCAGCTAGGTGCCCTTTTACCAACTGTTTTGGTTGGGAGGGTTCCCCTACTAAATAGTAGACTACAGAAAAAGGGGCACCCTTATTCTAACCTCCCTACTGGAGGACCTAGGGAGTCATTTCCATGATGTCCTCCTTTTGTTCGACCAACGCAAGAGGGTAGATGCTCTGATGCTTGTCCTCCTTGGGTTTCACTTGAACAGCACCCCCCATACTTACACTGTTCATTTGCTCAACCAATCATGGCTACAGGACAAGTAAGGAGCACTTTCGCGCGTGGACAATATGAAGCAAGTACTGGGCCGTCAATGAATGCATGCATATCTGTCTGCACATCAAACGCACTGACAGTCATGCGTGTGTGTTTGGCGCAATGGCTTCGCCCCGGCGACTGCAACGGGCGCGGTCACTTGTTTGCGAGCCCATCAGGTTCCTCAAACCATCCCTGAAAATCCGAGGGACAAATTGGAAGGGTACTGCAACCACGGGTGTGCTCCTGGCACTTGGTCCTCAAGGTAAACCAAGATGAATCACCCGGCACTTGGTCCTTAAGGTGAACCCAAGATGGATCAACCTGTAGGTACACTTGCCAACCAGGAAGGGCGATGGGAGCACGACCAGATGGATCTGTGCCAAAGCTAGGAGATACATTTTGCCCATTTGAAACATGGTTTTTTCCACCAGAATAAAGGGAAACCACCATGTACAAGGCAGTGTTCAGGTGTATAATGTAAGGATCCCTGTTTACCACCCCAAGAACGCTACGCCAAAGAGAACGGAACCGAATCCCCAGGCCCAGAACCTCCTGGAACCGAATCTGAAGAAAAACCTTCCCAAGCTGCCGCCAGCGGATGCTGGGCCTATCGACCCATCGCTTTCAGCCCAGGTCAGAGTTCGGGCTCCTGAAAATCCCTTCTGGGGTTAGGAAACCAACGCGAAATCAGATGGGCGCGGCTCAAATAAATGTAATGGCCCCTTGAGAAATGCCTCGCTCCGGAAAATGTTGAGCCAGATGAATGACCAGATTGGAATACCTGGAACCCCCGTTCCTTCTGGCCCTCCAGGCATCCTTCGGGCTGCGCCGCGGCGTGGGCAGATCAGTGTGGCGGTTGGGGATATGCTTGGGATTGGCCAGGAGAAGTAGATGGCACTCATCCATGTTTGTCAGTCATCATGGTTGTTGTTGAGAAACATTTTGCATTTTTGCTTATTGTGGTTTTGTGGGAAAGTCTCACTTACCTGCTAAAATCTTAATTTTTGCTCCCCGATTCAACGTCAACCAAGTCATCCCCTTTGTTGATCCGGCAACTCCTTACAGGCTGAAACCTTGCGGGCTTGCCGGATGCATGGGCTCAAGCATAAGCCTTAAGGCTTAAGGCCCATTGCCTTGAGCGTCAGGGACATTTCCCAAGAGGGACAGTCCACGCTTGTTGAGCATCAAGGAGGCAGTTGTCCCCCTGCTTTGTGGGTTCTCACCGCGACCCAATGCAGGGCTCCTTGAAGGGTGCATCCAAAGAACATGTGTGCGTGATATTTGTTGTTGTTTTTTTTTGGAAGAGGAGCAGCGGCCATAAAAATGGCCGCCGAAATGGCGAAGTCTGGGCTGCTCAAAGGCAGCGGCAAATCCTTTTTTTGGGGTACGAAAGGGGCTTCCGTTCTTGGATGTTTCCCCTTATAACCATGGTGATAAGGGGACGAACCCCTGCTACCCATAGTTATATCCATGGCTATAGCCTACTTACCTGACGTTGGTTGAACATGAAAGTTGGTAGTGGTGATTTAGATTTGCCAGCCCAGCTTGTGGCTGTTTCGCTCGACTGGAACGGCGGCTTGACCAAGTCTGTATGAGAGTCAGGCTTATCCTTTCGATCAGCCGGAAGGAACGCAGTCGTGCCCCATTCACGAGACCCACACCCTACACACGCCTTCTTTGGTACAAAGGGAATTAGACGCGAAGGGGGACATTCCCCACATTTCTGCTGGCCAGCAATGGGTCCATCTTTGGATAAGGGTGGAATAAGCCAAGGATATTTGCTTCTCCCTATTATTTAAATTTTGAGACGCCCCTCCCCTATGAATATTTGTTTTTTGGCAAACATATTTACTAGTAGGATCCCAGAGATCCCTTTTTTGCTCGATCCAGGAAATGTCCAGCTGGCCACTGGAGGAGTACAAATGCAACGCTTCACATTGGATTTGTAGACTAATTTTGAAGCGATCCAGTATCCGTGTCCCATCAGGTTGCGGAGATGGTAGGCGTGTGATTAAGGTGCAGATAACTATGTTGCTTGGTCCTCAACTTGCCCGAGGTGCTGTCTTAGAAGCTAAGTTAGGTGTTCACAAGTCAAACAGAAGCGCATCTCAGCTTGAACTTAGAGATGTTTAAACTTAAATCATATGGCTGACAACACATTTTGAAATACAAGCTTAAATCTTATGTGGGCCTTAGTGGGAGCAATTGAACAAAGGAAGTGCTGAAAGTACCCCCTAATAAGGGCTGTTTGAAGTGGAGTACTGGTTTAGTATTGCGTCAATTAAAAGTAAAAAGGAGCAGGATGTCTTTGGGTGATTGGCTGGAAGACTGGTATTTATCAATAGGCAATAGGGGTAAATTCAACAATCGGGAAAGCGATTAAGCCCCCAATCAAGGCCTCATGATGTTGCTTTCTTCCAAAATGGCCACAGCCCCGTCAGTTCACCTGAAGAATCTTCATGCACACCATGACATCTAGGAATAAATCCTCGCCCATGAGATAACTTCCAGTTATGAGTCAGACTCCTCCGATTCAGTCCCAAACCCCAAGCATTTCCCCTAACCGTCGAGTAATCAGGCGACGGTACCTTGAAAAACCAAGTTCCGCGCTCTAGCTCTGCTCGGTGTCACGGAGTCTCTTTCCAGCTCAGAGCAATGCGTTTTGCAAGGTGTTGGCGCAATCCATGAAACTAAGAGCATCTCCCCCTCCAAACAACCCTCCAAGTCGATCAATGGCGAATAGTTTTAAAAGGGTTCCCAATTTTTACCAAATTGTAGGGTATCATAAATCCCAAGGTTTTCAATTCGAATGCCCAACCCCTGGGTCGAAAGGTGGTTGTGTGTGTGTGTGCGCGTGTGTGTCGCAACTCGACCCCTAATATACATTTTGGCAATGGCTGTCAGCCCCCTCTCAAAACACACGACCTTACTAGTCGCTGAAGTCGCCTACTGCCATTGGGGAATTGGTCATTTCTGGGCGGGGGGGCCTTAAAGGACCATGGGAAGACTCCGATGTTTTGCTTTTTAGTTTTTTTGTTGTACCTTTTTAATGTTTTGACAATAAAAGTTGCAGATAAAGTCCAGATTGTGACAAGGCGAATTAGTTTTGGTTTCATTTGGGTGTTTTTTTGGTTTATGGGGCCCCACCAAAATGGTACTTTTCCTTTTGACCCCCCCCCCCCTCCCCGTGTCGACCCAGGCAGGTCTACGACGACGAAACCGCGGAGCGGCTCACCAGCACCGCCCTGGAGCTGGGCTACCGCAACTTCTTCGCCTCCGCGCCTCGGACGTTTTTAGGCGGCGAGGGGGACGTGTTCCATAGACTCTTTGTTGCAGGCGTCCAGAAACAAGTTGGTACCCTTCTTCTAACCTCTCTTCTGGAGGACCTAGCCTCGGTCCAAAGCGCAGTTTGCGCAGTTTGAAGGACCAAAGGTTCTCATCAATGACTTTGGGTTGGTGGCTTTGGTGCAGTTTGCCAAGGCATGTTAGGACTTCAACTTTTTGCCACCCATTGGGTTTTCCGAATTAAACCACTAAGAGTTAAAAACTTTTAGCAGGGGAGCAGAAAGCAACCGTGACTTCCGTTTGCTGAAGCGGACATATGGACTTGAAGGGATTTCTTGGTTGGGCTTGCCAAAATGGATATGCCTTCTAATTTCCCCTGTTGAGTTTGAAGGGAAATTATGATTTGTGATTTGCTTCTGTTGGTTTTGCAGGGAATTTGCTCTGATTGGATTTGTTAGTCTTTCCAGGAGGCTTCAGCAAATGGAGTTAGACGGGCGGATTTCTGGAGTTGGGCCTTCTTTGTGCGGTTTGAAAGGGAAACCAAGCGGAAAGCTACCATTTTGGGGATCCCCTAAAAAATGCATAACTACCCATCGTTGGAGAGTTGGTATGCCCCGCTGCTGAAATGGATATGCGTTTATTTTCCCCTGTTCGTTTTGAAGGGAAACTGTTTCACTGGATGGTTATTTTTTGCAGGGGACGAAAGGGCAAATGGAGGTAGAATGGGCGGCTCGTCTTTTGTTTCGTTGGTATCCCTTTTGCTGCTGCTTAAAGGGGAACCAAAAGGAACCGACTTGGGGGGTCCCCTTGACAACATAAACTGCCAGGGATGTCTGGCCAGGGAAACATAGGTGTGTCTTAAGATGCAGCCCCAAAACTGCCATTTCCCCTTGCCCTTGAAACCGACGGCGAATGGCTTGGGCTTATGTCGCGAAGTCTTCTCGGGTTTCGGTGAAGGAGGGGGTTCCGGGACCCCGGCATACCCCGGCTTCCTCCGATCGAAATGTAGAGATGGCTGTCTGGCTGAACCACTGTGCGCTTCTTTTCCTGGGAGGGCTAGAACCGAGCAATTCCCCCGGTGTTTTTGCTTTCCCCCCCCCCACCCGTTTTTTTTTGAAGTTCCTTTCGGTGGACGGGGTTTTTCGGGGGTTCCTTCGGGTTCTGCCGAAAAAAATCCTTGCGGCTGGTCTGACGACTCAGGTGCTGGCGGGGAACCAGAAGGGCTTCGCGCGCGCGGTGCAGGCCTCCAAGGTGCCGCGGGAGGCGAGGCACGGCGCTTCGGGCGGTGGATGGACGGAATCCACTTCGCACCACATAGAAACCCGGGCTTCTGATGATGCCCCTGTAACTCACTTCCTGAGTTGGTGGACTTTAAACTTTTTGGAAAGACAATTTTAGTGGTAAATACAAAGTTCAAACTTTTTTTGGCCAGTCAACTTGGGAAGTGAGCGCCCCTGAAAAAACCAACATACAGGTTTTTCCCCATGGGTTCAAAGTGGTGCAGGATTTCGTCCATCCACTGTAAAGGGTGGGTCAGGAACTAGGGCCCCCAGCTAGGTGCCCTTGCTAAACCAGCTGTTTGGTTGGGAGAGTTCCCCTACAATAGACTACAGAAAAAGTCGGTACCGCTACTCTAACCTCTCTACTGGAGGACTTAGGGAACATTCCTCCAGGCTACACCTACTTCAAAATAGCCTATTTTTTCAGTGTCTCAAGCTAAAATTCGCAGAAAAAAACGTTCGGAGCCTCCAACAAATCTCCCGAAACATTGCTCGTTGCCCAAACTCCTGTTGGGTATCTCGATGGTCCGGGGAGCAACTTGGCCCTGCCACGCGCCCAAAGATCAATCAGGGGTCACTGGATTTCCCCAAGCTTTTTTGGGTTGATCAATGTCCTGGCGGGTGTCCATCGGCACTTTTGAGAAAAAATCCAAGGGAAGTGGCTCGGAGACTCGGTCAAGTCTATGCCTGGCCCAAGCTCGTGGCAATGTGAAGGGTGCCCCTATGGTGCGGAAACCAGAAGGAAACTTAAACCAGAAGGAAACTTATGCCCGCCATGATGCCATGCTTTGATCAGTGCCCCACTTAGCCCAGCTGTTCGATTCATCTAGAGCCAACCGCAAAACACAGCTGTCAAGACTAGTTGGCCTTGTCCAGGGCTGTTTCTCTCTTTGAAGGGTTTCCGTTGGACATTTGGCAATCCTTTGTTTTGCCAGCGCTGCTTTTTTTTTACAGGAGCCGCCCGAAAACTGGAATACACATGGGCTTGTGTTTCAACTTGGGGGAACCCCCAAAAATGGTTCTTTTCGTTTTGGTTCCCGTATGTTCCCGTCAAAGGGCTCCCGTTTGTTCCGAGTGTTGCCACAGTTGACCTGAGTTCATGAGCATTCCAGTGGTCCTAGGTCCCCCAGTAGTGCCCTTTTTACCAACTTTTTGGGGGGCATTCGCTGCTGAAATAGACTACAGAAGAAAACAAGTTGGTACCCTTATTCTAACCGCTCTACTGGAGGACCTGGCAAAGGGCCATCCTCAGAAAAGCGTCCGTGAGGAGATCTTCATTTGCGGCTCCGTGCTGAGTAACCTGGCGCAGGCCTGGCCAGCGATCGAGACGCGGCAAAAGGGATCGAGTTGGACCTCGGAATGGAAACCAACATGGCACCTTGGCAAATGGAGACCAAAGGCGAACACCTGCAGTTTGCCCCAGTTGAATTTTGAGCCACACCCATTTGTTGTTCTTTTCGCGACTGTCACGTCTTTCAAGGTGAGCCTGATTCAATTGGGGGATGATCAAAGGAGAAATATATTTGTTTGGGACGATGAGCAATGGACGATGTTAGTGGGGTATCAGTTTTGCCGATGGTTCTGCATCGACTTTGGGAAGTCCTTTTACAATTTGTGGCAGTTGTCGCTTACAGATTTGGCTGTGGGTCAAAACCAGTGGTACGATTTTTGGGTAGGCGCGCCACCCATTTTAGTCTATCTTAGTGGGCATTGGGATGTTCACTGGGGGTACGGGATTTTGACCCATGGCCATTATTTAGATTATCCGGTCTGCGAGTTGGCAGAAAGTCTGGTTGGTTGAATCCGTATGCCAGGCTCACTTGCCCAAAGGCGCAACCTTTGACTCAAAGTCATGGCTCCAAAAGCTTCGCCTTTCATTTTGGGGTCCGTTGGGCAACTAGGTCCCGCAGCTAGGTGCCAGGGTTCCCCTGCTAAAATAGACTAAAGGAAAAAGGGTGCCCTTATTCCAACCTCTCTACTGGAGGCCCTAGGCAACAGGGCGGATGGTAGGAGCTTCCCTTCCTCCAGTTTGAACCCAGACGCAGCCACCTTTTCTGAAGAACCTGAAGAAAAAGGCACGCAGATCCGGAGCTTCTTGACGAACACACTCGAAAAGACAAGCTTAATCCAACTTAGTTAGTGACTTGTTGCACTGGATAAAGGCTCAAAGTCAATCCAACTCAATAGTTGTAAACCAATGAACTGGCAAACTTAGTCCAACTTAGCTAGTTGTCAACAAACAAACAGAGTTTTAACTATAGTTGTAAACCAACGATAAGTCAAACTTAATCCAACTTTAGCTGTCAACAACCAGAGTTCAGACTTCTTTCTCAACCCCCTGGATCGGAAGCGTTTCACACGGCTCCCTGTCGCTCGACAGGACTTCGAGGATGCGCCCCTCAGCTCGTCTTCATGTTTGGTCGGTTGGCCGTGGGTGGCTTCCGTTTCGGACTTGAAGTCTTGTGGGGTTCTTCTCATTTTGGCTTCCCCTCAACTGGCTCCCCCGAAGTTCCGAGTGGTGCCGCGGTTGGCCTGAATTCAGGAGCGTTCTAAGGGGCAAAGGTCCCCCGGCTAGGTGCCCGCTCTTTCACCCACTTGTTTGGTTGGGAGGGTTCCCCTACTAAAATAGACGACAGAAAAGTGGGTGCCCTTTTTCTAACCTCGCTACTGGAGGACGTAGTTAAGTCACTTTGCGGGGTTTGGACCATTTTAGCGGTAAACAAAAATTATGGGTACTTTTTGGGTCCATCCGCGCAGGAAGTGAGTTGCGGCTTGAATTCTCAAAAAACCGATCGAGGGTACTACTGTCTTCATTGTTTGTTGGTGTTTGCAGCGAAATCATCATTCCAGGATTTCTCAGGTGGTGCAGGATTTCTCCATCCACAGTCGTCCAAACTGTTTGGGGTTGGCGTAAACTGGCCCGCCGGCAACCCCACCCTTTTTGCGGCCCATTCCCGTATCCCAAAAGGGGAGATTTTAGCGAAGGCCTGGTTCCTTTTTGTTTGCAGGTTTGTTTTGTCCCCCCCCGTCCGAATTTTGACCGCCAGAACCCTGGTGGGCTCTCATCACGTGTGGATCGCATCCGAAAGGAGCTCATTTCTCAAAAGATGCCTTTGATCTAGGGGTACTTTCTCCCATTCTTTCCAGGCATCCTTCTTTCTAAAATACCACCCAAAACCCTGGGAAAAACAGCTGGTTTTTGAAAAGAACGATGGCTGAAAAGAACGGGGAATCAACCCCTAGATTTGAGATCACCCCGAGGGTTTCAAAGATGGTGCACCATATCACACCGCAAGGGTAGAAACCTGACTTGGCTTCATGTTGTTTTCTTGTTTCAGTATTGACAATCCTGAAGGGGGACACGCCCACGATGTTTGCGGTGCCCCATACGTTGCTCTTTGCGGGTACAAGAGGGGCTGTATTGTATGGGAAGGAGAGGCCTACTTTCTTCTTGTCCAATAGTTTCCCTCCCAGCCAGAGAAACCCGGCTGTGGCCGCGACGGTTGAAGCCAACCCTGTTGGTGACACCCTAGAGCATTTACCGCTTAGCCGAAACGAAGACCGCTCCCCAAATCACTGCAACGGATGTGCATCCAACATGCACCAGGTATCCCTTAGTTGGTGGTTTGGATTGGTGGCTTGGGATTTGAAGCCCTGGTTCTTGTAGAGGGTAAATTTGGTACATGGGAAACCCCGATGCCCAAATAGAGGCAGGTTAGAGCATGCACTGAACTAGGGGAGCAAAACCATTCTTCGGATTGGTGCGCCCAGCCCTCCATTTACCACTCCATGGTGCACCGCGCTTTTTTCTTCAAAAAACTCAAAAGGGCCTCGGTGGCACCCGAAACCCTTGGCAGATGGTTGTGTTAGCTCGAACAGCCCATCTCGTTTACCCCTAGTCCACAACATTCACATTTACCAGCTGGTCTTTTTCGACCCCAACCTGCATTGTGGGCCAGAAACAGCAAGGGCAAACAAGGTGTTCGAAAAAAGGGTACCCACGGAAATTTCTTTGGAGGGATGTGCTCCTTGTGCAAAGGGAGCTTGTGCACCCAGTGCTTGTTTTGAGGTGTGCAACCCATCGGCTCTCAATAAACTACACACACACACACCCATGACCCCGCCTCTGGTTTTTCGTTGGCTCTGCCTCCCGGATTGGGACGAGCAAACCTTTGATTGGGTTGAAAGAAGAGGGGCCCAATCGTAACCGCTTTGGGGGTTTCTCGGATTGGGCCCATTTCTGGTTGGGCTTTGGAGGAAATCCAAAGGAGGCCAACCATATTAGCAGATCCCTTATTTTGAGAAACACCCATTAGATATTGTTTTGATATACATACATACATACGTACATACATACGTACATACATACATATATACATACATACGTACATACACACACACATACATACATACATACGTACATACATACATACATACATACGTACGTACATACATACATACATACATACATACATACTAATACATACATACATACATACATACTAATACATACATACATACATACATACATACATACATACATACATACATACATACATACATACATACATACATACATACATACATACATACATACATACATACATACATACATACATACATACATACATACATACATACATACATACATACATACATACATACATACATACATACATACATACATACATACATACATACATACATACATACATACATACATACATACATATACATACATACATACATACATACATACATACATACATACATACATACATACATACATACATACATACATACGTATACATACATACATACATACATACATACATACGTACCTGCATGCGTACATACATACATACATACGTACATACCTACCGACCTACATACATACATACATACATACGTACATACATACATACCTACCTACCTATATACATACATACATACGTATGAATAACTATATATATATATAGATATATATGAACCCCTCTCCCCCAACATATTCCCCCCACGTTCCCCGAGGTACCTGTCTACCAAGAAGGGCTGCGCGGAGAACCTCGAGGCCTTAAGCGCGGGCGGCATCACGGAGCTGGACATGATCCTGCCCTCCGGTTTCATTCGATTCGCTTTCGCCTTGGGTTTGTTTTCCGTTTGAAGCAGGCATTTGTGTGTGTGTTTGTGTGTTTGTGGGTTTGTTTGTTGGTTTGAGGGATTGAGGGATTGGCCTTGCTTGGTCTGTGTCTGCGTGTTTGTGTTTGCGTGTGTGCGTGCGTGCGTGGGTGTGTGGGTGTGTGTTGTTGTTTGTTTGTTTTTTTGTGTGTGTGTGTGTGTGTGTGCGTGTGCGTGTGCGTGTGCGTGTGCGTGTGTGTGTGTGTGTGTGTGTTGTGTTGTGCTTGCTTGCTTGCTTGCTTGCTTGCTTGCTTGCTTGCTTGCTTGCTTGCTTGCTTGCTTGCTTGCTTGCTTGCTTGCTTGCTTGCTTGCTTGCTTGCTTGCTTGCTTGCTTGTTTGTTTTGAGTGTGTGTGTGTCCTGGCTTTGATTTCGACAACCACCAGAACTAACATTTGAGAGCCAATCAATTCGGGGGTGAGCCGGGGTGCAAGGGGGGCTGCTTTGTCATGTAGAACATGGCAGGGTTTCCCCGGTGGCCTCTTAGTGGCTTGCTCGGAGCTGAACCCGAATGCATGGGGTAAATATCTATATATATTTTTTCCGGGCCTCTACTTACATGCTGGCTTTTAGCAGGGAATGAGGAAGTTATCCATAGCAGCTTTTTTCTCGTGGCTTCCTTTAGGGGAACCTTCCGGTTCCCAAAGCCTGCACTCGAGGTTGGACTATCCGGCGAAGGATTGCGAGACCATCCGCGGCCAGTGGAAGGCGTTTGAGGAGAATGAAACGGGCCCCAACTTTGGGGCCGCAAAGGGTGTGGCTCAAAAGAAGTGCGGGGCTGGGGGTTATGCAGGTTTCTTAGTCTGCCTTTCGGCATTTGGCCAGGGTTCCATGTTGGAGCTCCACTTTTGAGCCGCACCCAAGGGGGTTTCCTTTTGATTTCCCTTCAAATCAGCCTCAAAAAAATGTATATACTGAAACGGGGCTCAAGGCACCGTTCCTTATATGGGTACGGGTCAAAATTAAACTGCTAGGAATTGAACTCAGGTTTTGGTCCATGTTTCCACTTACAAGGGTTTCATTTACCTATGTTTGACCCACAACCATTTTGGGCTCCGCCGCCGGATGCCGCGGGGGAGTTTCGTGAATCTCGAAGTATCCGGGTTGCTGGCTAGCAGGGAAATGGTCGCTTCAAGAAGTTGATTTCGCAGGCATGGTTGTTGTTGGGAAACATTTAACATTTTTGCTTGTTGTGGTTTAGTGGTTTGAAATCCCCACTTGACTGCTAAAAAATATTTCCACCAAGCAGGCACCTGCTAGGTTCTGCTAGGTTAGTGTGGGGATGGATACCGGGATCCGGGAATCATATATTTTTCCTAAACATGAAAACATGACATCTTCAGTGTTTTGAGCTCCGAACGAAAGACGCTAACTACTAATGAATCAACACACACCGCCCGTCAACATGAACGTTCCAACACATCCTCGTTTCATATGCCTGCGTGGGTGCTGCTTGCCGGTTTGCGAGCCTGCAGAACCTTTTTGCGGGCACTAAGACCGGCTCGAAGATTGAGAGTCTGGAGAACGAGCCCTCAGAACCCGTTGAACAATTGCTGGTGCAACAGCCCCGAAGACAGTTAGGCGGGCCGAGGTCCTTTAGGGTTCCTTGGGGCGAGGTCTCGACTCGGATAAGTTTCCTACATCTCGATTTCAACGAAATGGATCTGGGCTAAGCTTCAAGAGGTCAAGCAAGACCAGGGCCCACGCATTTTGCAGAGAAAGGCAGTTGTTTGTTTAGCCAATTCTGGTCGAGCAGTGGGGGGAGCCGGGTTTGAACTCAATGAGTATATGGGCCAAGCTGAGTTCGAATTTGGCTGCACCCCGCTTCTCAATGTGATGTGCACATTGTGTTTGCTGAAAAGCATATGTTTATTGTGTGTTGGTATTAAAGGGAGTCGATTTTACTACTTTCAATGGAGGTTGTGGATCAGCGCGGGTCCAGAAGACAGGAGACGGTTTGTTTTAGGTGGAGAAGCCGCAAGGGACTTGTTCGGATTCCCCAAGGCCTTTCTCCCAAGAGGACGGCAAACAGGGGAAGGGAATCTTCATACGCTACTTGGTTGTTCAACAACCTTAACAAATCGTTTTTCCGCAACCATGGTTATCAGAAAGCTAACCCCAGCTACCCAAGTTCCAACCATGGTTACATTGGTCCCTGGTGCATATTGCTTGGAACATTTTGCCAACTAATTGGTTTTCCATTAAACCACTAAAAGTTAAACCTTTAGCAGGGGAGCAGAAAGCAACCAAGGTTATAACCTGACGTTGGTTGGACCCCAAGTTGACTCGAGGAGATGCTGGCGGCAGGGCAGACCAAGAGCCTGGCCGTCAGCAACTTCTCCCCGGAGCAGTTGGACTGCATCCTTCAGACGGCTGCTCGGCCCCGGAATCGGCGGATCGGCAAGCGGCAAGACTCCGGGGAGCATTCTTCGGGTCAGCTATCCCCAAACCACAAAGGAAAGTTCAAGTACTGTGGACAAAATCCACTTCGCACCACCCAAGAAACCCTGGAATGATGATTCCCCTATATTCCCCTGTAAATACCAAAAACAGTGGCCTTTCATGGTTTCAAGGCAGGATTTTGTCCACAGTATGCACCCTCGCATCATGTATCCCGAAGTGTCGCCTAGAAAATCTTTGCTTGAGGCTTATGCCTGCAGGGAGAAGATGTGGACACAAAAGTGGGTGTGACGCGGAAATTGGGCGTCTCTAGCCCTAGGGTTACGTAGGTTCTAGTCTTAGTTCCATTTACGAAAATGCAATTTTGGTACATCCATTTGAGCCACAGCCAAATGGACCTTTTGGGACTTTCCTGGCTGGACTGGCATCGCCGCGTCCGACAACGCAGCTGAGGATGCAACGCCCCCCGTCCTGAACCAACTGCCGTACTCCCTGAAGAACTACGACAGCAACGCGGTGAAGGAAAATGCCAAGCGCAGCTTGGCGTGGGATATCCTCGGGCTTCTGGCGGTTGCTTCCCCGGGGTTTCCGCAGGTTTTCTAGGCGGATCCCTGAACAGAACGGGGGAGGCACCCCCCCCTTACTCGTTCCAAGACTTCATATCTAACTCCGAGCTAAGGGTTGAACATCCACCAGGCAGACTGCAGCATACCCTCTTTCCGGCAATTTCAGAGCTTCCAAAGGCCTCATTGCCATGCTAGTTCCGTGGAATGTTCAGATGATCTGCGACTGTGTTCTCATTCGTTTACCCTCCTGGAGGTTAACATGGAACCCCAACACTTCGTGTTCGTGTTGAAGTCTCTGCTTTTTGGGGGACCCCCCGTTTAGATTCCACTCAAATTGCTGGGTGCGAAATAGCCCATAATTCAGGTTTTCGTGGTGGTTTGGATTGGTAGTTTGACAAGGGTTTCGAGAATGAACCCGTGGGATTTTTCTTAGGACCAGGTACAGGAGAGTATGTTGCCGCGCGAGTGAGCTCGGACAATCTGCATGGAACCCGCCTGAAGAATCCGACTCAGGACCTGACCGTCCCGGTGTCCCGTCTTCCATCATGTGGGACTGGGTCGTGACTGGTAGATCTGTCAGAGGCGAATCGAAGCCGTCCATTGGTGACCACCCACCTGCGCTAAAATGAGCATGGAGAAGAAACACACGGTCCATCTGAATCCTCAACGGTTATCAAATCCTACCTCGCATTTGGGCCAAATTACAACCATGGTAGTTATTTTCTCGAGAAAGAATGCCCCTGAACAAGTTTCAAGCAGCTGAGTAATTATCAACATGCGTTTCCCATGTTCATGACATATTGTTTTACCTTCATGGCACCAATATCCCCGAAACCCTGCAAAAACACAACAATCCTCCAAACCCCTCCCAAAACCAATCCCCAAACCACCGCAAACTCCTGCCCGCAAACCCCCCAACCCCCCCCCCCCTCCCCCAAATCCCCAACTCCCCAAATCCCCAACTCCCCAAATCCCCAACTCCCCAAATCCCCAACTCCCCAAATCCCCACCCCCCCCCCCGGAAAACAAAAAAAACACACACACACACACACAAACAAACAACCATCTCCGCGAGTCGACCCCACCGAACCCCCCAGCGCTCCGCTCACTTCACCGCCGCAGGCGGCATCTTGGTCCAGGCCTGGGGCCCCCTGGGCAGCGGCTCCCTGGGCCTCAGCGCCTCCTCCACCTGCGAGGAAAACGACCCGATCAGATCGATACCTATAGGTCCCCCAGGTAGTGCGCCCTTTTACGGTTTCTTTTTGGGGGAGGAGTCCCCTAAAATAGACTACAGAAGAAATAAGGTACCCTTTTTCTAGTTTCTCTACTGGAGGACCTAGATACGGGTCGATTGGGACGGGTTCTTCCCATGGGCCCGACACATGTGTTGCGTTTTTTTTTTGGGGGGGGGGGGAGGACAGATCGATCCGAAAACGACCCGGATCAGATCGATACGGGTCGATTGGGACGAGTTAGTTCAAATGGAATGTGTTTGATCCCTTGGTGGCCGTAGCGAGGGTCTGTTCGCAGCGTTTTCTTGGGCCCAAAACATGTGGTGATTTTTTAAGCCACCTTTGGTTCTTTAATCAACCTCAAAGGGTATTGGACCGAAACGGGATGAAACGGGGCTGGTGGATTTGTTTCACATGGCTGTGGGTCAAAACCAATGGGATCCCATTTTGGGGCAGGTGCACCACCCAGTTTAGTCTATTTTAGTGGGGATTGGGATGTTCACCTCACTGAGGTCACCTCACTGGGGGTGCGAGATTTTGACCCATGGCCATGTGTTGCAATTTGTTGGGCGGGGAGAAGGAGAGGGCCCCAAATCCTGTCAGTTCGATCCCATTGATCCGAAAGCCAATGGGACTGATTCTTCCAATGGAACTCACTGAACTGAATGCATTTGTTTAAGGAACCCGATCCGGATGGATTCGGAGGGATTCAGATGGAGTGCGTCGGGGGATGTTTGGGGATCTTGGGGATGTGGGGCTGGACAAATCCGCTCCGCAGGTGAATCCATGGTTTGTGCCAAGGTTTCTTTCGGCGGTTCCCAGCGAGGTGTTTGGTTCCTTAGGTTGTTAGTTGATTCATAGGTTGTTGGTTGTTTGTTCCTTAGGCTGTTCGGTTTTTAGCTGGTTTAGTGAGGAGGTTTCCGTACTCCACTTCAAAGTAAAACAAATTTGAATTCTGGGGTGCCTGCAAAGCGGGGGGGGGGGGGTTGATCAATATTCCCTTCGTAGTGAGTTTCCTGAAATGGTCATTCCATGTAAAAGTCCTTTTCATCAACCCCTAAATGGATATTTGGTTTCATGCATCGATAGAGCCTTGATGGTGTTCGAGGTTGTTGACAGCCTTTTTGTGCTCAGCGGGTTTGTATGCAGCGTTAGCCATTTTTGCTTGCTTTGTAATCCTTACCAGTTTTGTGCTGTTTGACCCTCTTCACGCTCTTAATGGCTTTTGAGAACTATGGAAATGCTTTACAGGCTTTTGAGAAAATGTAGGATCAGCGAGTTTCAGGAACAGGAGAGTAGTAGTTTGGAAGGGTTTGGTTGTTTTGAGTCTGCAAGCCGTTCATCTGTGGCGTCCAAGGGCGATCGTCGTAGAAGGCTTCCCCAGCAAATAAACCACGGCCAGCGTGGGCAAGGAAACAAGGGAGTTCAGAGGATACCAAGCAGCGGTCGTCCAAGTCACCCTTATGCAAATATGTTGATACTTTGAGGGTACCCTTCACAAGTTGGTCCAAGGATGGCTCAAAGGGATCCAAAAGGAAAGCGAGTGCAACTATCGGGGTCCGAATCCCTTTGAGACGAACCTCCCAACTTGGCCATTCCCTGCAGTTTTGCAAGTGCCAGCCAGGTCCTGTTTTCACAATTAGCTTGGGAGTGGCTGCCAATCGGCGCACAAGCCACAGTGTATTACTGGGACCCTGTACAAGTTAAACTCTCCCCTTCATGAGCTGCTGCGAGAGACGGATCAACGTTCTGAAAACGGCCCGCTGGTTGTTCCTTCAAACTGGTGGTGCCAACAAATATATATATATATATAAACTCATTGTATATATATATATATGTATATATATATATATTATATACATACATATACATATATTTACATATATATATATGTATACCGTGTTTATATGTACAAACAGATATACATATACAAATATATATATATATATGCAGCATGTACATATTTTGTTTATCTATATGGGTGTGTGTTTTCTTGGGGACCTCTTTTTGGTTGGAGTTTTGAAGGAAAACCAAAATGAAGAACACCCGGCAAACCTCTATGTTTATAATGGGGAAATCTAAAGGCGATGCTCTAGCGGTGGTACCTACCCCAGTCGAACTGGCATGAGCCTAAACAACCACCATGCACATGGTCTATAAAAGATACCCTCCCCTTGTCCCTAGCGGTGCTTTGAGAACAAAAAGGCGTCTTACCGTTGTAAAAATCAAGATGGCACCATTCCTCCATGGTTGCTTTCGTCAGCCCCGACAGAACAATTAAACAAGCGCCATCTACTGAATCTACGTTTACCCTGTTGTGGATGGCGAAATTTACTTGGGCACCCTTTGAATTTCGGGAATTTTCATACCACCATTTGCAAGGCAATGCTCAGGTGTATAATGTAAGGATCCCTGTTATGTCAGAGTCCATTCATTAAAATTCTACAGCCAGATAGTTTTCGATCAGGAGATCGGCGCCAAGTACGGCAAGTCTGCAGCGCAGGTGGCGCTGAGCCCCGCTTGCACGAAGAAAGTCCAAGGAAGTGTACCCTACAACTTAGGAGGCTGGTTCACCAGGGGTTTTACAGGGTTTCCTCCATTTCCCTTTTTGGAACCTCCAAAGGTAGGTTGAATGGACACCACTAGCACAAGAGAGAGGTCCCGCAAAAAGGTGCGGCTTGTGGCTGCCAGCGCATTTCGTGAGTTACAGGGCGCCCCTGACGACCCTTTGCCCTGGCACTTACTTTGCAATGAAGTATCATGAAACCTGTCAGAAATTGCGTTTAGATGGCCTTTTCAAGGATAGCTCATGAAACCATATCTCTCTAGAACCCTACCACAACTTTGCTCCGCACGATCCTAAGATGATTGATTCTGGCCCAGATTTGTTAACCTTCTCTTGCGCACATTTCTGCTGAAACCTATGAAATCCCCAAACAACTTTCTCGTTTCCCAGAGCTACACATTTGCCCACAGAAATCGCAAACACCAACACCACTTGGGGTCATTCCAACTCATTCCCAGCTGAGAACCACGGTTCCTGCCGCGCTTGTTACACACACTCCGCTTCACTCCACCAATGAGCGCTCACCACTTTACCGCTTCGGCTGAAGCGTCTTGGGGTGAATCATTTGGCTCGCGCGGTCCATATTGAGCCAACCATGTCTTGCCAGGCGAGCTCCAACCAAGCCAGAATTGGTCTTGCAAGAACACCTAAAACAAAATGTGCTTCACGACTATTAGGACCCTCTCCAGGTTCAGGCTAGCCTCCCCTCCAAGCATAGAACCTGGCTAAATCTCCTGGACGACGATTTTCCTCTAGGGCCCTCCGATGGGTTCGGGCCATGTCGTAAGGAACCTCCTTGGAAGAATTGGACTTCCGTGCAGGGTTGCTAAAATACTGCACGTGTGCAGTTTCACAGTCACATTTACCAGATGTATTCGAGTGTTGCGTTGTGAGGTAGCGACGTTTCGGTTGAAGTCTTCTTCTTGTTGCTGGGTCTCCTCCCAAATTGTGTTCACCGATCTTCGCATTTTGTGTTTTTGTGTGTGTGTGTTTGCTTTGTTGTTCTGTTTATTTTTAGTTGGGGGCTTTCAAAACATAGTTGTTTGCAACTATACCAAACGTTGTGAAGTTGTGTTATATTTCGGGCTAGGCCAAATATGGGCCAGAGTCTGACCACATCTTATGGAAACATGGACTAAAACCTGCGGTTCCCTGGTTGCTTTCTTTTGACACATACCCATTTGGCCCGTTTGGCGCGTGACTCGGTGCGCAAACCGATCCGAGGCGGTGGATCCTGCAGACCGGCGCCACCTTCACGACCCAGTCTAAGAAGCAGGACGTGGCGTTTTTCAGAAAGGTGCGACCTCTAATACTTTATTTTGCGCACCCCAGAGCGAATCCACCTTTGACCTTTTGGTGTCCCGTGTGAACTCATGCGAACTCATGCGAACTCATGCGAACTCTTATCTTTGTTTTGCTCACTGGGCCAAAGCGAATCCACGTTTTGAGCTTTTGGTTTTGCCTTGTTGGTCTATTTTTAGTCATGGCCTTTTTTTGGTCATGGCGCCTAAAGGTTAACCTTTTCTTCTGAGTCCTTTGGGCTACTAAGTATTCGATCAAATGTTGACCTTTGTCTTCCCTTCTTGGTTCCCATTTTAAGGCATGGCACCAAAAGGTTAACCTTATATTTTTACGTCCCTTGGGCAACTGAGTTTGTTGGGCAACTGAGTTCCTGGACTTTAGTCACTTTCGGGCAGACCATTCCAGTAAACAAGAAGTTTGGGCTTTTTTGGGACACCCCCGAATCAAAATCAGTTACCACCAGTCCATCTGCCTATTTTGTGTTACCCTGGGGGTAAACGAGCGAGATCCCGGGATGTGGGTGCCCTACTTGATCCAGTTCTGGCTATCATTTTGTTCAATCTTCCCAGGAAGAAGCCAATGGAGGATGGAAAATTGCTTGATGTGCTTAGACGCACCGGGGAGCAGTGATATCTGATTTGGAGACAGCTGCGAGGAAACGTAAGCTCCAAAAGAACCATCACAATCGAGGGACATGCGCGCCCAACATTCAGAGAAGCACTCCCCCAGGCAAACAGCATGTGAGACTTCGCCAACACTTGTGTTTGTGTTCACTGGTGTTTGTTAGGTTTGAACTAGTATTTGTTGATTCTAAGTCTGTTCGCGAGTTTTGTTGGCGACTTCTTTGAATGTGGTTTGATCTTCACCTCACGTTGCCCTTGGAGGGTTGGACTGGTGACTGGTGGCTCGATTCGATCTCCTGGCTCCCATTGAACACCCAGATGCAAAGGTGTCCCGCAACCAACGAAGAAGATGCATTTATTCTCCCCAGCCCATTGGAAATCCGAGACCACAGGAGCAACCTGACAATCTAAACCCGGCTGGGTGAAGGTTCGCAAGGCTCGGTCCATCGGGGAGGTGCAACCGCCCTTTCCTTCCATCTTTTTGGGTCGACCATTTGCATGTCGGGTTTGGATTGCGCGACTGTCGGGTTCAAGCAACGTGCCAAGAACACCTGTGCTCTGGCGTCCAGGTAGAGTGTATTTTGCGAGATCAACAGGTACATTGGTTATGTGCTGCACTGGGATCCCACCATACTGCATGCAATGGGGGCAGTTGCAAAAAGAAACGCTTCACCAAAGATGTTTCCCCCTGCGGGTGCTGGGTCTAAGGCACTGTGAGCATAGGTGTCCTTTTTGGTTGTTTTGCTAGAAAAGTAGATGGCCCTGGTTTACCTGGTGGTTTAGTCATCCACCAGGGCCATCTATTTCCCCTAAAAGGACACCTATGACTGTGAGTTGTACAAGGGGGTGGGGTGTGTTTTTCCCCACCAGTCGGCACGGTTGGTTTTTCCTTGCCAGGAGCACTTCGCTGAAGACATCCAAATTTTCGACTTCCAGCTGACGGCGGAGGAAGTGACCAAGCTGAGTGACATCAGCAACAGCGTGGGAGGCGGAAACTTTTGGGGGACAACAGGCACAGCTTTCTGACCTGTGAATGGGACCTGTGAATCGGACTCTCTGGACTTGGTGGTTCCCAAAATTTCCGGTTCCTTAGCTGTTTAGGCTTCTGGGCTTTACTGGTAGCTTCCATTTAACCCACGACAAGTCAAACTTTCAGCAGATCTGAGGACAGCCCAGGGGAGGATTTCTAACCTTGGGGTCTCCATTCCCCAAGAGAGGCCAGAAGTTACACCCTGGCCAAGCCCAGTTGCCGCGAGCTTCCTCGACTTCCTGAGCTCCTGTTACTTGAGTCACTTTTCGAGAAGGCCATTTGGTAAACAACAAGCTCCTGATATTTTTTGGACTGATCCACTTTTCCAGTGAGTCTTATTTTGGTTTGAAATGATGGGTAATATTTGCCGATCCCATCGCATTCTGTTTCAAGCGAGACACAAGCTCACTCGCAGCCAGCACCTTGCACTGGCCCAGCGCGAATGCGAATGGGCAATCTATTTGGGATGTCACGCTGTGCCATCGCAACGAACCCCTCACTGGAGTTTGGATCATGCACATGGCCACCCCTCATGAGAAAACAAGCCGGGATGCGAACAAGCGGAACTTTCAGAAACCCTCCTTTTGAACCCTCCCTGAAAGCTGCCCCACACCTCCCCAGAGCCTATCTGGGCAGAAACCCCACAGCTTTCTTCTGTTGGGACCTCCATTGGAAGGTTTTGGGCCTCATTGGGTTGCAATGAGGTGGATCCTCTGGGTTTGGGGACCTGTGCTCGTTGGGCTCGGGGAGGGTGTTCCAGTCCATTTGTTGCTTTCATGGTCCCAGGTGCGTCCGTGTTCAAGTTTTGGTCCATTTAATCAAGGGCCCCAACATTGACCTGAAATTTCAAGGTCCTTTGGGAAAGTGAGCTGCTTCTAAAATGTCTTTTTGTTTCTGAGGGCTTCTTGTTAGAGGCTGCTGGCATTACTATACCCGGCGTTCATGTCAGGGTTGGTTGTGTCAGGTGCTTCCACTTGGGTCTCTGAGAACCCCAGCATGTTCACTGGCTTGCTCTTTTGTTCCCGTTTTGGCGGTTTGAAACATCACCTCCTGGCCCCTTCAATACGTCTCCTTCGGATGGGTACAGGAATCGACATAGACCTATGAGGCGGTCAGATACGCCTCCAAGAGGCGTCCCCAGTCTGACCGAAATCAACCCCCACAAAGGCCTCGCAGAGACCTTTGTGAAAATGCAGATGTTGCACCGGGTGCTGGATAGACACATTTGATTGGCTTTGCTAAGCCCAAGCAGTGCGTGCACTGTTGCTTTCGCTCTTTTGCATGCAGCCGAGACCTTCTTGCAAAACAGGCAGGTTGGGGCTGGAGCGCGCTACCTTTTGCTGGGTTTTGCCCAAAAGGAAACTCGAAGGTGATGCGCTTTTGTTGAAGCAAAATCCTGAGCATCATCTCCCAAAAGGCCTGTAAACGGGTTGGTCTCTGCATGGAGGAGCCCCCACAAAAGTGGTTTCATTGTTTTTTCCTTCGGAACACCGGCAAAATCACACGGGGAGAAGAGCCCCAGTTCAGGCCCAAGGGAACGAAGCGATTTTTTATTTTTTTTGCGGGGTGATGGGCTTGCCTCTTGAATGGAACCTCTTTTTGTTATAACCCAGAGGCTCCCGATTGGTATAGGGCCTTCAAACAACCTGGTTTTGAGACCCCCAACCACCTCCCAGTTGTCTAATGGGGTCGGCGCTTCAATAAAACCGCCAAAGCCGGGAGCCTCTGTCTTTTGTTGCCGTCTCTGTTTCTTCTTGTTTTTTCTTTTTTCTCCGAGGTGATGGGTTTGCATGTTGAATGGAACTTTTCTTTGTTGGCTCAGCCCGTTCTGCGTGTCTCTTGCTTGCGGATTCGGTCGTCGCGCGTCGCGCAGGCCGGATCAGCGCTGCAGCGGACGTGGTGGTGCCCTTTGGTGGAGCCGTGGGCGGAGCATTGGTGAGCCTTGGATCCCCAGAAGTCGCTCCCCCTTTTTTTTGACTCAACAAAAGTTGGACTCAACAAAAGCAGACAGCTACAAGAAGGGAGCCTAACAAAGATACATCATAACTTCCCCAGAATCAGTTACCTTTTTTGTTGCTTTTTGGGGTCCCTTTGTTTTCCACTAACCAGGAAAAACTATGTTTGTTCCTGGGGTCCGATTTTTCCAGCCTAGGGATGAGGGGCTCATTCTACAGGTTCTGAGCCACTAAAAGTTATTGACTTGTAGCGGGGGATCTGAGGGCAGTTCCATGCAGTGTCGCTTTTTGAGCAACTCTCTTGGGCTCTTTTAAAAGAAAGCAACCGGGAAAACCACCACGTTTGGCTTCCCCGTTGTTGAAGGTACATACTTTCAATTGAGCCACAATCAAAATCTGGGTAATTGTAAACGCTTCGCGCTGCCCGCCTCGGCCCAGCCTAGTTTGAGGGCAGGGTCAGGAACACCGAAATCCAGTGTTGGGAAGGTCCGAATCCTACTGAAAGCTTGTGACCGCACCAGTTCGCCCGTGCTAGTTCGATGTTCGGAAGCCGTCCTGCTCGGAAGGTTTGAAATCCAAAACCAAGACTATCTCAGCTGCTCAGTGCCCTTGGAGAAAAAAAAGGACCTCTTTCTGGGGATGAGCATTTTTAGCGGGGCTTGGCCTCCATAAAAAGGGGAACAATAATTGGTGTCACTGAACAACCAAGACCAACTTTGGGTGTTTGGGCACCTCCATTTGACGTGGCTGGCGGCTTGCCATGACATACATTTCTTGCTCGGTTGCTCAGCCCAAGACAGGTACATGGTGGGAATACAAACCTCCATTGGCTTAAGTACCCCGGAAAATATCCTCAATAGTGATAGTTTCCCTGTAAAACCAACAGGGGGACATAAAGAATATTCATTTCAGCAAGGATTCATCTAAGCACACATCCTTCGGTCCTTCAGGATGAGAACCGCAACAAAAACCTACCGTGTGAATTCACCTAGCAGCTTTGCAGTTGGTAGCTGGTGGTCGTTTGGCTTCTACTTACATGTTCCTTCAAACACCTGGGGTTCCATATGTCCCCTTTCATGTAAGGACCCCTGTTTAAAAGCAAACCCGTCAAGTTGCCCAAGTAAAAGGTCGTCACATCAATTGATGCCATGCGCCGGACCAGGCTGCTGGTTGGGAAAGGCCTGCGCCTGGGCAGGGCGGGCTGGGCTGGGCCTTGCTAGGGCGGGTGGTTGCGCCTGGAACTTGGGCTGGGCGGATGGGCAAGGCCTGTTTCATACACACTTGGGCCTGAGGCTGGGTGGCGAGTTGCTGGCTGGGCTGGCCAGAGACACGCCAGGCTGGCATACTTTGAGACCAGTCTCAGACTGCGCCGAATAAACTGGATGACTTGGTTGGGGCCAGACGCGAGCAGGAGGTCAAGGCCTGGCCAGCCTGGGCTGAGCTGCTTGGGCAGCCGGACTGAGGGGCTGGGGCACGTCAGACAGGCTTAGTAGCTGGCTTAGCTTGAGACCAGTCTCAGACACGTGAGACTGGCCGTTGGCCTGAGGCCAGTCTCAGACACGTTAGACAAACCTGACCTTGGCACGCTGGGCTGAGCCTGCTGGTGGGCTGGGAGCTGGGGGCCGGCCTAGTGACTGGCATGCTCTGAGATGCGCCGGGGCCTGGGCTGGGCAGGCTGGGCTGGGCTTGCTGGATGACTTGGGGCCGTGCTTGGGCGGGTTGCTGGTTTGGCTAGGCCAAGCTTGGGCCTGAGGCTGGGCTGACAGGCCTGGCAGCAGGCGGGTTGCTGGTTGGGCTGGGCCTGAGCCTAGTCTCAGACACGTCAGACAGCAGGAGGTCATGCTTTTCAGGACAAAAAAGCATTTTTTTTACATTTTGGTTGGGGGGGAGGGGAAAAGCGAAGATTCTCTTTGGAGAAGAGATCTGAGCGCCCTTGGCCCCTTTGGGGCCGAGGCGAATTGGAGGGTAGTAAGGGAGAATCCCAGCCATAAATAGCTGCGGATATCCGCCTTAATTCTTGAAGCATGGCTCTGGGATGACCATTTTGCACCGATCGGTTTTGATGTCTCTTTCGTTCCCAAAGGGGAACGATAAGGAATCGGTATTTCTTTGACCCGGTTCTGCGGGCTCCCATGGCCGCATATTTACTTGGTGGTTGTTGGGAAAGCTTTTTTTTCTTCAATTTTTGCTCCCCTAACCCAACGTCAACCAAGTGTTTACCTGGACCTGGGCATGCTTGTCTCGGTTGGTTATGATAAGTGAACCAGACATCTGACATGCTTGCGCGCCACAAGAGACCTTCTCGGCGCCGTTCCCTCAAGAACTCGGATTGGGATAGATGCTAAAATTGATGGAATGGCAAGGGGGGTTGCATCACGTGGGTTTGTCGCAAAATTCCGGCGCCAACATGGTTGGAGTGTTTCGGTTGTTCCATTTAAACCGCCCCAGAGGCGGGCACACGAAAAAAAGAAAAAAAAACAACCCATGGAGTCGCTCCTGGCAAAAGGTCCCGGAAGGCGAATTTTGGGGGTCATGAGTTGAGGATCTCTTCAGTGCTGGACTCCTTCGACAAGCAAGCGGAGGAGTCTTTGAACATCTTTTCGGATTTCTGGGCTTCATCTTTTCGGGAAACGATCGTGTTGTTTGATTTTTGTTGTTTTTCCTTCTCCCCCCCTTTTTTTTGCAGTTGACCCGCCAAAGGCCGAGTGCTTTGTGTAGGGGCAATGGCCACATCGATTCAGCCTGAATTTTGGGCGTAGGCGGTCCTTTGAACTGCGTTTCGGAGGGTAGAGGCAATCCGAGTTTGGAAAAGGAAGTTCATATCCAGCCCCCTCCCCGGAAACACCCAGGAAAACATAGGTGGTGTCCTTTCGGGTCTTTAGGGTTTTCTGGCGCTTTTTGTTGGGCCCATTCCTTGCTTTGGTGCCACGTTTTTTGGTTTTCTCTCGTGGCCTCGGGCGGGTTCTCAACAGTTCCTTTGGGACACTTCCAAGAATCCCCCCGTTGGGTTTGCTCGGTGCAAAATTTCCGTTTGCCGGGTTCGGCGGGTTGGGTTCGCATTCTTTTTGACCCAATGGCCGCGTCGTAGGGCAACTTCAAACGAATGGACGGCAGTTGCTTTTGTTGAGCTGCTTGTTGCAAGAGCGAGTATCGCCCACGTGGAAGGTATAGCATGTGCATGGACATGGGGGCAGTGAAACTTGGATTTCGCCAAGTTTCATCTCACTGGCGGCTCGCCTCAAGCCCATGTGGGCTTCCTGATCGATCGAGTTCAGCAAAAGACTCCCGTCCTTTTCCGGTGTCTCCAAGATTGCGGTCCGTGTTAGGATTGGCTATAAACATGACATAATCTGATCATATTGTTGTTGATGCAATCGCCCTAGAGTTGGGCCAAGAATTAGCTTCCAGCAGTGATCCGGATGTCCTACATTGGGTTGATCCATCCTGGTTTCCAGAAGCTGCAGCGGCTTGTCCGGTTGCACCCTTTGCCATTTCCCGGGAGCCGCTCCAGGAGAAAGACAAGGTCAGAGAGACCAAGCCAAAGGGCAAAGATGCCAAGAAGGAGGAAGAGGAGGAGGAGGAGGAGGATGACGATGGGGCACTTTGAGCTTTCGATCCTTGCGCAAATTAGAAGGAGACCTCACCAAATAAAAAGTTAGCTCAACCGGGCCCTTCATTCCGATGTGTTATGAATATTTGCGCAGGTCGTATGCAGCTGGCAGTTTGGCAGTGGGTGCGGACTTATTTCGCCGGGCGCGGAATCAAGCCATATTTGTTCAGTCCAAGACCTTCAGACCCCCCCCCCCCCGAAGAGGCTCCTAGATTCAAAGATCCCCTGCAAAGAAATATCTGAGTTCCTGGACTTTCGTCACTCGAGAGGACCATTTTGCTACGCAACCAGTTTAAACGGTTTCTTGACTGATCCTCCCACTGGATGGGAAGTGAGAGACATGTCTCTTGGCTTCCCGGACGGCAACCAGCGCTGATGCCAACAGACGGCTCCAAATGCCAAGGTCGGCTCCAAAGGTGAGCCGATGCAATGCGAATCGCCCGTGCTTCGGCGCGTTGCCGCTCTTTTCTTTTTTTTTTTTGCGGAAAAAGGAGACATGGAGGCATTCCATGTAAGTGTTTGGAGAACGGATGGTGCAGGAATCAACGGTTTTGCTTTTGGAGATTCCTTCCATTTGCAGAAACCGCAACTTGTTGGGCCACGAGACGCCTGAAAACAGTTTCCTTTGCTGGGCACAATTTTGGGGGTCAGTGGCCCCCGTCCCTGATAATAGTTTTTTTCAGTGGTTCTTCCTTTGGCCGCTGCCTTTGGACTGCTGCGGGGGGACACGTTCTGCAATGGGACGCTTGTTTGGGCAGAAGCCCAAGCTGAGCCAACATCAAAACACAAGTAAGGGAAGGTTAGGGACAATACCAACCCGTGATTCATGTGGTGTGACCAGCATCCACTAGACCTTGGGAGGCTAGATACTGAAAAGGCCATGTGGGTGCGAGTCTGTTTTTGGGGCGCACGCGATTTTCGCGGTTGTCCTTTTGGTTTGGTTTTTGCAGTCGCAAAATTGGTGTGCTCTCCAAAAAAGCGAGACCCATTCAGATCGATTCGGGTGGAATCCTTTGCAGGTCTGCGGAGGATGGACCTGATTCGAGTCGGCCGCCCCAGCGCAAGCCTTGTGGGTAACCCTGCCAGCCCACTTGCCGATGGACTTCAAGCTTGGGGACGACTGCATGGATTCCTGGGCAAACCATTTTGGCGGCAAACAAAAAAGGTGTGAACAGACTTTCCTGGCCTATCCACTCGATGGTAAGGGAGAAAAAGAAAGGTTCTCAGAACTAAAAAAACCCTAAAAAGGTTCCAGGAAAGCATCAGCTTTTTGGCCCATGCATATCCCTTGTGATGTTTTCAGGGGAAATATAGGGATCCCTGTGTTCCTGTGCGGTCTTGGGGGCCCATGAACGGTCTGCTTTGGAAGACTCAGCTGGCCATAGAAGCCGTTTGGGCGGTAATGCTTCGGCAAGAAAGACGTCTCAAAAAAAAAAACGGAAAACGACGACACAAGAACAAATCAAGCAAAACACATGTTTAATGCTACAACAGGACCCCCCCCCCAAAAAAAAAAAAGAAGACAAAAAAAACAGAGACATAAAGTTAAATCAAGATTGAACACGAGCTTGGGTTCTCTTAGTTTCCCTTTCAATCAGCCAAGACCCACACAACCAGCAAAAAGCCAACCGGCAGCCAGATTCCCCCCCCCCCCCAAACCCACCGACAGTCAAGGGCTTGGATCTGTCTTTTGTTGAGAGTACCCCCAGAGGTTTCCTTTCTAGCTTAGTTTGATTAGAAATAGGTGGCACTGGTTCAGACACGTTTCATTCCATTCACCAGTGCCATCTATTTGTCCAAAAGAACACATATGTTTACCCCCCCCAGCTTTTCCCAGGTTTGCTTTATGGGGAACTTGCATCAAACCCAACCATTTTGAGGAGCTCCCCTCTTTCGACAAACTAACTTGACTTTGTTTGCTTGGTAGCTACCAGCCATCCCCTTAGCTTCTTAGCCTTTTAGTGTTTAGTGGTAGTGTCCAATTAGTTGAAGTTTAGCGAGGGATCAGAAAACAGGCAGCCCAGATTGGTGTAGTCACTTCCCCAGGCTTTCTTGGCCTTCTCTGGCCGTATCGGCAAATTGAGCTCCGCCTGTGTTCCTTTTGGTCTGAGGCGTGCCCCCCGATGTGGACCATGCCACAGCAAGTCCGATGTTGGGACAAATGCTCCTACACGGCCAGCAAAAACGGGGACTCAGCTCCTACCACCTGTTGTGGTCCAAATCCTTTACTGCCAGTGATTGTCAACCACCTGCATTTGTTTGACGAACCATTGAGGCCGTGGCTCATGTTATTTGTCTCTTTTATGGCGAGCTCGGCGGTATGAGCTCATCAGTTGCTTGGGGATCTCATTCTTAGCTCAGCGTTGGATTCTTGTAAAAACAAATGCAGATTAGACTAAGTTCCTGGTGAATCATTTGTAGAAGTTTTCAGTTTTGTATTTTGCAGCTGTTCTAGGGAATGACCATGGCCAAGAGTTGAGACCCCACGGACGGGTGCTCTTCTTTTTTGGCAAGCACCGCTTGTTGAACCCGCTGAGGCACAAAGCGGTTTCGTGTCACCAACCACTGCCTTTGCCTCAGATTCCATCGCCAGGCGAAAGCATCGGACGTGAAATTCTATCGGATCACAACTGTTGCGCTTCTGGATCCCCAGAAAAGCTGTTGTTTTGTTGGTGAGCCGTGTGTTTTCTGCATCTCCTACAGAAGGCTGCTCGTTCTTACACTTGTTCATGCTGATTCTACAAACCTTACGCATACGCGTGCACGCACACATCTATACACAGATTATGAAGGTATGTTTAGTATCCGCAGTTGATTGTGTTCCTTTGTGTCCTTCTTGGTTGTAGGCCATTGTCAGTTTCATTGTGCTTCCTACGTGTGCGTTTTGCCATGTTCGAGCCAGTTGTTGAGTGGTGGCCCCACGTTGAAGGACCCATGGCCTTTCCTTTCAACCGCGAGAACAGCACACGTCGCATGGCGTTGATTCAGGGCATGCCTTTGGGAACGCATCAGATACAGGATTCAATCACTGAACCTGGGATAGTTTTACAAGTTCTGAATATGGCCCAGACTCTTGATCAACATGTCATTCATTGCAACAGCGGTAGATGTCCTGCAAGGGCTTCATGTTCGTTTCGAAGCCTTGGCACAGCGAAACGAGTTGCATCATGGTGTTGGCCTTTTTTCCTTTTAGCTGGGCATGGCTTGAAAACGAGTTACCGAACCAAACTGCGATCCCAAAGGCACCTCCGAGGTGTTCAGAAAGCTTTGCCTTACCGGGGGGGCGGATCAACGTGTAGCCCGGAAATAGCAGACCTGGTGGATTCATGGGGGGCGGGTGGGTTCTTCCAAGAGTCAAGGTGTCCTCAAATCACCCTCCCCCCCCCCCAAGGCAAACAAAGAAGCGGAGTTTCCATTTGAGAGGGGTTGGACCTCCCCCCCCGCAACAAAGAAGTTAGGGGATCAATCCTCAGTTTCCACTTGAGAGGGGGCTGGAATTTGTTGGAATCCTCACGAGCTTCAGCGCAGTTCCCGCGCGCGTTTCAGGCAATGAAGACATCTGGATCCAATCCACCGGCCGCAGCCTCGACTCGAAGAGCGGAGGTTTGGCTCTTGAACCCTCTCTCACTCAGCATTTCGGCGGTGGCTCACAAAAAGAGGGTACCAAAATGGAACCCTGGGAAGTGAAAACATGGACCAAAACCTGCGTAACATGGACCTACATTGTTTTTTGTCCCAAGGGTCCTGGAGACTGGGGTGTGGAGTGGAGAGCTCGCCTGTGGCCCAAAGGAGCCTTTTACTTGAGGTTTCGTAACTCTTGGTACATTTTGCCAAGGGATAGGACACTAACTTTTTGCCAACTAATGGGTTTTCCATTAAACCGGAAGCTAAACTTTTAGCAAATTGCCACTTGGGCACTCAGCAAATTGCCACTTTGCCGATACGCAAATCCTCCCCGTGTTGCTCAAATACTGCGTCCTGAGGGAACCAGGACAATCCACCATTGGAGTTTCGCCCATGGCTCACATGCTTTCCCCACTTCCCCCCACTCTTCCGTTTCGCCTCGCTTCTTCGCAAAAAAACACAAGGCGCGGAGATGCCCTATGACGATTCCATCGTGAAGATCGAGTCGGGCAGGTGGGTTCATGTCGATTCGGCTCCGTTCCGGGGGCAGTTCCAGCGAGCAGTTGGAACGAACAAACCGGAAGGCCCTTGGCGTCCGATTGTCTTTGAAAACAATCCGGTTGTTTTAATGTTAACCCCGGAATAATAAACCCCTGGTTGATTAATAGGGGGGTGTCCCCTTTTAGTGGGGGGGTTATCGCTTTTGGAGGGAACACCCCCCCTAATGATGGGACGGGTTTATTAGTCCTGGGTCAACATTAAGAGGACTCTAATAAGTTTGTCCAGTCGACTGGGCAGAATGGAAGGCGGGGCTAGCAAACCTAAGAAGTCGGACCATGAAAGGCACTGAAGAGCCAACCATCGGCAAATTCCAACCCCTTTCCGCAAGATCTTCGGTAGGGGAGGTAAAGCAAGGCTAGAACCCGCGCAACGCCGTGGAAGACTTAGACTGCGACCCCAGTGACTAAATCAGTAGGAACCCAGAAAGGTGATTGCAGCTAGAGGTGGTTTTTCTCTTGTTCTCCCTTTGGGCTGGCTTTTTTTCTAGGGATGGTTTTCCGCAACGGCTGCGCCGGTCCTGACTTAAAGAGAGGGTGCAGTGTGTGGTCGGAGTCCCCCCCCAACAGCGTGAATTGGATTTCTCTTGAATGTCTCACTTCCTAGTTCCCGAACTTTCATTTTTCGAGAAGACGGCACTTTGTTTTTCTGAACTTTCAATTTTTGAGAAGACGATTTGAGTGGTAAAGAAAAGCTCATATTTTTTTGGAGCGAAAGCGAGGTGTTGGCTTAAATTCGGGCTTCGAAAGAGGTGCCCAGCGTGTCACTTGCCCAAAATGAGAATTTGGCGAATCGAATCGACTTAAGCTTTTGGATCGCGAGGTTTACATTTTCCCACGATTTCCTTCAGATCAAGTACCGAAGAACTGCAGTTTCTGTGGGCTTCGCATGCGACCCTTTAAACAGCGGTAGTCTCCGGATTTGTTTTTAAGGCCGGGTGTCCAACTTGTGTATGAGTTGATGAGCTAAGTGATCGCGGCACGTGCGGCACGTGCTTCGGATGTAGGTGTCCTTGCCGGGTTTTGGTTGGGACCAAGCTTGGGCAACTATTTAATCCGGCTTAAACAGCTAGGAGAGGGCCGAAAGACAGTTCGGCGGTTGCCCTCAGCCGTTGGCACTGTCTATATTTCGCCGCGCGCAGGCGCAATGTTTGGAGAGCCATGCGTATGTGTAGCTCCCTTTGTTCTACCGAACTTGGTGCAACGTGAAAAAGTTTGCTCCACTGACTGGGCAGCCGCAGCGCAGTTCGTCAAGTGCCAGCAGCAAAAAGCATGGGCGCGCAGCGCAGCCCGCAATCCGTGTGAGTGATGTCCAACGCGGCAACCCTGCGCACGGCTGACCGCAGGTCTCAAAAGATGGCGCTTGGCTTTGCGCTGCGCGCGCATCGCGCACGGACCGGTCAACGCGTGCGAAGCCTTGCCGTGACTGCTGACCTTCTCGTGGCCTGAGTGTCGAGCGGCGTCTTTCTGCGCGTGTAGGAGGAAGGGAAGCAGAGAAGAAGGAGGGAGGGAGGGAGAGAGGGAAAGAAGGGGCTTTATTGTTGGCTCGGCCGAAGCAGTAGATTGTTGAAGGCGGTTTGGCAGCAGTAGAATGGATGAAAGCTACTGCTTCGGTCGGCGTCGCTTTTGTTTGTGGAGACGTCAAGCCTCACACCGGTCGCGGTCGGGCACCGGTTTGGTATGTCGCTTTCAGCTGTGAAGTGTGTGTTGGGTGCGGGGGTTTATGTGCCCCGGTGCTGTCTGTGTTTAAGTCGTGTTTGGCGCAGCATTTAGTCCGAGCTCGCGCGCTTGCAGATTTCCGTGCGCAGGCGGAAAAGCATAAGGAACGCGCAGGGCCGCATTACATTCCGGGGCCTCTGCTGCACAGAGACCCACGTTTGACAGAGACCCACGTGAAATTGCAATGCCCTGCATCAAGGTAGCTCGTCTGCTTATCTTTCAGGCGCGGCAAGTCTGAAACGAGATGTCCAGCAAAATCGGAATTGCAGACAGCAGTGGCCACTGCAAAAGCACATCAGGAAAACCGCCTTGGCCATGCCACACTTCAAGCTCATCAACCTTCCAAACATTCGGCAAAGCTGGGACATATTCTTTTCGCTGAGTGCAATATCTTTCACATGTTTTGTTTGGCAAAATGACAACCCTATTTCAGACAGGTCGCAGGCACAGGAACTCGGAGCTCCGCAGTGGACCTGATTCTGATCTTCATGTTGGGCGCCCGGAAGCTCGCAGGTCCTATGCGTACTCCGTGCCTCAAGAAGGCGTGCCCTCCACACGGTTCTTGCCCAAGGCGTGGGATCTGCCTGTTTTACAGCAGGCTTGGGGCTAAATCGAACTCGCCTTGATGTTGGCCCTAGTATCTTGTCACCTTGGAGCGCTTACTTCCGGTATGAAAGAAGTCTACCTGTATTCACCCCCCGGTCCGAATACATGGGCCAATCCCTGCAATAAAGTCAGACGACAAGATCTTCCCTGATGATTGCAGTCTGGAATCCGCTTGCTAGCCTTCACTATCTGGGTTGTCACTGTGGCTCCGGTGGGCCAAGCGCGCGGTCCGCCCCCAAACTTTCACCAGCCTTAATCATATCGGTTTCCGTCAAGAATTCAAGGGGTAAGAGAGCGCCCGCTCCGTAGATTGCTGTTAAATTTCGCAGATTCATGTAGGAACCGCTGGTTGGCGAAAAGGGGGGTGTCCAGGTTTAGACAATCCACCAATTGCAGAGAATCCGGGGACGGGGACGTCTTGGGTGCTCGTTTGTTTTGGATTTAGTTTGGCTGCGCCACACTGAGTTGCAAACTCAGAGCTGCAAGGGCTGCAACTTTGGAAGTTTTGGAGCCCGGTGCGCCTTTGACTCTCGTTTTGCCAAGACGCGCCTGTAAATCCAAGCCTGTGAGTTGTTTGGATAAGTGTGGGGGAACCAGTCTCAAAAGTTGATGAAACCCGAAGTCCCTGTCAATGTTATCTTTGCAGCAGCGTTGGCTTCCCCGATGGTGTTTGTTGTGATGGGTCCCTTCCGACGCACTTCCCTAGAGCTGGGCAGGAGCGGGCGTCAATTGTTTACAGACCCGTAGCCCGTAGCCCCTTTTGTCCCCGGCTCCACTTTTGTTTGTTTCCCTGGCGCACCAAGTAGATGTTTTTCGCCGTGATCCCCAGCCATGAGACATGTTGCCTTTGAGTCCGGAGGGGTTGATGAAGCTAGCAAGGCCCATGCGTAAAGGCCATCACGGGTGTCCTTGCTCGGCGTTTCCGCCACTTGCAGACCGGCTGCGACCAGAGTGGCAACAACTGCCACGTGCGCGCCCCAAGGACCGTCCCGTACGGCCCGTACGTGAAGTGTGCATTTGTGGTTCGTGGAAGAAGTACTAGCATCAAGCATGTTGTTGGTTGGGGGGGTGAAAGCTGAGATTTGGGTCTTGCTGGGAAGGCGCGTCAGAATCGGTTTTTCCCATGTCAGTGTGATTCCCAGTGGGTCGTCCCTAAAACTACTTTGCCATTGCGGGGCTTTTTTTTGTGATTTTTCGCCGCCATGTCGGAAGCAGAGAGCTGCTAGAATGGATTGCAATGGCAAGAGGTGATAACCATATGACCAGGATATATCACCACGTACTGATTCACCATTTCCGATTTGAAGGAATTTAGAAAGGAATGGGAGGGCAGACTATTGAGAGCTCAGACCAACAACAACATACTGGGTCGCTGAAGTCAACATTTGCAGGGGTTCTCGAAATTACTTTTTTGGGGGGGCTTTCCGTGGAAACAGCCAGGTAGGGGGCAAGTGCTTCATGACAGCCAGTTGTTTGTCTCTCATCCCAGGATGCTAATGCCACACCTGGGAGCTAGTATGACGTCCGTGCTACCTGCTGACGGTAAGGATCCACATCTGCCCCCCTCGCCGTTTCCAATTAGAAGACTTAGGCTTGCGTTTCAGACCTTTGCCTTTCTGAGTGTTCTTTTGCTGTCCCCGCGTTGAAACTGCAAGTGAAAGGTGTTTTTGTTTTGTTTGGAGCTCCCATTTGTGGTTTGGCAGGTGCAAGTCGGGTCTAGGTTGATAGATGCGTGACATATGACCATGCAGAGGTGAATGTCGACCCGGCATTGCCCTCCTGCGAAATGACGGGTAACGTTCTTCTAAAGTGAAGTGTGTTCTAGACAATGTATGAATCCTGGGTCTCCTTTGAGAACCACACCAAAAAGGCGCAACTCAATCGCCTGCCATTCGACCGCACTCCGCGCCATTTTTTGGGCGCCGGCTCAAAGCGCTCTGCTGTCCTTGTCACGCAGCCGGGACCAAAGAAACCCAAGCAAAGATCAAAGGCTGAGCGTGTTCACTCAAGGAACGTGAGCCATGAGGCGTCCTTCTGGACACTTGGGCGCTGCCCTTGTCTGACGTATGAATCTTCAGCATGAACCCATTGCAGCCTGTGACGAATAGACACGCTTTGCGGAAATCGAGCACTCCAGGCAAGAAGTACGGCCTCGTGCACAGGGTTCGGGATGTGAACTCGACGCAACAAATAGACAAAACACATCATGTGGGGTACGGGTAGGTCGTTTGGTGATGTCTTTGGAGCGTTCTTTTAAGAGGCAAGTGCGAATGCCCATATTCCTCTCATTCGCGGCCAAACGGAGAGCGACTCGCCTGGCGCCCCACGCGCTATGTGCCATGCCTGGCTATGGCTCTATGGGACAAGGAGGGAGTGGGGTCACCCCACTGGCAGCATTGGTTTCACCTTTTGCGAATGTTTATAGAGACCCCCTTCGGAAGTGGTTGCAGGGGACATGAATTCATTTCTCCAGTGTGTGCAGAAACATGAATCCTCCGAACATTTTGCAGGTATGTGAAAGCAAACAACAAACCTGAGTCTGGGTGCCTGTTAGGTTAACATGGTCTTCCGTGAGGTCCCTTCAGGTTTCATGAGTTGTTTTGGGAGAGTGTTTTCATGGTTAACACTTGGCTCCATGGCGCCATGGAACGTAAGTTTCCTTTCATCGGGTGGTCAGACCAGGCTTTCTCGAAATGAACCAGCCAGCAGTCTTCGCAAATGCGGAAGCCAATTGCCAATGCGGTGGCATCCTCCTGAGCGGTCATGTTTCAGTTCAATGCAACTCCGATTTCACAAAGGAGCCATGGCACAGGTGAAGGTCATTTATGGGCATGCATCCTGTACAGGATGTGTCCCTCCTCATAAATGTTCCCCTTGTTGGATGCTACGTGTGTTTCTCCCAGGTGGATATTGCCCTCTTTGACCAAACTGCTGTGCCATCATCTTACGGGGTTCCAGGAAGTGATTTTCTGGGATGGGAGAATGGGATAAACACACCAAAGAATTCAAAGAAGAGGGCGCCACTTCCAGAAGACTTGGGGAAATAGGTGTCCTTTTTGGTTTTGGTCAAAAATTAGAGGGCGATTCCTGCGTTTATTTGGTGGTTTAATCATCTACCAGGGCCATCTATTTGTTTTAAAAGGACACCTATGATTGGGGGATAACTACAAAAGATTGATTTACTAACCCCCTTTTCCCAGCCGGAACCGTTTGCCGTTCGGGGAGGTGCTGGTTTGGACCATGTTCCTAGAGGTTCCCGAACGTCGAAGGGTTCCGGCTGTGAAAAGGCTGGGAGGGCACCAAACAAAGACGAGCGAAGGGTAGCCTCCCAGCCTTTTCACATGGAACCTGACAGGGATCTGGTCCCTTTAGAAGGAAACTGGTCTTCCAAGACCCTGTCAGGTTCCATGTGAAAAGGGCCCGGGGCATTTTGCAAAGGGATGTTAGGACTTTAACTTTTTGCCAACTGATGGGCTTTCCATGAAAGTAGAAGCTAAACTTTTAGCAGGGGAGCAGAAAGCAACCGAGAAAAGGGCGGGAGGCTAGATCTTTCGATTCTCAGCCCGCAGGCTGGGCCAAAGGTACGGTGCGCTGGCTCGAGAGTGCCGATGCTCGGCGGAAGTGGGGCTCCCTTGGCGTTTGCTGCACATTTGCGATTGATGTTTTTGTTTTTGTTTTTAACCTTCTCAAGTCAACTTGCAAGGCAAAAAGTCCCACTGCAAATTACGTCCCCAAATTCATGGTTGTTGTTGGGAAACATGTTGCATTGCTTATTGTGGTTTAGTGGTTGAAATCCCCACTTAACTGCTATTTTTGTCAATGTTTGCTCCCCTTCCAACGTCAACCAAGAATTACCTTAATTCACAAAAAGCCCCACTGCAAATTTGCTTTGAGTTCCTGGATGTTCAACTTTGCCGGGAAGCGTTCAATTCTTCAGCGGGACTTTTTGTGGCAATCCAATCTACTCAGGAAGTGTGCCTCCAACTCTTTGGGAACGAGCGTGTTCCCCCCGCCACCAGCACACAACATGTGTTGTGCGGAGCAGCGGCCTGGTGCGTTTTGTTTGTTTGGAGCGGTGAAGGGAGTTCCCTTCATATTGTGCAAACAACTTAGCAGGCCCCCAGAAAAACCACGTGTCCCTTTCCGCAGCTATGGAAGCTGACGAGAGGCAGGTGCCCTTTGTGCAACCACGGCCACGGGTCTAATTCGGTTCGACTCGATGGGAGCTGATCTCGGAGGGTTTCCTTTTCTCTAGAGGTGGATTCCTTTTTCATTCTTTTCAAGGATCGTTCTCTTGAAAAGCCGGCGGTTTTTTTCTGGGTTTTTGATGGTTTCCTGAAAAGATTCGGATCCCTGGAAAGAATGGGGAAGGTACCCCGAGATTCATGATCAGACATTTTCCCTTTGGGGAATCTGGATTTGGGTCCCAAGCCCCCCGCAGCACCTCCCTCTTTGTTACGGGGAAGGTAGCCCCAGATTTTCCAACCCCTTAGCAGCTCTTCAGGGCTCCGGTCCCGTCCCGGTTTTTCCTGGGAAAGGATGCCCCGCTCAAAGGGGGATGCCCCGCTCAAAGGGGAACCAGTTTCAAAATGAGTTGGGGGGGGGGGCCGGCTTTTAACCAGGCCTTTTACAGGTGCATAGGGAGGGAGGGTAGTCACTAATGACCCACTTTCTGGTACAAAGAAGGTCTTTCTCCACAACGTTGTAGCCTACCTATCTGATGTGGCTTGAACATCCCACTAAGCTCGCAAGGATGCCACCGACCCGGCGCAGTTCCTGGCACCTCGAAAATCGATGGAGTGAGTGTGTGCGTGGAGAGTCATAGAAACTTCACCCAAGTCCAAAGCAAATCAGCCTTTTGACCTTTTGGCTTTCCTCTTTGTGTCCATAACGAAGGCCCCAAAAGGTTAACCTTTTCTTTCCAGGTCCTTTGGGCAAAGGGAAACTTCACTCAAGTCCAACCGCTTCCTGGACTTGAGCCAAAGCAGTGAACGTGGTAAATTGCAAAAGTTCTGACTTGTTTTATGCCAACCCACTCAAGTGAAACTCTGACGGTGTATCCCGCCCCCGTCAAAAATGGAATGGGGGGAAAGGGGTGGCAATTGGAATTCCGCTCATTCCACACCAGCGCTGCCATGGGCAAAACCTGTATGGGGAGCACAGCCCGGCAGTCACGTGCTGATTGAGAGCCGGTTGGAAAGGGGATCCATAGCATTGCGTTTGATGCACAATTTCGCCATCTGCAGTCGCTATGTCGGCTTTTCTCAAACTGTGGAATAGTGACCATCAGCTAGTGGCGATCAGGGCCCAGTCGAGACTCACTCTATGGCCATGACTGCCAGAACTTGTCCTGGTCAGCCTTGTTGGGAAACTCCGCCGCCAAGATGAACTCACTGCCCCAATCCTTGGACTTGAAGGCTGAAGCAACGGACGCATCCCTGGCAAATCAAAGCCATGGCTTGTTCATTCTTTGGTTGGCACATGCCAACCAGACGCCGCCTTGGGTGGAAAAGAGGACAATCTACATGTTCACCAACCCTTCTTGAAGATCTCAACAGTCAGAGGTTGTCCGGCTGTTGATGACGGCGGCCATGGCAAAGCAAGTCGAGACATGCAAAATATCTAGTGTATGGACAGTTCAGGAGGGACATTGGGAGACCCGCCAGTTTTCCGCAGCTTTCCGCAACAATCGGGCGCATTGTTCCAGAGTTCTACCACCAAAACCGTTTCGGAAACCACATATGCTGACCGCGGCTCACATGGGACAAGAACCTCCTCCTGCATCTCTTAGACAATGAGATTGGTACTTTGTCCCCCCACCATTCCCCCAACGTAACATGCCACGTAACATAACCACCTCACCCAACCCAACCCCCCACCCCCCCTCGATTTTAGGCACAGAGCAGGCGCTGTTCAACGGATCTACCTTCCGACCCTTGGCCCATAAGAAAAGAATGAAGACTTCTTTGGGCATCCATCCAGCATTGGGTAGCTGCGTCATCCGCATGTTCTGCAAGAGTGGCCTGGCTTCCCCTGACAGTGTTTTTCAATTCGCGAAGTGAAAGCTGCCCAAACTTATGTAATCTTCAGTTTTATACATATATTTATTTATTTATACTATACGGACATACACACACAGACACACACACACATACATACATATATATATATATACATACATATATATATATATATTTATTTATTTATTTATTTACACGCACACACGTGTTCCTGTCAAATGCAGTGGGTTTTCTGGGGAAGTGGCGCCGCAGGCCTGGCTGTGGTTCGACGACTTCGTGCCGCGAAAGCTTCGGCCGCCCCTGCTGCGCCTTGTCTTCGTCGGGCCGTGTTCCGTTTTTGGGTGGTTTTTGTGTAAAAAAGTCACAGGGAAAGCCAAAGCCATTTTTGGGGTCCCGACAAGACACCCTCATGGAGTTGGAGTCATGGACTCCTAAGCGCTATGAGGGGGGATCTCCCAAAACAGTTTGAGGAGAGTGAATGGAGCAAACACAAACAAAATGTGGGGTCAGCTAAGCAGTCTCTAAGTCAGCGCTCGCTTAGTATCGGTGCAGTACTTGTTTAATAAGGACAAGCAGTCAAGCAGTGTAGACTTTGCGCTTTTTTGGGGGAGGGAAACAAATTTCTTGCAGTAAGTGCCCCTGCATTTGTTCCCCGAGAGCCACCCAAGGAGCCGACCAACTTTCTACCCTTTGATATACGGCTATGAATTTCTGTCAACCCTTTGGACATCATGTAGGTGGGGTTTAAAATGTCCACCAGGCACTTTCGTGGTGTTTTCCCAATCAACATGCATGGTCACACTTGCTTTCTATGTTCTATCCTGATTTGGGTACCGAATGAACATGGCTTTCCCGCTGTTCCAAAACTTGGCCAGCCAGTGGAAGCATGGGGGTATACGGCCACCAGTTCGCCCGCACTTGTGAACCACACGGCCTTCCCGCGGTAAACCCACGCGGAGCCAACGGATTGATCCGGACGCGCCGAAGCCATAGCCCAGTGAAATGGATCCGTTTCCCCCGAAGGCGAGTTGGCTCAGGCTCGCCTGGCTCCTCTTGCAAGGCGCGAGCCCGCGGCGCGGGGGTGGTGTCGAAAGCGGGGAGATGGCCGTGTGTGTGTGTGTGTTTTTGGGGGGAACGCCCAAAGGGGAATTTTGCTTGGGTTTACTTTCCCTTGCAACAAACACACAAAGAAGTGGTACCCTCAAAAAATGACAAGCCCATGTGGGTAAGTGCGGCACAACTTTACTCATGAAGAGAAAACATGCTTGTTTGGGTAGGCTGACCACGTTTGATCGGGTTGATCAATAGAGGCTGTCCCGTTTGAGGTTTGAGAGGAGCTCTTTGCTGTTTTTTCTTACTTCTCTTGCTTCTTTGTGAAGCATCTTTCCAAGTGGTTCTCATGTTTCTCACTTCTTTCCCTTATTTGTGAATCATAGCCCAAGTGTTTCCCCCCCCCCTGCACTTCACGCTTCGTTTTTCTGTACTGAGTTTGTTTGACGTCGCGATGGCCCGACAATGCCGCACTTGGCGTGCTGAGGTTTGACATACATTGCTCGGTGGATGTGTCTGTGGTCCAGCCCTTGGCTTTGCCCCAGGTCAGCCCATTTGAGTGTCCTGAAATTGGCATTGGACCCAGCAAAACATGGACGTGTGTTTCGTTTAGGAAAGCAAGAAATCCAAACCAACTGTTCAGATTGTTTAATCCCAGGAACCATTTTTTTCGGGTTTCATGCTTCTGGGAGGGTAACGCGGCAACACGGTCGGTTTCCCCTGCAACCGTCATTTAGAGGATTTAGAGCTATTTTGAGGCTGTCTTGCTCTTTTGGGACTTTCCACAGTTGCCACTTTTTCTTGGACACCACAAGTCCCTTGCAACAGGCGGGCAATTCCCGTCCAGTGCTCCCTGCTTTCATGGGCGCTGCCGGCGATCATGGACTCACCAAAGGGTGCGGTTGGGAAACATTTTACATGTTTGTTTCTTGTGGTTTAGTGGTTGAAGTCCAACCACTTAAACTCCTAAAGTTTGAAAAAACATGCTCCCCTTTTTGTGGCTTAGTGGTTGAAGTCCCACAACTTAACTGCTAAAATTCGAACATGTTTGCTCCCCTTACGTCAAGCAAGTCGTGGGTGAAGCGCCCCGGAGGCTTGGGCATGGCATTTCAGCTCCAGCTCCTCTTCAAGGCGCGGGCGGGCGGCAGAAGCAGCAGGCAAGGAAGTCGTGTGCGCACACGCGACGCGCGAAGCGCAACACGGGGTCCGCGCGCCTTTTTCTCCCCCGCCCCCCCCCCCCTTTGTCCCCCACAGATGAAAGCTACGGGGATTGGGGCAGCTTTGGGGGGAGGCTGCGTTGGATCATTCTCAACACCTATCTACTGGATACCAGCAAGTGTTTCTCACTTTACGAGTTCTTGGACTTATTTTAGTGGTAAAGAAAAAGTTCAGACTTTGGTTGACTGGTCCACTCAGGAAGTGGGTTTTCATCAGCTTCTCCTAGACTTGTGGTTCGGATCGTTGAGGTTAAAAGGCTAAATGTCCCTTTAGTTTCTGTCACAGTTTCAACATATCCCCAACTACCAAATCAGGATTCACTGGTTCCAGCTAGGTTTGGAGGGAAGCCCCAACACCCTTTATAACCTTCCCCTTTTTGACACACACGCGCGCATTTCGTGCCTCACCTTTAAATAGTCAAGGTCCCATCAAGTTGCAATACTTTTCCTGGCCAAGCTCAGCGGTGAGGTCTGAGAGTCCTGAGCGTGTTTCTCCCAAAGTTCCCCTGATTCTCCAGTCTGACTGGCAGCGATGCTCTCTTCATAAGCTTCCGAAAGCCACTTCGGTGCTGACTCCCATCTTCCCATGTTCTTCCCAACCGGTGTTCTGGTTTCACGTTGGTCAGTGGCGGGTGTGGCTTCTTTATTTGCTTGGAGTCAAACAAACACACATGTTCTTGGTTGTCTTACCTTTTCAGGAAAGCCCTCTTTTGGGAAACGCTCTGATCTAAAACCAGACCAGCCTCTGTTTGTCTGATAATCCAATAGGTCAAATGGCCCCAAAACAGGCGTAGGGTTCGCCACAACCTCTCCTTTCAGTGGCACACTCAGAGAGCCCTTAACAAGTTTGGGTTTTTAGGCATCTTGAGGCAGAAGAATGTGCCAAAGAGGTGTGCGCCAACCTAAAAACACAAACTGCCCCCGAACTCCCGTCAAGCCGCCAAGTACCAGCTGATTTAGGAGCTCCCCAAAAAATGGTACCAACTCAGAAAACGGGCTTTGCTTTTGGGGTCACCCACTCTAAAAATTGGCGATTCCCCCCTTTGTTTCCCTTTAAAAGACCCAACGCACCCCAAGATCCTCAGGCCGGAGCCTTCCGTTTCGCATCTGCGGGAAGGGGAAGCCTGAGAAACATGCGTGCGACTCCTTGCCAAGGTCCCAGCCTGTCACCAATAAGAAGTTTTGGGTTTAGGAAGCGCCCAAGGCCCTGCCAATGCATCCAATAAACTTTACTCTGTATCCTTTCTTGACAATAATTCACTTGTTTTTGTCCCTTTAAAAGACCGCGCTTTTCGGCGGGGTGTTCGAGGTCTCCACTGCGCTGGATGAGTACGAGGCGACGCTCGGCGCCTTCTGTGCGCTGCCCACCAATGGCATTTGTCACTTGACACATTAGGTACCCCACCCGAACCGGAACCCGAACCCCGAACCCCCCACCCCCCACCGGGGATGTTAGGAGGTTAGGTTACGTTAGGTTAGGCGGAGGTTAGGTTAGGAGTTAGCCAGGGTACACTCTGGCTTGGCTAACCCTCCGTGTGGACCCTGTCCAAATCCTTGAGGCTGGGCCCAAAGCAGAGGGGAAAGTCGCGGAGGTTTGACAGGGGCAGAAACTTCAAAGGCCAGCCGGGCTGGGCCGCAAAAGCGTTGGCTTTGTGAATGGATTTGCCAGCTCCTCTTGTGACTGACCAACCCAACACCTCCAGTGGATTTGGCTGTGGGTATCTGTGGGTCAAAACCAACGGTACCATTATGGGGCAGGTGCACCACCCATTTTAGTCTATTTTAGGCCTTACTTTCCAACCGTAGGTACTCGATCCAACCGTTAGCTTGGGTCGTTTCGCGGAAACTCGGGTCGGGCGAATCGATTGAGGCCTCGCCAGCCAGTGGTGCCTTGGCCAGCTGCGTTTCGTTTCGGAACCGGACACCGGGAACCGCTTGCTAGGGAGGGTTGCCATTTGGTCCTCCAGCTAGGCGCCCTTTCTCACCCCTTTTTTGGTCTAAAATAGGCTACGAAAAAAGGTACCTTTATTCTAACCTCGCTACTGGAGGGCCTTGTTGCAGCCTTCCATTTTCTGGTTACCCCAAAGAAGATTGAACCCAAAGCTTAGGAATCAATCCCCCTGAGTGTACGTCTACCTGCGGGCTCGTTTCTTTCCCCACTCGGGACTTGGGAAGGCATGCAAGTTACGTTGTGAGTTTGTGTTTGTTTTTATGTGTTTGTTTTTATGTGTTTGTTTTTTGGGTTTTGCGGGGATCTACATTATTTGTACCACCAAACGCGCAGAGCAAGCGACTGGGTTTCAAAAAGGGCCGTAATTGGCCAAATGGGACTTCAACTGCTTTTGGCCTTGTTTTTAGTGAGTTGCTTTTGTCATTTGTTGGTGCTGTGTTTCTTTGCTTCTGTTCATGTTTGTGAGGGACTGCAAAAAGCAAAGTGTTTTGCTAACATACGAAGGGTCGGGGAACAACCTTTTCGAACTCTGTGCGCGATTTCGGGGGGGAGACGCTTAGTATGTACATAAGGGGCAAATTGCTTAGAGGTACCCTCAGGTATCATGGCTGCGAGCCTTGCAGCGGTGTCTAAGTGGAATGTGTATTTGCAGCGCACACGGTTTTCTAATTAGTGTATTTGCCGTTTGTTTGATAAGTTTGTTGTTTTGGGTGTGTTTGCTGTTTGTTCGACGTCCGCTTCATGTGTGAGTCATTGTTGTCCTCGTTGTTTTTTCTTTTATCCCAGTCTTGGTCAGCATCGCATCATTTGCACCCGGCAAAACTCTTCATGTTTGTTGTTTCACATGCGATCCGCATTCCAATGGCCAAAGACTGCGGACTTAACTTCTCAACTTCGTAGTTTTGGGATGTGAACTTATTGGGAAGATTTATTTTTATTTAATAGTAATTATAAAGTTCGGCCTTCCCCTTCCCAATCCACTCAAATTTGCTTTAGGTCGGCTTGCGCTTGAATTGGTGGTGTGGAGCGGTTCGGGGCAGGCGAACCACCTCAAATCGGGGGCCTGAAAAAAGGCCATCCAAGCCACCAATGAAGATCAAGCTGAGGTGATGTGTTCTTGTCGTTTTGCTTTTCCAAACACGCAAGACCTGGGTTTCTCTTCCTTTGAGGGACCCCCAAACTGGAAGGGGCGGTTCTATTTTTGGCGTCCCTGACAAAAACCCACCCAAAACGGGCAATCTCAAAAAACCAACGCACCCATATGTCGGTGATTCAAAGGTTCCGGAACGCGCACTCCTGAAGTCCGAGAGTTGGCAACAGTGTGATTTGCTACTTTGGGGGAGGGCTTCGCATTCCAACAGGGAGCTTTTCGGCGGGGTTGGTGTGTTTCCTTCACCCCTTGGGAACTAAGGATCCCCTTAAAATCAATAAACACATGCCAATCATTCAGACACTTCCCCCCACCCCCTTGGAAGTAAGGACCCCCCTTGAATTCAAAAATCGACACGCCAATCATTCAGACACCGACTTGAAGGTCTCCGAAGCCAAACCAAAGTCCAGCAAACACAGGCGCTCCGTTGTTCGGATCCCAGACCTGTGGTTGACCTCCATGTTACACTCTTACCTTCTGGGCTTACGGGCCACGCAAAAACCAGAACATCCGGGATCCAAAAGAAACGCGATCCGCAACTTCCTCTGTTTCTTGGCAAGTTGTTTGTCGTTTGGTTCTGTTCAAATTTTCGAGTTGGGGGCCAAAAGAAGAAGTCAGTTTCTTTCTTTGAAGATGCCGCCCAGAAGGGGGTTGCCCCAAGAAAGCCACCAAAAGGCCGGCCCCCCAAAACGGGGCTTCGAGATCCATCCCACCGCGGCCCATGGCATGGCGGTTCAGCGGCGGAGGCGTTTAGCCGCGGACCAAGTCTTGGAGCCTGGAGGCGGCTCGGATCGGAGGGTCGGGTGGTCAGCCCCATTTTTATTTTGCTTTAAAGGCGTCCCTTCAAGACAGACCCCAGGAGAAGAGAAAGACACAGAAACAGACCCAAAAACAGACCCAAAAACAGACCGAAAAACAGACCCACTTTTCTTTTGGCGCCCTCAAAGAACGACATCTAAAACAGACCCAAAAAGAAGGGCACCTCCAAAGCCTGGGTCTGTCTTTAAGGGACAGCCAAAGATCGCCGCATGTTGTTTTTATTTTTTATTTGTGTGTGTGTGTGTGTGTTTGTTTTCCTTGGGGGCCGAAGGGGGGGGAAAACGCAGAGTACCCCTCAAGAAAAGACCGCACCCTATGGTGGTTTGGATTGGTGGTTGCCTAACCAAGTTCCGGGAAGCTGAGAGCAATCAAATCGCGGACCCCAAATGCTCCACCGAGACCGTTGGATGTTATTGTTCTGTGAAACGTGCAAACATCAAACTTTTCCTCAGGGAGGAGCAACCCAAGTAAGTGAAGTGTGGTATCGGTGTGTCCTTTTTTTTGAAGACGCTTGTTTTTGGCTTTAAAGTGAAACCAAAAGAAAACCACAAATCCCACAAAAAAAAGGCACCGGCGCATGAGGCCATCCCAACCAACACTAGGCGCGGCCGAATGAATTCTTTGGTTTTGCGCAGGCCACTTGAATGCAATGGTGGCTCAGGTTGCACAAAGCTCTCCCAAACAGCATCGAGGAGAACCCCCACCATCCCTCCGTTCGCAGAGCGTGGCTGGTATATCCATATGTTGTTTTTTTGTTTTAGCGCAGTTTTCTACTGCAGGTTTGGATTTAAAGGGACGCGTACTCTCCGTACTGTGGCCCGAAAAAGCACAGAGTTGTAGATGCAGTCACGGCGGATAGGCGTAGAGTTCCGTGTGACAGCACTTAGGAGGAATGTAGATATAGCTTCATCACGACCCTACAGGGTTAGATCATTGTAGTGTGATGGGGCTTAAAATGTACAAACCTCTCATGTTCACTTATGACTTAATTTCATATGGGTATGGGTCAAAATCAATCCATCAGGGGACCGCAGGTTTTAGTCCATATTTCCATTTACCAGGGCAAGCCATCTTGGGCAAGTATTTTTGACCCACAGCCGTATTATACGTACGGTTCTCCAACGCCCCATCACTCGATAATTTAGGCCCGCGGAAGTGGACGTTTCGGGTCTTTGCCAAGCCCAAAAAGTCTTTTAACATGATTGCGTCTGTTGTGCCTTTGCTTCATTCGCGGAGCTGGGCGAATGAATCCGGGTTTGTCTCACTTCCTGAGTTCTTGGACTTGGGTCACTTGGGATTGGAGCATTTTAGTGGCTTAGGCAAACCGTTCGGGCACTCTTTTTTTAGGCCATCTACTCATCTCCAGAGCTGATCTTGATGAGAGGCGCCCAGCTCAGGCGACTTCAGCTTCACCACACTCTCGGAGCCCAGCTTCTTGCTGGGAGCCCCTTGGCCTCAATTGGCACGTGGCCGTGCCGAGCCGATGGAACTTCAGTTGGGGGTGTACCTTCCCCACTCTCTTGAAGGGATCCTTCTCTTCAAAGAACAGGCCAAATCCCTGGGAAAATGGGCGGTTTCTAAAGAGAACGATGGGTGAAGAGAATGAGGAATCAACCCGTAGATCAGTTGGGGGTGACTTTTGTTATCCAAGGACAAAACGTCTACTGCAGGTTTGAGCCGGCCGTGTTTTTTTTCTTCTTTTTTTTTTTCCTTGGGTTTTTTGGGTTGATGGGCTTTAGGCACTTTTGGGGGTTGGACCAGTTTAGTGGCATACAAAAAGCTTGGAGTTCTTTCTGTGGCCATCCACTCGGAAAGTCAAGTTTCAGAGCGTCGAGACAAACAGAACAACCCAGTTGGGTCTGCAAGCAACCAAGTTGGAACACTTGGGGCAGCCTTGGCTTAAAACGGACTAGGCTCCGAGACAGAGCCAGAGAACCTAGCGCGCGTGAACGGTGCTTCTGAAAAACTGAGGCTGAGAAGCGCGGAATACAGGAGGGAACTCCCCCGCAGAGTAGCTATTTTGCTTCATTTGGAGCTCAGTAAGGGTGTGGCAGTTTAGTGGTGAAAAATTAAACGAAGACAATTCACTCTTGTTTTTTCTATGAGAAGACCAAAAATCCAGCCACACAACATTACACGTCAAATATTCACTTCTGCTTTGGTGTTTGTTCCTTGTGGCTGGTTGTCCTTGTGCAAGCCGGAGCTTCTACCTTTGAAAGGCTTTCGGGTTTGGCTCGGCTCAGATCGGCCGCAGGTCGAGCCGAGTCCGAGCGCTTCGCCCTGGGAGCTTAGAACCATAGGCAAAGCGGGGCGCGCGGCGGAGGGCGGGCTGAGAAGGTCTGAGAGGTCCCCTTTGAGTCTGATCTTCACATCCTCCAGTCGCCGCTCCTCCAGTTGCCTTTTGTGGCTTAGGCCATTTGGAGCTTCTTGAAAAAGCACTGGAAGACCAACACCTCGTTGCCAGTGATGCGAGCAAAAAAATAGCACGTGCTCGGGTTCTGGCGCGAAGACTTACAAGACTCCACGCGGCTTGCGGACCTTTGAGGTAGCTGAAATCCTTCCAAGCTGATGAGCCTCAAGTTCAGAATATTCAGGGGGGAGTTGTCCATTTCCAAACATTTTCCCTTTGATCTTGATTGCCTCTGGGTTGATCTTTAGACTTTAACTTTGCGGGAAACCGAGGGTTGTTTTCAAATTGAACCCACAAGAAGTGAGTCACTTTTTGCAGAGGCGTCGTTGCAGCAAGCAAGTGATGGGATCACTCTTTAGAACTGTCAACCCCAAACTGGGTTCCCTGTCCTACCATGTTCTAGCTGGGCAGCTGGGGCCAGGTACGTTACAACATGGAGGTGTTGTTTGATTTGCTAAGGCTGTTTCGTTTCTCTATATATCGGGCTGGGCCGCCTATTTGGCTGGTTTGTTGCTTGGTTGGTTGGTTGGTTGCCCGCCGGCCTCACCTGAACCTCGAGCTGCCAATTCCCATCAGATTTGGTAGCAGTTGGGAGCTGCTCGGGTTGGTTTAGGGTGATGTTAAATGAGGGCGTTGAGTGCGTGTGTGGTTCATTTGGGCCTTGGCAAAGGGCTGATATCGGGTGGTTGTTGGGTCGTTCATGCTCAATCCTTGATTCTTATGCACACGGGGCAAACGACCCCGACGCCACTGCACATGCCATGGTCAAGAATACCCGGGAGCGTATGCCATTGAAGATTTGCAAGCAGAATCCTTGGCTCAAGGGTTCTGCGACTCATCCGAATGATTGTTCGGTTGTGCATGTGCGAACTGCTTTCCAAATACCACTGACAAGTCAAGGCCAGGACCCATCATGCTCGAGCATCTGAATAGGCAGCAACTTTCATCCGAGTTAGGCAAAGCGTCGGGCTTTCTTGTTGCCTCCAGGAGCTTTACTTTCAGCATGGAGCCCGACGGAACCCCACAAAGACGCATTTGCTGCGGGGGGTTGTTGGGGTTCGCGTGTTTTTGTTTGGGGGGGTTGCTGGCTTTGCGGAAAGGCTTTACCTGATTGAATTCCCTTGGGAGTTTTTTTTCTCAGCTCTTGGTTGATTCTCTCTCTGACTCTCGAGTGAGTTTGGGTCCTTCACCTCTCTGGGAGGTCCCCACATGTTCACAGGAGTATTTGCTGGACCTCAGTTGTCCATACTTGCACCACATGGCTGTTTTGCTGGGGCCCCGCACCCCCTAACAATTCGGATGAGATTAAGTGGAGGCATTCTGTGGATGTGGCTTTTGTGGATAGTAAAAGATTTCCACAAAGGGACCAAGAGGCGCAAGAACAGGTGGAATCCACCAATAGCACATCCAAACCGTTTTACCAGAATACCCCCTGTAAGGTTCCATGGACCAGTGGGCTGTTGTGGGCTGTGGGGGCTTTCTGGTTTCCTCTCTGCAGGGGACGAGTGCATCATGGAGGCAACAAGGCCGGGCACTTTCCGCGGGCTTTTGGACTCCCTTCGCGTGACGGGTCCCATTTTGGGAGCTGTTGGTTCCCAAAATGGAAGGCCACTTTCCTTTAGGATTTAAAAGTTGTTGGGACCTTTCGGTTCCAAACATGGAAAAACCCACGAACCTTGGGAGCAAAGCAGCTTTGCATGTTTTGTTTTTTTTCCCCCTTCGCTTTTGGAACCAGGGGTTCCATTCCAAAGGCTTCCTTCCACCTGGAGGCTTCCTCTGGGCTCAAAGCCCTTTGGCACCAAAAGGCAGTGCCGGAAATGGCTGTGGCGGTCAAAAATCGGGTCACCCCAAAACGGGTTGCACCAAAAGGTAAATGGCAACGAGGGCTAAAACCTGGTGGTTTTTGTGGGTGCTTTCATTTTGGCCCATACCCTTAAATGGCACTTTCTGGCGGCTGGGATCCTCTCTGTGCTGCGCGGGCCAAAAGATTCGAACCGTTCTGCCGGTTTTCTGCAACCGCATGATGTGCGTTGCTACGCGCGGTGGCAGTTTGCAGCCTAGATGAATTCGAATTCATGCGCGAGACCAGAGCTCTTATCCCATTTGCCAGACAGGCCCATCCATTTTTTTCTCAAAAGGCCACCACCGAGGGTCTTGAAACCTCCCAATGACACCAACAGATTAATTGTTTTACCCACCTGGAACCTCCCAACAGTTTACCCCGGGGCATGGGGAGAGTTCACCATTCGTTTTACCCGGACGACATGTTCCAAGCGTTTGACCTTTGAGGCCCTTGCTGCAGCAGATGAAGCGGGACGTGCAGCGCTGGGAAGGGGCCCGGGGCTGACTTGGGCTCAGTGGCTGAATGCATCCATGTACAAACCCCTGGCATGAACCCCTGCTGTGGATGGGGAAGATCCACTTCGCGCCAATACTTGTCGGGTTCATCCATCCCAGCAGGAGAACCCACCATTTTGAGGGGGTCCCTTCAAAAAAGCCGCACCCGTTTTCGGGGGACCCCTCGTTTGGGTGGGCTCCAGATGGGCTCTTCACTTCTTACTTTTGAGGTGATCCGCAGCGCCTGCGAGGAGACTGTGGCGGCCTGGCCAAAAGGAGGACTGGAGCAGTTTGTTCGGTGGCTCTGGGCATGGGGAAGCCAAGGGCCCAAGGCGCAGTAGCTGTGGTTCAGAGGGAAGTTCTTGGAGTTCGTGGGGCGAGTTCTCCAAACGCCTCAGGCGCAGAAAAGGTTCCAAGGGAACTTTTGGAGGTTTTGAGTTCTAAAAGCCTTGCTTGGTCACCAGTCCGAAAGCCAACATGTCACTTTTGCAAGCAAACACCTCAGAGCAGCCCGCCCCTACAGCCTGAGAGCGCAGGGGAAACCCGGCTGCAGCAGAAGCAACGCAGCGCAAGCAACACGATAGGTTGTCACTCGCCCGTTCCGACGGTTTGCTTGCTGCGACTTGCTTGCGTAGCGCGACGTTTCTTATTTTCACTGAGACTTCTGAGCAAAGTGGCGGGCAAACTCCCATATGCTGTGCAATCTTCATGGTAGCTCATCCAAAACATGAAAGCTGCAACGGTTAGCAGAATCACGCCTAATTACACCCGCCAAGAGCCACTTACAGATAATATAGGCCCTATAAAGTGACCAAAAGCTACGCTTCTTAGTTCTAGTTCAACACGACAGCCCTTGCGCCCAAAAATCCTACATAAGGCGCTCGCTCAATTTTGGACCCATAATTGTTCAATCACGTTCCGAATTTCTGTCCTCAGGGTTCCTCCATTTCCCCTTTTGGGAACCTCCAAAAGTGGTGATCGCTTTAGTTGAACTACCAGTGAAATGATCAACTTTTGATTCTCCCCCCCGAATCCGACCTAGGTTACCCACTTGTAAGTTTCCTTCAGTGGGGTCAGTGGTTGGTTTGTATTCCCGACATTTGTTCAGCTTCATGAATTCGAATTTTGCTCAGATTCCAGGGCCGCTTCCGGGATTCCGAGGCGACCGGCCGGGGCCGGCGCTACACGGTGCTGCGGGGCGTGGGCGCATTCGCCTACGGCGCGCCGAAGGCAGCGAGTTGGTTCAGGGGGCGGGCCTGTGGTATGTGCCCAGTTTGCTTTTTCCACATCTTTTTTTTTGGGGGGGGGGCTTTCAATTCTTCCATTTGCTGAAATGAATATGTTTGTTGGTTGACCCGGTTGGTTTCAAAGGGAACCTACCGCTACTGGATACATATGGTTATGTTTTCCAGGGGGCTTAAGCAAATGGAGGTAATGTACTTCACTGCGGTTAGCATGGTTTTCGTTTTTGTTTGCTGGTTTTTTTTTTCGACAGGGGCTGCAACACACAGAGTTGCTTGCTACCATACCAAGGGTTGGAAAGAAAGCCGATCAAAAGCAAAGGCTGATGTGCCAAATAAGGCACAAACTGGGAACAAAGCCACTTCAGGCCTAACAAGAACCACGCCAGGAGAAACACACCAGGAGTCTGGCTGCTTTGGGTGGGAGACGCCTAATCCCACCCCTCTCCCTGCTGGTGGACAAAATCACACCAGCTGGGAAACCCCAGTATTTAAATACGGTCTTATCCATCCTAACTGGCCTATCTGCTGCTTTGTCCCTTCCCACGGGGCTACAGGGGAATCCCCTCCAGTTCTGCTAATGTCGACCCTGGGTATCAGCCTAGTCATAGGGGGGGTGTTCCCTCCAAAAGTGTTGAATTTGCCGCTAAAAGACGACACCCCCCGATTAAAGTCATCCAGTTCGGTGGTTTGGATTGGTGGTTTGGATTTGGACTTGAACCCCGGTTCTTGTGGAAGGACGGGAAAGCCCTCCTGAACCACCAGACCAGGGCTCCAAACACCCGGGCTCCACCAATTCAACCAGGGGTTTATCACCCGAAGTCAAAACTGCTTGCTGGTGCTTAGGGAATGACAAAGTCCGGGTGGTGGGAATGAATCGAAACGGAAGCCAAATCGGCGACGGGTGATCTCTGGGTCATTCCATTTCTCTTTTTCGTCTGCCTAAGCAGCAAGAAAGCCAACGGCTCCCCCTTTTCATACTGTGGATGGGTCGATTCCCCTGGAAAATGCTCATGCCATGGCTTCATTGCGTGGTGAAAGCAGATTCGTCGATTCTCATACTGCGCATGCGTCGATTCTCCTGTCAAATGCCCATAAACCTGCTGATTTTTTTTCATGGCTTCATTTCGTTATTTACAAAACAATAAGCTCAGGTGATATCCCCAACAGCATGCGGTGCTCTTTTTAGTGCTCGCACCACCCCGCAGCCCTCGCAGAACCTTGTGGAACCCTCGTGGAACCCTAGTGGAACCCTCGAACCTTACCTCGGGGCCGCCCCGGACCACCCGGAGCCTATCCGGGCTGAGACCCCAAAGCTTTCAGCTGCTGGGGACAAACATATTTATTTTCCCCTGTTGGTAAACAACAAACGGACTGTAAAATGCCCATAAACCGGCTGCTTCTTTTGCATGGCTTCATTTCGTTCAAAAAAAACAGAAGAAAAGAACCACGGATTCCACACCCGTCCGCAGGAGTGGCGCCTTCGCCTGCTGGGTGCCAGCGCCCGCGTCTTCGTGGTGGACCCTCAGAGCCCGCGCCTGGCGGACGACGCGAAGGCCCGGGCCCACGGGCCGGGCGACGCGGTTTTGGGGGGAGCCGAAGGACCCGGAAAAAAATATGGAAAAATAAAAAAGGGGAGAAAAAAAGCCGAAAGCCGGACCCTCCAGACCAAATAGTGGGGGGATATAGCTGGGATGTAGACATTTTTGTCGAGAAAAAGAGGAAAAAGCAACGAAAGCTGGGCCCTCCAGACCAAATGGTGCGGGGATGGCGAGGATGGCGGGGATGTGGACATATTGGTGGGGTCCATGTTTAGACCAAATTGTGCGATACCAGGCCAAGTTGTGTCGGGTCAGTATTTTTTCGACATGCCTAAACCCGCTTCCCGGGTATCCGCGCGAATGTGTTTTCTCAAACCCTCTTTTTTGTGGCAAGGCATGAACTCGCAGAGCATGTCTTTTGGGGCCTGGGGTCATCATTTTGACTTCTGGGGGTTGTCCAAGTTGTGAAGTCAGAACCTGGTTGGTGAGTTTCCCTTTGAACCCAACGGGGGTGACTTTGATGGTGGTGAAATGGGGCCAGCTGGTTTTCCTTTCACCACAAAGGGAGTTGGGAGTTCTGATGTCGTGGCCCAAGCCGATGGCAAGCGGACGTGGCTAGAAAGTTGGGACTTTGTTTGGCCAATGTTTGCCCAATCCAAAGTGAGAGAAGCTGCTGGTTTGGCTTCGGGGGTTCAAACTTGGAATTGTGTTGTGTTTGTGTCTCTGTGTCTTTGTGTCTTTGTGTCTCTGTGTGTCTGTGTCTCTGTGTCTGAGTCTCTCTGTGTGTGTCCGTGTGTGTGTCTGTGTGCGGGAGGGTGGGGAAGTAGTGTGTAAGTCCTGAAAGGCATTCTTAGCGGACTCGGAAGACAAAGCCAGTGGACGGTGACATTGCTGGTTAGGTCAATAGGCCAAAGAGAGAGGTCGCCCTTTGGCAAGCTGAAATTCTGGGCTTCAAGTCGTCAAGGACTCAGGCCGGCGACTGATTCAACCTCCGCCATCTTGCCATTCCCCCCTCCAAAAAAGAAGCAAAATAACTGTTCCCCCCAACACAAACATCTTGCCAACTTGCTCCCCCCCCCAAAAAAAAAGAACTGTTCCCCCCAACACAAACATCTTGCCAACTTGCTTCCCCCCCCCCCAAAAAAAAAAGAACAAGCAAACATGTTGTCAAACAAAAGAACTGCAGGAACAGAAACGACTCTACGTGACTTGGCTTGGGGAAACGGACCTTACGGGCTTGCCGGCGCCAGGCGCAATGCAGCTTCGTGCAGGCCATGGGGACCCGTTGGTTTTGGTCGATGGCTAGAGACGAAGCAGGCGAGAGCTGCACATGAGCCACAAGGTCGCCCAGCGATTGGTGCCCTTTGACCGTTTCTTTTTTGGTTGGGAGGGCTCGGGATCCTACTAAATAGACAGAAGAAAAAGGGTGCCCTGATTCTATCCTCTCTACTGGAGGACCTAGACAAGGCATTTCTTGGAGAAGTTGTAGTGGTCCGTGCCCACTCCTTGATCCGCTTAGTGGCTTTCCTTGTTTGGGCACCCTACGGATTGCAGATGAGGGTCGGGGATGCCACATTTTGAACAACCCAGTTTCTGCTTAAAGACTTAGTAGCAATATAGCCATGAGCTATGTTGTTTGTTGTATTTTGTTTGAAGGTACTTGTCTTGGGTTGGTTTTCCATGAGCAACCCAAGGAACACCGTGTTGGGTTCCTCTTCCAACATACGGCCATATCTGTCATGTGCGGCGAGAAGTGCCTTCGCGTAGCTCTTCGTAGGCGCTGCAAAATTTTAGCGAGCGCGAGAGCGGCCGGCACCACGGCGTGCTGAGAGCGGTCAGGAGATCGAGATTTGGTGGGTTGGTTCCAGTTGCCGAGTGGATTCCGCCCTTTTTCCAACTTTTTGGGAAGGCTTCCGATTCATTTAAAACTCAATCAACCAACGAAGGATGCCGATCCTTTTTTGCCCATGGACACTGCGCATCGTGTTCCATGGGAATGAACCATCTGGGTTGTGGGATCAAGGGGTTCTGGGAATCGTCGCCTTAGAATGGGGGGTGAGTTTGTCTTTGGGAAGCCATTTTTGTTGCATCCGAGAAGTGATACAGCTCCATGGTAATCTTAAGGGGTTCCCCTCAGTTGATCCACAATTCCATTAAGACAAAATAGGTTGCTCCCCTGGTGGTTTGAACAATCTACCTAGCTCCGCAATCCATTTGGGCTGTTCAAATGTCATCCTGAATGCTTGCCGTGGGTTTAGTACGGCAAGGAACCTTCTTTGTGGCTTCGCTGTAGGGATGATGGAAAGGCAGATTTGCCAACCCGCATTTTGACCAGCCGGAAGGATCATCTTACTTCCTGAGTCTGATGGACTTCCTACTCCTTGGGTCTGGAGCTTTTCAATGGCACAAAGTTTTGATTTGTTTTGGCCATCAAATTCCGAAAGTGAACATTTCTTTCGCTCGCCTGGGGCGAAATGTTGGGAAAGGACGAGTGGAGAGAAACGCCCGCCTCGTCAAAACTGCGGTGCAGTTGCCCGACCCAAGAGGTCCCCGAGATCTAGTTGATCCATGGCTCAAATTAACTTGGCCGGTTCCTTAGGTTGGTCTTTAGTTGGTGTGGGGATGTCCAGTTAACCCACTAAAGGTTAGACACTTTTAGAGGGATGTGAGGACAGTCAAGAATTTAATCGTATTCCCCTGTTAGTTTGAAAGGGAAACTATCACCGTGTTTCTTCCAGGTAACTCAAGCAAAAGGAACGCTAGGTCGGCAAAACCTACTAAGATGCTGGGCCACCTGTTTCTGTTCTTTTTTTTTGGGGGGGGGGGTTGTCTCACATTGGAAGTCGTGAGTTGCTTCACGTTGCTTTGACACGACTCGAATGCCAAGCGGGAACCCTCAACAAGCCACCCCCAGTGAATCAACGGGTTTCGTCACTTCCTGACTTCTTGGACTTTAGTCTCTTTGTGGGTTCGGACCCTTTGAGTGGCTTACAGAAAAAGTCCCTGCACCTCTCTTTTTTTGCCATGTTCTCGAGGGGCCGTGAGTTCATTGGGAGGATTTCCATTGTGGGCCTGCTCTTGGTCGCGCTGATCTTCGCCGGTTTGGTCTTCAGCCGCTTCTTCTTCTACGTGGCCGGTGACAAACTGCTGAGGCCGGGGCTGAAGTTCAGAAAAGCTCACTCCCCGAGTTCATGGACTTTAGTCACTGTTGGGAAGACACTTCCTGAGTGCGAAAAAAGTATGATCTGTTCATGTACTACTATGTTTTTTAGTAGTAAATCAACAGTTCACATTGCTTGGCGGGTCCCTCCACTCAGGAAGTGAGGAAAGCAGAGACTGGGGAGGGTGACTGGGGTGACTGACCGCGAGTCGACCGATTGACCCAACCGGTTCTTGACACCTTTGGCCACCACAAAAGAATTAATCCGTAATTTCCAGATCCTTTATCAGGGCTCCTTAAAAGATGGATGTTGCCCATTTGAAACATGGCGTTTTCCACCAAAATAAAGGGAAGCCACCATTTACAAGGCAATGTTCAGGTGTATAATGTAAGGATCCCTGTTTATGCCCTGTCCTTTGGGCAAGCGATGCGCAGCAACATTTGGGTATTTCTCGCCAGAAAGTCTGCCGCAGACATCCCGCAGAAATCCCCCGCTTCTTTGTTTCTCCAAGTGGGTTCGGGTTGGGCTTGGCTTTGCTTTCAAAAGTTTGACTGAATGGCGTCCTTGCGTTGGAAGAAGTGGCTCTTTTTTTTGATTTTGAGTGGGCCGATTCCACTCGTTGGCTCCCACTGCAACTGAAATTTGTTTGGTGGGTCAGACCCCTTGACTCACATAGGTGAAGCTCCGAGGGGCATCATCAGCGTTTTTTTTTTTGTTGCTCTTATTGGTTGTCTGCTCTTTTGTTGAACGTTGGTTCCTGGGTTGAACTTAGATGGCTTTTTGGTCAAACTTTGGTCGAACTTTGGTTGAACGTTGGTTGACTGGTTGACCTGTGTGTTTTCGTGTTCAAGCAAGCCTTCCATTCCATTGCCGATGCAATGAACAGAATTGCTTTTGGGGCCCATGCTCAAGGAGATTCCTCCAAACTTGGCAGCTCGCTAGTGCCTCAAAAGGAAGATCTACCGGACATGGCCAAAACACCGTAAAATACGGTGTTTCCCTGTAGACCCCAAAACACCGTAAAAATACGGTGTTTCCCTGTAGAATGTTTTCCCCGCAGAATGTTCTGTACCCCAACCCTTTGACCGTCAGATTCGACTCAGAAATCTCCTCACGCGGTGCCCAAAAACAAACGTCGAATCGAAGAACAATCGGTGAAACCAAGTGCAGTGCTCTCACCACTGCACTGGGAACTAGAAAACTACGGCGTTTGTGATGTGTGTTTGTTTGTTTTGTTTTGTTGTTTTGTTTTGTTGTTTTGTCTTGTCTTGTCTTGTCTTGTCTTGTTTTGTTTTGTTTGTTTGTTTTGGTTTGTGTGTGTGTGTTGTTTTTGTTTTGTTATTGTTGTGTGTGTGTGTGTGTGTTTGTTTTGTTTGTTTGTTTTGTGTTGTGTTGCTTTGTGTTTGTCTTGTGTGTTTTTGTGTTTTTTTTTTATTTGATTTGTGCTGTTGTTGTTGTTTTGCCTTTTTTGTTGTGTGTTGTTTTGTGTTGTTTTGTTTTGTTTGTTTTGTTTGTTGTGTTTTGTTTTGTTTTGCTTGTGCTTTTGTTTGGTTTGTGTTGTTTTGTTTTGGTGTGTTTTGTGTGTTTGTGTGGTTTTGTGTGTTGTTTTGTTTTGTTTTGTTTTGCTGTGTGTGTGTGTTGGTTTTGTTGTGTCGTGTCTGTTTTGTTGTGTTTTGCTTGTGCGTTTGTTTGGTTTGTGTTGTTGTGTTTGTTTGTTTTGTTTTGTTTTGTTTGGTTGTGTTTGTGTGTTTCGTTTTGTTTTGTTTTGTTTGTTTGTTTTGTCTTGTTTTTTGTGTTTTGTTTGTTTTGCGTTGTTTTGTGTTCTTGTGTTGTGCGTTGGTGGTTTGTTTTGTTTTGTTTGTGTTGTTTTGTTTTGTTTGTTTTGCTTTATTTTGGTTTGGTTTGTTTTGTTTTGTTGTGTTTGTTTGTTTGTGTGTATGTTTGTTTTTGTGTTTGTTTTTGTGTTTGTTTTTGTGTTTGTTTGTTTGTTTGTTTGTTTGTGTGTTTGTTTGTTTGTTTGTTTGTTTGTTTGTTTGTTTGTTTGTTTGTTTGTTTGTTTGTTTGTTTGTTTGTTTGTTTGTGTGTTTGATTGTGTTGCTGTTTTTGTTCTTGTTTTTGTTCTTGTTCCCCACCCGACAGGAAGGGGTTGTTAGAATTTATGTTGGAATCCGCGTTTGCGATGCTTCTACGCCACGCCCCCCACCCCGTATCCCGCCAGAGCAGCTCGCCAGTGGATCCCGCCGAGTATCCCGTCAGAGCAGCTCGCCAGTGGATGCCGCCGAGTATCCCGCCAGAGCGGCTCGCCAGTGGATCCCGCCCAGTATCCCGCCAGAGCTGCTCGCCAGTGGATCCCGCCCAGTATCCCGCCAGAGCGGCTCGCTAGTAGATCCCGCCGAGTGAGCAGCCCGCCAGTGGATCCCGCCGAGCATCCCGCTGAGTATCCCAGAGTAGCTCGCCAGTGGATCCCGCCGAGTATCCCGCCAGAGTAGCTCGCCAGTGGATCCCGCCGAGCATCCCACCAGAGCAGCCCGGTAGTGGATCCCGCCGAGTATGAGTATCTCAGAGTAGCTCGCCAGTGGATCCCGGCGAGTTCTCGCTGAGTATCCCTTGCCGGTGGATCCTGCCGAGTATCCGGCCAATCGAGCCGGAGCGGCTAGCCAGTATTCGCCAGTGGATCCCGCACATATCCCGCCAGAGCAGCTCGCCAGTCTGGTTTTGCTTAATGTCCCGCCCGGCTCACAGTTGGGTTTACATTTCATGTTGGTGCCTTCGTGTTTTGAGTGTACCCTGACGCTCGGAATGATGCTTTTGTGTTGCTTTGGGCTGTGAATAAGCAACTTCGTTTAATCCTTTTTCGGGTTTCTTTTTAAAAGGGGCTTGGCTTTTGTTAACGGAACCGATGTTTGAGTTCTCGAGAGCGGCTCGCAGACAAGTGGAGTTTGACACACAGACAGGTGGATACGGCTGTCAATGCAAAGCTTGTTGAGCAGTCATAAACCCCAAGCCACTCGAAAACCATGCTTGAAGGCACACAACCGTGTTGTGGCATGAGTATTTTGTATCTTTTAGCATGTTTTGTTCGCTCTGCCGTGGCGCGGCCTGCTGCATTTGTGATGGGCAGCTGCAGAGGGCCATCAGCTGATCGGCCATGCTTGCCAATAAGCTTGAAATGGGCTTGAAGCAGCGCTTTGCCATGCTTGCGCGGCAAAATATCATTGGGAAGGGGCCGGTGGGAATTTGGAGTCGAAGTCTTCGGGATGCGGATGAATTTGTTGTAACGGTCGTAAGCTCGTGAGTGTGGAGGGTGGAGATTGCTCGAAGCGAAGTATTTGTTTTCGCTTTTTTTGTGTGGTGGGGGGAGGGGGGTAGAATACATATGAAACAGAGTCAGGACATATTTCATTTTGGGACTACTCCAGTTGGGTCAGTTGCAAACCTGGCCAAGGTTCGATTCGGATCCAGATCGCTGACATGGATCAGCACACGTCGTGGCGAATTGCTTTATCTATTTTTCATCCCGAGTGGTGTAAAGTCACAGGATAAATCAAGCTGGTTAATATATATTTGGGCTTAGTTACACGAAGCGAATCGACCTTTCGACCTTTTCATTTTCTCTTTTTGAGCCATAGTAAAGGTCCGAAAAGGTGATCACCTTTTGTTTCTGGATCCCAAAGGGGCAACTGAGTAATTCATTCGGCAGCTTCCCACAAAGCGAAAGATGCCCTCTCAAAAGGGTCGCCCCAAGCACTTGACATGACTTTTGGATCGCCGTTCTGGCACTCGCCCAGGCGTGTTGCCGGGGGCCCTGGGAGGTTGAGGTTTGTGTCGAGTTGGGGCATGTTTAGGGCTCCAAGTCCACAAATGTCGACGCCCGTTAAAATCCCTTTGTTTGTCATGGCTCCTCAAAAGATACATTTTGCCCATTTGAAACATGGTGTTGTCCACCAAAATTCAGGGAAACCACCATTTACAAGGCAATGTTCAGGTGTATCATGTAAGCATCCCTGTTTGTCGAGTGCTTTCCCAAGATCAAATGTTTCTCAATTGGTGGCTTGTTGCTTTGGGGGATTTGCACCCCTGGTTCTTGTAGAGGATAAATGGGAAACCACCCCTGTCCACCAAACCACCAATACAGGCCACCGAGTAGTGGTAAGCTGAAAAGATGCCACAAAAGTATTGTTTGCCAGGGTCACTGCGATTGGACAGTCTTGCGGCGAAATCATACTTGAAACCAGGAAGTTACTTTCTGCAAGATACGGGGTGGAAATCCCTACGCTGCCCCACAGCTGGTTTCCATAGCATGCTTTGTGGCCGAGTTACTTGCCTTGGTTTTACATGGCTTCCACGAGGGGGAATCGTCTCTCTCTCTCTCTCTCTTTCTCTCTCTCTCTCTCTCTCTCTCTCTCTCTCTCTCTCACGCCCTTCCAAGTCAACGACGAACTTTGGGAGCGTGGGGCCATTGGTTTACTTCGAAGTGTACAGTCCACTTGCTTGGTATGTTTTCGTTTTACCCCGCTGGTTGTAAAGGCATCCTATCACTACTGGATATATTGTGTTTTCTTCTCCCGGGGCAGTCAAGCAAATGCTGGTACAAGAATCCTTTTGAGGCAGTTCTCACCTGTCGTCAGATCCGCTCGGGCGTCTGTTTTTTGCCTTCCGGACTTTTGACCTGTTCTCTTTGCCGTTGATTTGGTTTCCTTTATGTGTTTCTCTGTTATTTTTTGGTGCTTTCAACCAGGCAGGTTTCCGGGTTTTCTGGGGCCTGGTCGGACCCCTCGCTGCCTCGCTGCCTCGCTGCCTCGCTGCCTCGCTGCGGCCAAGGTGGTGGTGAAGCTCTTCTGCCAGGACCTGCCGCAGCAGATGGCCATGGTGGCCTTCTTCTACAGCCCCTTGGCACAAATCTGGCGGGAGCGATGGGAATGATCCATGAACCAAACCATCGGCTGTTGGTCAACCAAATCTGGCGGCGGCGATAGCTAGGCGATTGGTCACCCAGCAATTGGTGCCCGCCCTTTGACCAACTATTTTGGTTGGGAGGGTTCTTCCCCTAAAATCGACTACAGAAAAAAGTTGGCACTCTTATTCTAACCTCTCAAATCTGGAGGACCTAGGGTAGGGAATGCAGGGAATGACCCGGGTGTTGGGAATGAGCCTAGGGAGTGATTCCCGAATAAAGGAAACCATAGGGGGGACGGTTCGTGAGGCGTTTGGGGGGATTCCCGAAGAAAGGAAAGCCTAGCTGGGACGGTGTATAGGGGTCATTCCATCTCACTTTTCGACCGGGTAGAAGTCTGGGGACCTTCCCTAGAACCGTCAAAGTGGTTGGTTCGCCCGGGTCCCCACCTAAAATGATGTCCAGCATAGGGTCCCCAATTGAAAGCAGCCATTGGAAACCCTTGTGTCCCAGCTGAATGCGTTGGGGTCGACAGGCCCGAGATAGGCTCCGGAGTTGGGAGCGCCGTTGGGATTCGGAAGGGTTCGGAGGGGTTGCGGGGGCTGTTGGGGATACTACAAGAGGTTCGAGTGAGGCCAAACTCCGTTGAGTTGGTGTCCAAGTGGGGCTCAACACACTCAAGCTTTTTGCGCAACAGGCAATACCGGGGTCGCACAAAAACGCGCTGTTGTTTCTCGAGGTGTCCCTTTCCAATTCAACAGGGGTCCAAAATCCATGTGAGAGAAATACCATGGCGGCAAACGGGACCCTAACCCCCGAACTGCCAGTTGGAGGGAGGATGTGCCTGGGAAAAAGGCTTAGCGCTGATGTTGCAGGCTGGTACTCGATGGGCGGCCTGCGGTGCCAGATGTGCCTTTTCAATGCGGCGCACTGTGGGGACTGGGATCCCCTCGGCGGCTTGGACCCAAGGCGCCCACGTCACTCTCGCTCTCCGGGTGCAATCAAGGCCTTTGCCACTTTTAGTCACCACGGTTCTGGTCGCCAATGCGTAGAGGAAGTCCCACACCGGGTCAAAATATATTTTGGTGTCCCGGTTTTCCGCGAAGCCACCGCGAGAGTAGCTTTTAGGTTGTTACCTTGGTACCTAGTACCTAGTACCAGTGTTGGTCGACTTTGGCATGCGTGTTTGGGGGGTGCCCCAAAAGCCAAAGAGTGTGATGAACGTGGTTTGCTGCGAGCAGTAGGCTCTGCCAAACCCCACGCCTCCAATGCCATTTTCGTTTTGACTGGGCCAGTGGCATGTTTCCAATCTTTGACTCGGTTTGTTGAACCACTAGTAGCGCAAATAGATAGGAATTTGATGTCCACATTTGTTGGGATAGTGGATTCTGGGTATTGGAGTTCCGCGCGACTTGCCTCGGGCGGAGGGCAACTAAAAAGGGGTCCCCCCTCTGGGTTTCACCTTTCGAGTGTGCTTTTCGCCCGAGGCTGGGAAAATCTGCTGCTGCTCGGATGAGCCAAAACTTTCTGCCGCCCTGGCAATGGATCAGGGTACGGAGTTCAGCGCATCCGCTTCTTTTTTCTTCCGGAACATGCAACTTGGAACCCGACGGGTCCTTTGTCCCCAAACTCGTGGTGCAGGCCATCGCCCTCACCTTCGGGCCACTGAAAGGAAAAAAAGTTGGCCACATTTACAGCCTTTGCCGGCTGGTTCCATGGGTTTCTACATGTCCCCGGCGATCTTGACATGTTTAAGCGACTCTGTTCTATTTACGGAAACCACAACTCCCTCACTGTACGAGCGTCAATGACCAATGCCCCATGAAGATGCCACCGTTTGGGGATCCCTCATTCACTTCCATTTCATTTAGGGGCCTCAGTTTTGACCGTAAGCAACTTGTCCAGTTTAGTGGTTGAAATCTCAAATCCTTTGAGTGGTTTTCCAACCAATGGTCATTCCACGAAAAGGGCAAGGAGAGCTCAGAGGCATGTGCGAACTGTAGCTCCAGGCAATACTCAGGCTTCAAAGAGCGGGGGGGGGGGGGGCATCATGACTTCCAGTGGATGGGCTGGATATGTGGAAATAAGCTGATTTTGTGTGAAGGGCGCCTTGGTGCATGGGTTGCGTGTCAATATTGTTCCATTTGAGAGGGCATGGGCTGTTTGACTTAAGGACGCTGGTGTACCTCCTGCATGTTCCCCTAAAAAGAGTTTCCAGGGGCCGCTCAGGCTCACAAGTTTCAGCCTCTCATTTCTGCTGATTGGTATAGGTCCATATGAACCCATGGCCATTTTGGTCCGGTGTGTGCGTGTAAAAGCTTCCTTTTGCGGGGCCTAAGACTTGTGAGTTGCAAAACTTCGGGCGACAAGCTGTTTTGTTCGGGTGTTTGGGTTTCCATTACCCGGGCTCAGGGGAGCTGGCAACTGCAAAACCCATTCCCCAAAGCCGATCCCTCTAGAGAAAAAGGAGAACATGCGGGGCAAACAAGCCCCATAACGTACAGAGATTGAAACGCACCCCTAATTGAAACATCACTTTTTCATCATGGCGGGGGCTGCCGCCCCCCCCCCTACCCCCCCCCCCCCGCCAAGTTTTAGTATTTTTTGTTTCAAAGATTCGAATCATCCCTTGTTTGAATTTGCGTTGCTTTTTTGGGCGGGCTTATGTTCACCTGAAGGATGTCCCCCTAACCCATGCAAACATATAGAAGATATCTTGGGGTGGAATTCAATTGGGTTTCCGGTTTGGTTTAGTATGGTAGACTCGAGTTTCCATTTGTTTTAGTATTGCTGGAGCTTCCTTTTGCTGAGGGTTCACTTTCGATGTTCCACATTCGCACCGCGCCACAGCGAGAGCGATCCAGCACACCCAAAGTCTGCGGAGCACCAATCGGCCGTTTTTAAATCTCGCGCGGCACCCCAGCGAGAGCTCACCCTTGAAAGACAAAAAATCGTCCAGGCACTGTGCGATCCTGCGCAGGGGAAATACAAATGATCATCTCACAAGGAAGTTTTGCACGAGCGTCCCACCACTTCGTGCGAGCCTGCGCAGTGAACACGCATTGTACGTAAATACCGCGAAATATGATCCAGCCCAGGGCGAGCACCGCGATCTAGCACTTTGCTCCTACCGCAAGAACCCCTTGGCGTAGCCACACTGGGAAAGCAGTCAGGAAAAACACATCAACCAAGATTGGGCCTGCCTTCAGGCCCCCAAACTTGAGCCCAATGTGTTTTTCAGGTCTTGTTGTTTGCCCTCCCCCTTAAAATAATAGACCCTGCCCTTTGTAATGGCCTCTTGGCTAGTTAAATAATGTCACGGCCCAGGTGATGCCGACGAAGCTTCAGGCTTTGTTGTTAGATTTGGGCCTGCTCCCCAAAATCCAAAATGCTCAGCTTTCCCAAGCTCATATCTTCTTACATGTGGCTTGTTTAAAAACTGCCCGCAGTCAAACTTCAGGCCACCAATCTGATTATCTCAGGGGCCCCTAGAACAAAATTTACTGCCTGGCCGAAAAACATCTCTAGAAATACAAATTCAAATGGAAGCGCTGGTCCAAATCTCAAAGGGAAGCTCCAGCAATACTAAATGAACTGGAAACACTGAGTTTCCAAGTCTCAGACTTTGGCCGGTTTGGATCGTTCTCGCTGTAGCGCGGTGCAAATTTTGAAAGTGAGCCCCTCTGCAGAATCGCTTTCGCTGTGGCGCGGCGCAGATTACAAACCTGCAAAGAGCCATTCCCAATTCAATCCATGCAATCCTTTGAAGAGATCTTGCGCAGGACGGCGAAAGACTCTCTCCAGTGATCTTGTAGGGAATGCTCCCTACAGATCTTGACAGGGAAATTGCTCATGGATTCTTGTTCCTATACACGAATCTTGCCAAGAGACCCTACCCAGGCATGCTTAAAATTCCTCATATTTTTTGCGCCGGTCCTTCGTCTCAATCATCTCAGGAGGTCTCGCGCAGACCGTCCCAAGGATTCTGCACATAAATCTTGCCAAGCGGTCCTTCAAGAGATCTTGCTAAGATATCCTGTAACCATCCAAAGATGCCTTGCACTGGTCCTTCTGGGGGGCCTCCAACAGGTCTTGCGCAGAACCTGCAAAATTGTAGAGAGGTCCTGTGGGGGATCCTGGCCGGACGATCCTACTAAGAGATTCTGTAAATCCCCCCGCAAATGTCTTAAGATGGTCGAGGGCTGCAAAGACTTCTTTGCGAGAGTTTTTGTGGCGGATGCTCCCTAGAGATCTTGGGATCCTAGAAAGAGATCCTACAGATCGTGCAACGATCCTCCACAGATATCTTGCACTGGTCCTGCATACAGATCCACTCAACAGATGCCACTGTCTCTTTAACATATAACTCGTTTTTCTATCTTCACACCTCCCCCAATATTCCAGGTGCTTTTACCTGCTTTTCCTTATCTTACCTCTTAAAAACACAACTTTTCAACTTTTTGGGGGTAACATGGGCTATATGTCTGTAAAAGGTTAACTTCCTCAATCCTTGGAGTTTTAAGGGGTAAGTTATTCTCCATCCAATTACTATGCCAGGTAAACGTTGTCCGTCCATGCCCAAGTTGATCAATAGATCACTTTCCAGCCACAGGGGTCCTAAAAAAGCGTCCCAAAGACACGTTTCATTCAACTTTGAAACAGAAATCGTAGAGGAGGGCGTTAGGGGAGGAGCAGCCATCCGTGTTTGGATCGGGGACCTCGGGGCGGGGACCAATGCCCCTGACACAGTGGCTGCGGCTTTTGTGATGAGGCAGGGGGTCACTCGATTGCGCCTGGGCGCTTGACACAGATCGGGGTAGATGGGCAAAAGGGTGTTGTGCTGACTCTTGGTCGCTTGGCTTCAAGGGTCCGTGCTGCTCTGCAAGAGCGGCGCTACTGCCTATTTAAGCTGGACATTGAAGGCTGGAAAGGGTTGAAGGTCGCGTGAAATCGGTGAAGGCGGGCAGCGATTCATGGCGTTTTGGGCAACTTAGAGTGTCTTAGTCAAGGTCACACATTACAAGGGGCGAGCAAATTCAAAGTAGTATGAGGGACGAGGTCCATTTTTTGTGCTTTTTCGGTTGAGTGCTTTTTTGGTGGGGGCGGGGGGCGGGGGTGGGGGGGGGATGATTGCGTCACTTCTTGCTGTTTTTGCGGGGTGTGGGGTGTGTGTGTGTGGGGAAGACTGGCGAGACTTCTTGAATTCCTCGTTTGTGTGCTGGGCTGTCTTGTTTTGCTGTAGTCCTTGTGCCCAAGCCATGGTGTCAGAAGACGTTCTTCTAGCCCTTGCCTTGATCATGCGCTTAGCTGGCGTCTCGCATTGCTTCTCCACACACTCGGTGCTGGGTCCTTTTTTCGCTGTCTGGCTGCCTTACTTGGGCTTCTTCTGGACGTTTCGTGTCAACCAGCGGGCCCTGTCTTGTCCTTTGTGCCTGCGGTCACGATGTGCCCACGCAAGTTTCCGCTTGACTATTGTGATCTGGTGTGCGGCCTGGGATCGTCATCTGATGCCACCTTGATTTGCTTCCATCGGTGTGGCTTCTGCTTGTTGGGTCTTGTCTCGTCGGCTTTTGAAAAGAGAAGCCATCATGCGGTTCCCAGGCAACATGCGGTCTCTAGCATGGCAAAATGCTCGAACCAGGCACAGAGTCTGAGATTTTGTGCCACGGAGGCGTGGGAGGCAACATCCGCCTCCCGCCCTTCATAATGTTCAAGTACCTCCGGAGGTGCAGGAGCCTTCCGGATTCCGCACGGCAAGTGGGTGTTCATGCGGAGGTTCCTGGAAGCCGAGGGGTGCGAGGGAGCGCTTTGGCCCTTTGGCGTTTCAGCCTGGGAGTCGGGCCTGGCATGGCAAGACCGTTGCTTTTGCCCGGAGAGGCTTGGTCCGTGGAGAGGGGGGATGCCCTGCATGTCAAAGGCCTTGGCTGGATCCAGCTTTGGATTCGCAAGGCGCCCTTTCTGGCGTCACTGTTGTGCTTCCTCGGCTTTCTCTTATTTACATCCATCCATACATGGATACACACATACTTGCATACCGGCATATATACATGCATACACACCCCACATATCACACCACATTTACACCACACATACACACCACAATTTTTCACCACACACACACATCACACATACGCACCACACATTTTCACCACACATACACAACACACTTTTCACCACAGGTACACACCACATTTTCACCACACTTTTTCACCCCACATACACACCACAATTTTTCACCACACACAACCACACATACACACCACACAGACGCACCACACATTTTCACCACACATACGCAACACAATTTTTCACCACAGGTACACACCACATTTTCACCACACTTTTTCACCCCACATACACACCACAATTTTTCACCACACACAACCACACATACACACCACACAGACGCACCACACATTTTCACCACACATACGCAACACAATTTTTCACCACAGGTACACACCACATTTTCACCACACTTTTTCACCCCACATACACACCACAATTTTTCACCACACACAACCACACATACACACCACACAGACGCACCACACATTTTCACCACACATACGCAACACAATTTTTCACCACACATACACACCACATTTTCACCACACTTTTTCACCACACATACACACCACATTTTCACCACACATACACACCACAAGTTTCCCCACGCATACACACCACACATACGCACCACACATACGCACCACACATTTTCAATACACATACACACCACTCATTTTCACCATTCATACACACCACACTTTCACACCACACACTTTCAGCACACATACCATTTTCACCACACATGCACACCACGAATTTCCCTGAAGTATGCACACCGCACATTTTTATCACCTATTTTTCTACGCAAATTCCCCACAACTTCACCACAATTTTTCCCCCACACATACACACACACAGCACACAGTTACACTACACATACACGCCACACATTCGAGGGCCATGTTTTTAGGATGTTTCTTTGGGCTTTTTCGTGGTGTTATGCAGCTTTTGGTGGCTGTTTCAGCTTTGGCTTTTCGCACCCTTTGCATTCCCAGTTGTTTTTTGTCCTTGGCTTCCCGCATCCTCAGCTTCCTAGCAAGTGTTGTCTGTTTGTATATTTCTATATACACATATATTTGTGCTTTTTCTGTGTATGTTGACGTTGGTATGCAAGTGTGTAGGCTTGCAGGTATGTAGGTATGTAGGTATGTATGTAATCTATGCAATCTATGTATTCGATGTATGTATGTATGTCTGTACGTATGCACTTCCTCGAGCGTCATGGGGATGGCTGCCCCCCCCCCATTTTTGAGATTTTGTATTGAGTTCAGATGCGCCCGGTTTGGATCATCACTTTTTCGCTCTCAGTGAGACATATATACACCTTTCTGTGTCCCAATCAAGCTTTGCCTTGGGAAACCATGGGCTTGTCAAGGGACTGGGTAACACCACCTCTCCGGCAGGCTTTTGCACCCTTTCCTTTTTCGCACTTCCCAGTTCTTCTCCGGAAAGCGTTATTTAGATTCATGTTTATGTAGTATGCATCTGTGTGTGTAATCTATGTAGTATGTATGCACTTCCACATCATGGGGGGGGCTGCAGAGATTACATCCTTTCCTCCATCATCGCTTATTCGAACATCAGGGCTGCTGCCCCCCACTCCCCCCCGGCTATGTTGGACTTTTTTACAGGGATTGGTTTGCACCCATATGTAAATCATCACTTTTCGACCATCTTGGGGGGGGGCTAGGAAGCCAATACAATAGAGAGCCACTGCTGCCCACGATCTGCTGGTGATGCTGGGGATGTTGGCAGGACATTCGGGGATGTTGAATAGCGAAACATACATAACATGCGACATGTTTCAGACCAAGACGTTAGGTGGTTCCCTTTTGGCCCTTAGGTTTCTTGGCAGCCCCCCCCCCCTTTAGAAATGAGGGTTCGGGCAATCCTTACTCAGGCACCGCTAGTGTCAAGTTTCGTGTCGGATCTGAGGCTGACGATGGTCATGGTGCTCAGTGCGCGGCGCTCAGGGAACTCACGGAGGACGTGTCCATTGGGGAGAGCGGCCTGGTTTCTTTGCCTGGGTTCCACCAAAGAGAGGAGTGCGGGGCAGGGCGCCCTGTTCCATTTTTGGCTGACCTTCTTTTCATTTGGTTTGAATATTATGGTGGGTTTCGAGGAAGCCTTTGGGAGAGATGTTGCCCCAAGCTAGCAAACACTTGCAGGTCAGCCAGGGCCGCGGGATGGGGGGTCACAGCCTTGGCTAATACAGGTTGCATGACGGGCAAAAGCTATTAGAAGTGTCTCAGCCAAGCCAAGACCAGGTCGGTTTAAAGTTGATTCCTTTGTCAAACCGAGAAGTTGTTTTTTTCGCTTATAGGAGGCACCAACGTTAGACCAGGGGAAATGGTAGCAAATCCAGTACCACTTCCTTTGAAGCAAAAGGAAAATTGGACCAACCGGTTTTATTTCTCCCTCCTGACGGATCATGATTCAATCTGTCAGCCCAAATCAGCATGTCACGCGGCTTGGGGGGGGAGGGGGGAGGGAGCCCAAACAATTTGGGTTCCTTCCCTCCCTTGCCTGGCCCCTTGTCAGAGAGATGTTGGATCTTGGATCCAAGGGGGCTTTCCAGGTAGGTTTGGCACCAGGTTTCATGAAACAATCATCCAAAATCAGCCCAAGTTGTTTGCCGAACTTTTCTTTTTACCCCCCCCCCCCCTCCCAACAGCTTCGTTTTTCCTCTATCCGCAACTCAGGCGATGCTGACCCCCCACCCCACACTGATTTGATTCCGGGGCTCTTCGCCTTAGTCGCTTTAGGCCTCTTCGAACCAGCTGCTGATCCGCGGGAGAAACGGACTGGAGACCTTGGATAGCTTGCCACCCGGCTCTCGGGATCCAAGGGGATGACCTCTGGATCTGGCATAGTTCGCGACCATATCTTGACCGCTATTGGGTAGCGGATCTTTAGACTTTAACTTTTTGGTTGAAATCACCAAACTCCGAAAAAGTTAAACTTTTTGCAGGGGTCAACCGCAACCAAGATATGGGCGCGTCTTTGTTGGAGGGCGCCCCTCTTTGTTGGTTTGTAACCCCGCCAGTTTTTTGGGGGGCCCCTTACAAAAAGGCGCTTAAGCCAGGCTCAGAAGAGCGATTCCTTCGCTTGGGATTGTGTCTGGAGCTCTTCGAAACGGCCAAAAACGGAAGGCTCTTCCAGTGCATGGACTTTTTGTCCCGGGCGAGTTCTAGGCAATTTGCCCGTTTCCGCTGTAGCCGGAAGTTCTTTGGGTTCCTTCATTTGTTTTGGAGTTTCTACGGGGGGGATGAGTACGTAACATATGGGCCTGGATACCTAGATGCCTAATTACTTGTTCTTGTTAGGGATGATCATGGGAGAATGCGTGTTCGTACCCCCTCTCCCACCCGGAAGAGTTTAGCAAGGCTCCTGAAAGGAGACGAGTTGAGAGTTGAAAGATCAGCGTCTCACTTGCCCACAGCGAACCGTTTGACCTTTTGGTTCCCGTTTTTTGGTTCATTTTTCGTCATGGCCCTAAAAGGTGAACCTTTTATTTCTGGGTTCTTCGAGCGAGTGAGGCTTGTCCAGCTGGAGGATCCTGTTCCATGTGAAGCAGGTGGTTCTGCCCGTATTTTATCGGAACCAAAGGAAGAGCAGTTCTCGTAAAGCCGGAGATGAAGAAACACCTGGAGGTTTAGCCTTGGAAGGTTTCCATCCGTGTAAATCCCCCTTTGACCGGGATCCCCACTCCCCCCCAAATGGAATTGGAGGAGTGGAGGCGGGTTAAGCTTGGAGATGTCCATTCATTCTAGGGGCTGGTGCTGGTTCCTTTTCCATTCTTTTCACCATAGTTCTTTTCAAAAACCAGCTGTTTCCCAAGGGTTTTGGGTGCTTTTTTGGAAAGAAGGATGCCTGGAAAGAATTGGGAAGGTACCCCTAGATCCATGGTCAGCCATTTTCCTTTTAGGGAATCTGGATTTGGGTCCCAAGCGCCCCCTTTCCCCCCTTTTCGCAGCCCCCGCACCTCCCTCTTTACGGGGGGCATCAAAGTCAGGGCCGTCCGACCGAGGATGTCGCTGATGTTCCGTTCTCTGCTCTTCGGCTTCAGCGTGCTACCCCTAGGCCGAAATCCAGCCGCCGCTGGATTTCCCCAAGCCCCAAGTTGGCGGCGGCTTCCGTGGAAACTGCGGCTCTTGGAGGCTAAGGGAAGTGGCTCGGAGCCCATTTGAACCGTTGCTGCTATTGGGTAACGGATCTTTAGACTTTCACTTTTGGGTTGAAAGCCTGGGGGCTTGGCCCCCAGACCCACAAAAAGTGAAGAACTTTTTGCAGAGGGGCCAACAGCAACCAAGTTTCGGAGGTGCAAACAGGGAAATGGCTCGCCCCCCCCCCCCCCTCCCCCCCTAATTAAACCGTTCCAATCCAAATCCAAGTCAAGAGGTTGGGGTTTCCATTTAACGACAAGGGCTTCACCTCCTCCCAGACCTGCGCCTTGGTCTTGGCCTTCGGGTTGTTTGAAGGTTTGGGTCACTTTGGCCTCAGGCTGTATTTTGGGGTCGAACTATGAATCAGACTCAAACAAATTGATGTGTTTTGCTTACTCCGGGTGTGGCTCAAGTATGGGCCGTTTTGGGATAGCCAATCAACAATATTCAAGAATAATATGATAATATGGGCGATAGGGATCAACTTATGAAACTGTGAGGGGTCAGGAATGAGCCAACTTCGGAATCAGAATCCCTCGCTTAGTGGGTTCCACCCTCTACATTCCTTTTTTTTTTGGTAAACCTAGTAAACTGCTCAAGCCACACTACCAGTTCAACCAATGCTCCAAAAATCGATTGCCGAGAACCTTCTGCCTCAACCCCGGCCCCTAAAATGACCATCCGATTCGTGGCAGGCACCGCTTTCTACCTCTCGGCGCTTTGGTTCCACTACCCTGGGAAGTGGTCGTTGGTGATCGCCTGCATCGCTGGCAGCGTCCCCATGGCGCGAGCCTCAGGAAACGACGAAGTGCTCGACCCAAAGAGATGGCTATAGGTCAACACCAATCGGATCCCATTTTGGTGGTCGATTGTAGTGAGGATTGGGATGTTCACTGAGAGTATGATTTGGATTTTGACCATGGCCAAACAGATCCCTCACAAGGACTTTCCTCGGATGGTATTTTTTGGGTTGCACGTTATTAGGGGGGGAGTCACTGATCTGGTAACAAAGCCCTCGGTTTTATTGTGGATTGCTCATCTCACATGTGCCATGGTCAAGAGACCTAGTTGCTTTGGGTCGGTAGGCACAATCATCAAAGCTTTCATGGAATTTTGGACAACCAATGAGTATCTCTCTGTGTGTTTGTTTCTGAGAGTACCGTTTGGGTTGGTTGAAAGGGAAGGCAAATATAATCCCCACTTTGTTTCGGATCCAAATCCCTACGTTGACACAAGCCGTGATCTAAGTGACGACCCGACGGGTCGAGTCGAGTCGAGTGAGGTCCTGGGCGTTTTCGCCATCACCTGCGTGCCTCTCTTGTGCTTCGCCAGGCCGGGAGAGCGTGCGTAAAGTAGCGGAAGGCGCCTGGAAAAGGTTGATTGGGGAGCCGCCAAACCACCGGGCTCCAAACCACCTAGAGGGAACCCGGAAAAGGCCCCCAGCCCCAGGCTGTTCTACAAATCGCGAGGTTTTTGGCTTGGCTTCCATGGGTTCATTGTGACTCGCGTGGACGTGAGCTGCTCCCCCCCCCCGGTGCCAGCGGTGCCACTGGTCTCGTGAAGACGAAGGCAAGGGTTATTGATAAATCCCGCCAGAAGAAATGGATCCCTGAGGTCCAGGATTGGACGACACTCGGGTATCAAAAAACAAGAAGGTCATGCAAGCAAGAAATTTCTGAGTGGCTCCCAGCATTGCCTTCCCCTTTTTGGGTTTGTAGTTGGTTTCCATTTGTCCTACTGAAGGTTCTCGACTTTCAGCAAGGGATCAGAAAACGGACAGCTGGGAATTTATGAAAACTCGATTCCTGGCCGGAGGTAACCCGTGGTTGGTTGGGGTTGACCTCTCGAAAAGATGAATCAACCAGAAAAGGATGCTAGGCTACATACCCGGGTTAGGTTGCTAACTTCCTTGCAGAAATCTTCCTTGCGCTTCTGTAGAAGGTGTACTGGCAAGGCTTGGTCTGACATGTCTTTCTCCATCTTAACCTGGTTTTGTGCCGGGGCTGCTTGATTCTAGACCCACTTGTAGTTCATTTGGGCTTGTCTTTGTCGAGGGCGCCCCCCTTTCGGTTATTTTTAAAGAACACAAAAAGGACCACCGCATCATTATGTGTTTCATTTTCTCTCTTTTTTTTGGGGGGGGGGGGAGGTTACCCTAAAATGACACCTATTTGCCTTGGGAAGAGTTGAAAAAGTCCAGCGGGTCCAACCCCAGCCCATCGCGTCGGCGTGCTGCATCAGGACGCCCTGCGGCTCCGCACTGCTGCTTGCAGTGAGCCTCCGCTTAGAGACTCTGCTGCCACGCTGCTTCACTTCGGCCTGAAGTGAACCCTACAGCGTTCCTCGCCTGGCGGCTCCCAGCCATCCGGTTCCATAGCTTGGCTTTTTGGCCTTGACTGCTATTGGGTTGGATCTTTAGACTTTAACTTTTTAGGAAATCAAGGTGTTTTCCACTAAACCCCCAAAAAGTTAAACTTTAACCACGGGGGTCAAGAGCAACCAAGAAGCTGGTTTTGTGGTTGGGTGTCCATATTTAACCCACTAAAGGTTGAACAGTTAGCAGGGAATCTGAGGACAGCTCAGTTTCCCGTGTTGGAACCTCCAAAAGTGGCGATCGTTTGAATGGAAGCCACCAGCAAATTGATCAACTTTTGAACAGGACATCCAGTGAACCCTGACAGCTGTGCCTATGTTGTGGGTTTCCAGCGTTTCCCAAGATTCGGCCGATTCGGTGGAACAACGAGCCAACACCTAAAAACTTGGATCCAGATGGTATTTCAGCAGTTGAACATACTGCAAAGTAGGCTCCCTCGGAATTGCCGGATTCGTCTATGGTCCATTTGAGCCTCTAGTTGCCCGCGGTCTCCTCCCAAAGCATTTAATACTTTGGGATCGACCAAATAATAAGCAGAGGCCGACCAAGTATTGGCAAAATCTGAACACTTGCATTTTGGTGTACCCCAAAGTTGGGCAAAGTGTTATCCATGTCGGTACCACTACCTACTGAAAGTCGTGTGGATCCCCTTAGTTGCGCTATGTCATTCATAGGTTCATTCCCCCAAGCCCACGCTCGCGCTGAACTAGCCCTACCCACCCTAGACCAACCCCAAAGTCCCAGACCCATCCGAAACTGCAAAAGCACAGTGCACTGGCCATCCCCCGCTGACCCAACATGGCCTACCTGAGGCACATGTTCAGAGTGTGGGACATCGACTCAGGAAGGTTCGGCAGAACCCAAACCATCCCCTGACGGTTCTCTTGGAGGTCTCCTGTGTGATGCTTTTTGGCCATGCAGCCAAACCCAAACCTTATGTTTGCTGAGAGCTACCATCCCTTGCTTGTCTCTTAGAGGTCTTCTATGATAATTTGTTGGCCATGAGATGGCCATGAGGCTGAAGAGTGCAGAGTTGGGTCAATGGCCCGATTTGAGGTGGGCTTGGCTGAAACGTGGCCAGCCCCGTGGAACCGCCTGCGCGGGCGCAACTCCAAAATGGCCGATGCGATTCGCGGTTGCCAGCGCATTGGGAAGCGAATGGACGGGGCATGGCTCCCTTTCTGTTCATTTTCCGTTTTCGTGGGTTTACCATGTTCGTTGTTGGGACACATTGTACATTTTTGCTTATTGTGGTTTAGTGGTTGAAATCCACTGCTTAAAAAAAATGCTCCCCTTCCAACGTCAACCAAGCTTACGGGGCGATGTTGCATCTCTATGTCTCAGAGCCCCGGGGATCGGGAACCCTTCTGCCTGGGTTTGACCTTAGGCTTATTAGGAAGGGCAGCACTTGTTTCTGATGGTTCCAAAAAAAATTTAAAGTTGGAGTTCGGGGAGGGGCCCCGAAATTCGCCATTGCCCTATAAGAATGAGTACGGCCCCCCCAGTAAATAGCTTCGCCTGGGGGCCAAACAATGCTAACGATTTCTGCCATGGTTCCGCTACGACCCTTGTCCGAATAAGGTGTCCCGTTCCCGTTCAACACGGCAATGTCCGAGTAAGGAATTCAGACAGCAGAAATCTACAAAACATGTGTGTTAGATTTGCGCTGGTTTCGAATTGGTTCAAAACTTAGTTTAAAATTGGTTGAGTATCGGGTCAGTATTGGTCCAGTCTGGTTCCAAAAAGTCCAGTAAGAAAACTGGATGGGGTTGGCGGGCTTGTTTGCAATTGGCTTAGCATTGGCCATTCTAGTTCAGTATTGGGAGATGTGGGGTCTTGAAAAATAGTATCTTTGAGGAGCACTTATTAATGGGGGAAGATATTCCATTTGTGGTTCCATTTCTCTTCTGGTTGGAAGAGCAACCTTAACCCTGTCACTGTCCCAGTCCCACCCTTTACAGAGAAGCCAGACGCATACGGTAAAAGCTTGGACTTGCTTGGGCCAATCCACGGAGAAGTGCGCAAAGGCATTTGAAGCATGTAACGGAGGCACATGATTATCAATCCCCCCCCCCCCCTGAAGGTCGACAAGGTCCCTTCCCGACTCAGGGTAATCCAGACCTGTCCTCTCCGGTCCTTTCCAGTGTGGAACCTTGTTTGGCCAATACTTGTTATTTTCCAGGACTGGAGAGGGCCAAGATTAATGAGAGGGGGGTTTGTGTTGATCGAGACGGCTAGATTTGAAGAGAATTACCCTATGCGAGCTCGTCCAACCAGTTCCTTGTTGCTTGTGATAAGAAATTTGTTGTTTGCGGCAAGCCTATTTTTGGAAAATCTATTTCTGGAATGCAACCCTTGAAACCGTGAAGTGAGTTCGTCTAGGCAAAAGTATCAGTCAGCTGGAAAGATCGGCCGTCTTGAATCAGATGTTTGTTAATGCCTTGTCGACATTGGCAAGGCCAGGGGCGCCTAGTTATTCCTTAGGTGTTCTTTCAAACAACCCCCAAAAAGCTCTACTGCTGTTGGGTTGGATCTTTAGACTTTGACTTTTTGGATTCCCCTCATGTCTCCTTTTAACCAGCAAAAAGTTAACCAGCAAAAAGTTAAACACTTTTTGCCGGGGGATCTACAGCACCCACGAAAGCAAACGATACCAACTCCAAAAGCATGAAGAAGAGGCAAGAAAGCAAAGACAAAAAACCTTCCTTTTGACCCCCCCCACCTCCGGGCCGAAAGAAGAAGAAAGCTGTGCTGTGCCAAGCTCCAAGAACCCCGACGATACCACCCGTTGGTTTGACGCTTGAGCAAGGTGCAAAGCGTGCCGCCCTGTCCCGCCGACGGCCCGGGAGCCCGGCGAAGCGAACCGGAGGCCAAGGGTCGGTTCCAATCCGCTTGGGGCGGGGGGTGGGGGGGTCTCGTTCGGACATGGCCCTCGGAGAATGCGGTAAAAAAAAAAACACAAAAACACAAACTCCTGCTGGTGTCCCGGGGCCGAACATCTGGTGAGAAATGCTGGTGCGATAGGCGGGGCAGGAGAAAACGGAATGGCCCTGTTGTTTTTTTTCGTCCAACTGGTGGTTTCCTTTAAGGGGACCAAAGCCAGGGTTCATTGGGCCAATTCTCCGTCGCAGACTGGGGCATTCAGAGGCCACAGATCGCATCACCGCTGGGGCCGATTTGGGTGGTATGGTCAGAGGGGAAACTCCCTGTGCCTGCTTTACCGGAAGGGTAACCCGGACAGCAGGCTGTAGGCTCTTGGGTCTCACTGCAGTTGGTCAACCCCTGGGAAGTGTCAACCGAAAAGAGCACCCCGATTGTTTTTCCGATCGCAACTGGGTCAAGAAAACCATCGCAAAGCTTACCCATGTAGTCAGGAACATGTCCTTGTCGAAGTAGTCCCTTTTTGCAGGTCTCGGAGTTGTGTTGAGTTCCGCGATAAACTTAACGTTTCACGCAGTTTTGATTTGCATTTGTGTGGACTGCCTTGAACACGAAGCTAGTTGTGGGGTAATTCGGTAGCTGGCTCTCTCCACGTTCAGAACCCTGATAAAGCCGTCATGGGCCTACAAAGGGTAGGGTTTCCAAGATCTCGAAGGAGGTGTTTTCCTTTTTCCTTTTCAATTCTAACCCAATCGATGTTGCGTTCTGCCAAGCTGCCGAACGCTCACGGATGGAGACCGCATGGACATATGCTGTCAAAAAGAGGGACGAGCTTAACGCAGCCAACGTGCAACTGCAAGAGCAGGTGTTTGCCTTGACCAGAGAGAACGAGGAGCTCCGAAGTCAGGCGACCCTTGTCCGCGACGACCTTGAACGAGACAAGATTGCTACTGAGAAGGGAAATTTGATGGTGCTGAACCTGAGGGAGGAACTCGTTTGTTTGCAGTCCCAGATCCATCATATGGAGGCGTTTCATGTTCGTGGTTGTGCTCATGTCTCGGAATGTTGTTCGCTGCTGCTTGACTGCTAGGTTGATTGAGCTCCCAACTTAAACCTTTGACGCAGACGACTTTCCCCTTGGGGTGCCTTCCATGAATGGGGGATTGACAGGCTTGCATGGCCATGAATTCATGCTCAGGGATTTTACCCTGGTGTTCCATGGGTGTGCAGAGGGGTGGGGGGTGCTTCACAGACTTGGAAGCATTCATGCTCAGGGGTGCCAGCGCCCGCCCGGAACTCTAGATGGCTGTTTTCGGTGGTTATGTTTTCTCCCACGTTCGGTTCGGTTCCAATGGCCTCTACCTTCCTACTTCCTCCACCAGCCATTTCCAGTCTTTGCTATTGGGTGATAATGGACCAGATAGAAGGGAAATGAGAGGATACAGAGGTGATAAAAGATTGTTCTCTGTGTTTTTCCCCCCGACCCATGGGTAGCTACGCCTCTACCATCTTGGCTTTGTCTCTGTTTGCTTTGGCTTGAGGCTGCAGCCCGCCCATCGACACCAAGCCTGGGCCTAAGAGCCGTTTTGCCTTGCGCTTGGCTCCCGAACGGCGAGCTGGTGCTTGGAGCGATTCGGACGAAAGCAGCTGGGGGCATCCGATTTTCTTCACAATTAGTTCCCCTGTTCATTATTGTTGTTGCTTTTTTGGGGTTCCTTTTGTTTTCCACTAACCTGGCAAAATATATATATATATATATTTGCTGGAGTCCTAATTCCAGCCAGCTTTTTGGCAATAGAAAGAGGGAGCGGTTCAGAATTTCAGGAGCTAGCAGGGGAGCCCTTCAACTTTCAGCTTACTTCTAAACTTAGTTCAAAGCAGGGGCACAAATCTGAAACCCGGTCATCCGGTGAGTTGCCAGTTGCCGGGCTAGTCGGAGCTGGGCACGCCTCCGTCATTTTGTATCAAGCTCTTTTTCGACTTAGGCGACCTTACTCCAGCCACGTATTTGGTGACTTGGTTGGCTTGGAGATGTGGCTGGGCCGGTTTCCATTTTCCCTGAAGGATCATGGTTTCCCAAGCGACCAGTCCATACCCATCAAGGGCATTTCACAATATCTTGGCCAAGCACGCAGTCCCCTACGCAGGGCTCTCTACATGCGCCTTAAAGCATCACCCCACCAACTGGAGGCTCACTTTGAACAATTGACTCAAAACGGTGATGCTTGACACAAAAGGGGCAAATGTTTGGGGAGCCCTGCTCAAGGTGACAGCTTCTATGCCAAGCTTGTCGACCCAAATGCGATTCAATAGAACTAGAGCCTCATGCAATGGCACCGTTCCTTGGCTGCTTGCGTGACGAGACCGCGTGCTTTGCTTCAGGAATTCGCCATGACCAGCCGTGGCCATGCATCGCGACACATGAGACTCCTAAGCCTGCAGCAGCACACCTTCGGAATCCATTCATGTTCTTCTTCTCCTGTATGGCACTTGATCCCTGTCAATTCCCATTTGCCATGTTTTGCATTTCTTCCCTTTTCCCTGAGTTCTCAACGCCCTTTCCCCCTGCCCTGTTTTGGCCAACCCGCGCCTTCCTCCCCGGACGCCGCCGGGCGCTCGCGAGCGGCCGGGCGGCCGCTCGCTCGCGGCTATGTTCCAATGCGCGCGGAGCTGGGTGCAGAGCTTCACGGGCCTCGGCAGCGAGGACTTCGACGACTTCGTGGCGCAGCAGCTGGCGCCCCGGCCTCCGAATCGAGCAAATCGAGCGGCGGTTGCGCGGTCGGACGGGCGCGGTCGGGTGGACGGGCGCGGGCGTGGGACGGACCGACGGACCAAGCGCATTGGGGTGGACCAAACAAGTTGGCTCACTTTGGGGCGGTTGCGGGCGGCTTAGATTCAAAAGAGAAAGAAGAACGATGAGAAGAGATCTTTGCAAATTGTAAATCGGACATAGCGATGAGTGCGCTTGGCTTCGGAGGAAGCGAACCGGGCGTTTGGAATACTGAAATCCATGGGAACTAATCCAGGATGCTTAGGATTAATCAGGTTCTTGAACTGTTTGATTTATAGGCCATTCAAGAGAGGAGCTTTGCACCTTTTACCCGCCTCTGCACGAAGCTCCACGCGGCAGCAGCTGCAGGGCTTGCCCTTACTGGGGAAAGAAGGGCTGTTTCGGTGTATGGAGGCAGCTTCTCGTAAGCACGGCCTTCAAGCCACCCCTACACGCCTTGAGTTTGCGACGGAAGTTGCCCAGTTGCCCACATAAAAACGAGGACGGTAGGTTCCCGTTTGGTTTTGTCACTTCATCAATCGTCAGCTTCCCCCTTTACAACTGGTGGCGTGTTCCTTCTTTTTAGAGGTTCAACCAAATGGGAAGCTACCTCCCAACCTCCACACCACCAATCCAAACCAGTTAGAGGGAAGCAGAACAGGGTCCCATTTTCCCTTTGAAGTGGGTAATCATCGCTTGGACCAATAGCTAATCCACTCAATGAAGGGGGAAACATATGTTAGTGGTTTTTCATCACTTGGACCACATCCTTTCCTTTGCCATATCCTTGCTGTCCTTTGAATGGATTGCCTTGTCCAGCCGGTTGGTTGTACTGATTTTGTTTTCCTCCTTTGAGATTGTGGTTGTAGTTCCGGTAGCCGCGTAGCCTTTTCCTTTGCTTTGCCTCTGTTGAAGGGGAAATCTCGGGAGCGGCTAAAACTTGCTGGTACTCAAGCAGGGAATGAGTTGATTTGAATGACCCCAGCCGGTTCATTCCCAAAACCCTGGGTCATCCCCTACTGAGCACCAGCTAGTGTTGTTTGTGTGTGGTGTGTCAGTGTGCCTACGTTTTGCTTGGAAGGTGCCATTTTCACACGGTTCCTATGTCCTCGCTTCCTGAGTTCCTGGACTTCATGCGTTTGTTGAAGACCATTTTAGTGGTAACTAAAAAGTCTTGGTACTTTTTGGGGCCATCCACTCGAAAAGTGAGCTCCTTGCTGAGCGACTCGCTTCAGCGCCTCGTCGCTTTCATAAAGCGCCGAGGAGGACGGGCGATGGGCCGCCTCCTTCTTCAAGGGATCCTTCGCGGAGGCGGGTCGGAGGAACATGTTTCCTGGAATAGACTTAATTAAGATACATTTTGCATTTTACCAGTGACTCAAATTGAAGCAAACAATAAAATGTAGATTCTATAACTGGGCCTAGCTCTAATCATGTTTCTGAATCCCTCTCTTTGGACGCCTTTTGGCCACCCAAACCACAAGTGGCAGTTCTCGGAAAACCGGCCAATCCCAACATTTATCAAAAACGGGAAATCCGAAATGTTGGCGTCCTTTTCAATCCGTAGGGCTGGTCCAGCTTTGCTTTTGAAAGAGGGGAGTGGTTCAGGAGCTACCGACACTAGGTCCCCCAGTGGTGCCCTGTTCCCCGTTTTCGGGGGAGGCTTCGCTACCTGACAATTATGCCTCAATTGATATTCATGATAGTGAATCTAAAATAGGCAAAGCCGAAAAAAGTGGGTAATTACCAACTTAGTCTAGCCTCTCAAATCTTGAGGACCTAGGACAGTGCAAGGACGAAGCGCCCGAAGCGCTTTCTGCCGGAGGCGCTGGCGGCCGCGGAGGACCCTCAGAACCCGCAAAGCGAGGGCCGGGGCCTGGCGCTGCTGTGGCTCCACGGCAAGGAGCGCGGCTTTGGTCGACCGTCGAAAGGCGAGCGCTCAGCGGTCGCCCAGCGATTGGTGCCCGCTCTTTCACCGCTTTCTTTTTTGGGGGGAGGGTTCCACTACTAAAATAGACTACGGAAAAAAGGGTACCCTAGGCCAAGTGGTCCGTTGGCTGCTTTTCCTTTTTTGTTTGGAGGGTGCCATTGATCTCTCCTGAGTTCCTGGACTTTAAACACTTGGTAAGACCATGTTGGTGGTAAATAAGAAGTGTGGATACCTTGTTTTGGGCCTACTCGGGAAGTTTCGGAAGTGCCATCAGCGGTCCCGAACTAGCGAACCCCGAGAGGAGTCGGTCAGAGAGCAAAGATGAGATACACAGTTGCCAGCACACAGTGTATCCACTGAGGTCGCTCATTCGGACCATGTGCGCTTTGCTCTTTGCCAGTTTTCGGGTTGTTGTGAGAGCTGTAAAAAGGCACACCACCGAACAAATGCGAGGATAGGTGCCCTGCGCTTGTCTCCATGGCAACTGGGGGGGGGGGGGTTGGGTTCCACGCTTTTTCGGGAAATGACGAAAAGACTGTCCCACAAACCAGCAACAGGGTAAACGTCTTGGGTAGGGAATGAGTAGAAATCTAGGGGTACCTCCGGGCCCCATTCTTTCCAGGCATCCTTCTTTCTAGAAATCCTCCAGAAACCCGGCGAAAACGGCTAGTGTGCGAAAAGAACGATGGTTGAAAAGAATGGAAAAGGAACCAACCCCTAGAAGAAAGGGTAAGTTTAACCCTCCCCAAGACACAGCTTGGTGCTCCTCACCCCAGCAGCGAAGCTCAACTCCTCACCGAGCGAGCTAGGTGAGGTCAGGAACTTTCGAGGCTTCTCCAAAACGCCACCATGCTGAGGTACCAAGATGCTTACGGCAACCGAAACTGGTTGCTTCCACCACAAAAACAACGCCCCCTGGACCCTCAAAATAGCCTTTAAACGTAGCTTACTGTAACCCAGGTGAATTCCAACTTTTTTTTTGCGGGGTAGATATGGAAGTGTCTTGTTTTGAGGGCAGCCCCTTGGGTAGAACTGCCCGGTCCACGGCCAATCGACCTGAAAGGACCTTTCAGCTTCCTCCCTTCACTGTTGCTCTTTTTGGTTTTTCGGTTCTGTTCATTTTTAGCGGGGGGCTGCAAAGAACATTCGTTTGTTTGCTACCGTACCCACGGTTGGATACCTCCAGAACCCAAACAAACCAAGCAGCAGAACCCACCTACAATGCCCAATTCCACTTCTCAGGCGCTCAAGTGAGGGCGACATGGGGGCGTTTTGGGCGCCCCTCCCACCCCCACCAACCACCAACCTCCAACCACCAACCACCACCCACCAACCACCCCATTCCGCTCACCCCTTCCACCCGCCTGCCACACGTGCCACGTGCCCCCTACCCGCCCCCCACCCGCCCGCCGAGCGCCTCGCCAGGACGACGCGGCCACGGCGCGGCTCTGCCGCGAGGTCCTGGCCGACGGCTTCGTGGCCTCGGAGCTGGCCACGCGGTGGCTGCCCTGGGCCGCGGCGCCTCGGATCGATCCGCGATCCGCGGTGCGGGTTGGGCGGTTGCGGTGGGGGGCAGAGGGGCGGGAGGTGTGGGAGTGGGGGGGTGGGGGGGTGGGGGAAGACACCCAATTGGGTAAAATTGACGAGCAGGGGCAAACCGCAGGTTTCTTTCATCCAACTCACCTCCATTTACCAAAGTGCCATGTTGACATGTTGGGCTCAATTGGTTGAGCAGCCAAATGTACTGTATATTTTTGGATAGGCTACAAATGGTATGTTCTGTGTACCCCAGATGTGGACCAAAGGACCCCCAAGCAGCTGAAGGCGGGTTGGTAGTGGCTTCCCTTTAAGCAAACAGTATGGAGTTGGTTGGAAATCAGCAACCCTGATTGGCTTCCTGAGCAGCAACCGACGGCAATTGTCTTAAACAAAACGACATTCGCATGGTGTGGCTTCCGGTTCTCTCGATTTGAAAAAAGTGTGTTCATTGTTGGCATTGATTTGGTTTGGCTTGTTCTATAAACTCGCTTTGGGTGCTGTACTCAATAAATTATCTTCACGCCCTTCGAGTTGTGGTTCGAACCTTTCTGTAGTTTGGCCTGGTCTGATAATTGGGTACGCTGGCCAGTGGGCAAGTGGGGTATCCGACGGATGGTTGGCTCTATGCATATGTTGTTATTTTGGCTGTTGGCCGTGCTCTTCTGTGTTTGACCTGGCATGAAGTACCATAGTCTATAGTTCCACTTGTTCTGTGGCATCCTTTCTTCCTTTCTGTTTGATGGTTTCCCAGCTCGAAGTATTTTTGTCTTAAAGAGGGTTCCCTTTTTTCCTACGTAGGGCCTCTCAACAACTGGGTAGCCAGCCAAGGAAGATATTTGCTGCTTAAGATGCCATTGGTTTTGTTCACCGACAAGCCCTAACCCGAAATCTGGCCATGCCGCCGGTGGCACCATCCCTTGGAAGGAACCGGCGTGTTAGCCCCAGTGCCGACCTTTTCCGAGCCGCCAAGTTGCCCAGTTTCTGGTAGAAGGATCGAATCCTTCCAATCCTTGAGCATTTTTAGGGATCCCAGGCAAATGAATGCCAGCGAACTGGGGTTTTCAAAAGCCAGCCCAACCCCGACTAGTGATGCTCGACTAAAAGGGGACACCCCATCTATTGGGACCCGAGTCGGGGACCATCCTCTTTTTTCACACTTGTCAACAGGAACCGGTCCTCCATATTAATCCCCTCAGTTGTTGAAAACCGACCTTTTCACCTTTTCACCTTTTCGGTTGTCCCTGTTTGGTTTTGGCAAAGGGTTAGCCGTGTATTTCTGGGTCAACTGCATCTTGAGCAAAGATTACTGAGTGAACCGGCTTAGCGAACTGTCGCCAGGACACGTGCCGCCATGAGGGCGCATCCCTCGCGCAGGCAGTGCAGCTCGGCTCTAGGGCAGGTTTTGAGCATCGGGCTGGGTCAGGGATTTGAGTTTGGGTGGGTGGGATGGTGGGACGGTGGGTATTGGGCAGTTTGGGGTAGGTGGTTTAGGGCTGGGGCAGGCTAAGGTTGGCCGTAGGGTTGGTTTGCAGTCATGTGAACCAAGCTTTGCATTCCGCTTGGGTCAACCCGACTGCATCTTGGAGTTGTATGGCAGCTTTTGTTTGGAGAAGCAACCCTCTACCGCGGCCTTTCTCCACTTCCGTGGTTCTAGGCAGGGGGAATGTTCCTTTTGCCTCGTCGGCTTGCTTGCCACTGAGCAACTCACATCAACTCCGGGGTCCGGAATATCACACCCTTTCGGGGAAACAAGGAGCATCTTGCAGTGCATATACACTTTTTGGGTTGCCATGTCATCTTCGTGACTTCCTTTGGAAAAAAACTGCAGCTTTATGTGTGTGTTGCCTTAGTTTCAAGCATCACCGACCTGTGGCAAGTCGATGGGACTTTCCTTTAGGTCCGGAGTGGTTCGGGAGTTCGCTCAGTGAGCCCCGTCAACTGTGGGGAGGTTGCCAACCATTCGTGATTTGGCGATCCAACCCCGGCCCAGCTAGGCAGCGTCAACTAAACCCTTGTGTTGTTCCACCAACCGGTGGTCCATCCTCCCGAACCAGGCAATGAACCTTTTGCATCCCGCGAAAGCAAGAAAAATATCAAGCAACCAGATTACCAACTAATCCACCTGACCTAGGTGTCAACCAACCCAACTGACTGTTGAGGTGACCGACCCAACTGACCTAGGTCTCAACCAACCAGAAATCACTTCTGCATTTCACAGGGCCCGGCTCAGGGCCGTGTCCTCGGCGCCGGCTTTGGTGCTCATCCGGGCGGTTCCGCAGGGCTCGCCAGGCCAGCCTGTGCGCTTCCGAGCGGGGGGTGGGGTGGGAGTGGGGGAGTTGCAGTGGGGGGGGTGGTGGGGGGGGGGGGCCTGCGAGCTTTTGCTTAGAAAGGCGTCATTGGGTTGGTTTGAATTGCAAAAGGAGAACCAAAATGCAGGTTTGGGGATTGTTTTGTTAGGTGCGTCGCTCGAAAAGCCACCAAAATAGACACAGCCGCAGCTTCCCCAATCCCCATCCCCTATGGCTGCTATTTGGTGGTATCTTGAGCCTTTATTTTTTTGGTTGAACATGCTGTTTGTTCACTCTACAAAGTTAAACACCAAGCTATGCAGTGTATGGAGGGCATGCATCACCAATCACGGTCCCTTCCCCATGGTGCGCGGAGGCTCGCCGCCGATTGTCCAGTCCCCCCTTCTCTCCTTTAGGGAAGCTAGTTGTCCAGTGGATTCCCCCCTCTGAACTCCCTTCTTGTTTGGCTCCTTAAACACGAGCAGCCCCCAAAAAAGGTTGGTCCCCGTTTGCGGCAGCTTCGACAAGGGACGGGTCCCAAAACAGGCCCGCAACTGGGCGTTTCAGGAGCTATGGAGTATCCCAGCGGCTGCTTCTTTCGAGTGCTCTCCATCTTGCACCTTGGCACGCGCGGCTGTGGAGTGAACCGGACGTGGGGTGCACCATGTTCCTTTCAAGTGGACCCTCTGGATCCCTCTGGTGCGAACCGCGCAGTCGGAAAGGACTGGGCAGGTTCTTCAGTCGCATCAACTCTCAACTCCTCTTTGCATTGTGGGTTTGGCACTCGTCAAGCCCAAACCTTTTTTTCTGGTTGCAGCTGGGTTGCATGCGCCACGTTGCACGAGCTGGTGGTTGCTTGCTATTTCACAGCTTTCAGGTGTCCCATCCTTGCTTTCTCCGCCAGCTTCCAAATCATCAGAGCGGGTTCAGATCGCATCATACAAGGTTGTGGGCATTGCGTCGGACGGTGAAAACCAGTCGAATTCGCCGTCATTTGCGGAGGGGGGGGGGCATGCGGGGGGTCATCCCAATGGACAAGTGGTCAAAGGCGAAGCTGCTGGCCCCTGGACCCCTGGGCTATGGGGAGGGCGCGTAACTCTTTGAGCCCCAGGCCTGATTTGTGGCTTATCCGTGGCTCCTGGGCTGAAGGCATAGCCCCCAGTCCACTAGTAGAAACCTGCCACAGGAAACTCTACAGGTGGATGTTTGGCAAACTTCCTGAAGTTCCTGTAGCTGGATTGTCTGAATGACCCCATTCTTTCCAACCATCGTTCTTTTCGAACACCGGCCGTTTCCCTGGGTTTCCGGAGGTTTGCTGGAAAGATTCGGATCCCTGGGTTAAGAATGGAAATGGAAGGTAGCACCAGAATAGCCCCCCGGTCCACCCAAGGACGGGCACCATCGGCGCGCAGCAACTGCTCTACCTCCTCAAAGCTGAAGCGGAGCGCGCGGACTTGGAGCAGAGCCTTCGCCTGCCGCTCGCTGAAGCGACGGGATTGCTCTGTGGTGTTTGAGACTCCCAACCCCCAGAGAGCCGACCAAATTTGGAGGACAATCCTTAGGTAAAACATGGTGGTAAATGTGGAAAAACAGACAGATTCGCACAACATGGGTGCCAAGTGTTTTTGGCCCATGGAAATGCGCGGAAGGGTTGAGGTGAACTCCATTCCTTAAAGCGTTGCTCGGTGGGGTTCGACAGAATTGTCAACACCGAAGAAAGGATCCTTGCTCATCGGA